AAAAAAAAAAAAAAAAAAAAAAATTCTATATTTTGAAATTCTTCTCTATACAAAAATGATGAAACCATCTTGAGGAAAAAATCCAATTTCTGAATACTTAATCTTGAGTTTTGTGCCAAAAGGCGAGCTTGGTAATACGTACCTCCCCTACTCAATGTAAATGCCATCAGTTCTATATGAACTTCTGGAAACTTGAAGTTGACTTATATTTGTTTAGTCTTGCTATCATAAATTAATATCTTTATGCAAATAAAGCACACTTCAATATTGAATCTTTATTCTATAATAAACTAGTTACTGTTACGGTATCTAGTTTCAAATACCAAATAGTCTCTTAAACCAGAGTGTTTTAAACATTAAACATAATGGTCAAATGCTCAATTTATATTCATTCCATGTTTTAGAAATCCCATACAAACACTGGGGTTTCTGGACCAGTGGTACCGACCTGGACAAAGAGGGTGTGTGGATATGGCATGGCACAAAGAGACCTGTCACATTCTCAGCATGGGGCGGCAATCAGCCAGATAATAACTACTGTCGCCTACCAGAAGGGTGTATGCACATGGTAGGCTCATATGATTTCAAGTGGAACGATCTGCCTTGCTTTATCAACCTGAACAGTTTCATCTGTGAGCGGCCACAGAGAGGGGTGATTAACCTGATGGAGGAGACTTTGACTAAATATCGCAAGTGACCAGGTGTTCACAGTACTACACATTCGTGGTGATGCAACTGTTCTACATGACACCATTTTATGGTTTAATCAAGAATGTTTTTAACAATGTCAAGAACATTTTCAGGATGGTATATTTTAAAACCAATTATCAATTTCCAAAAGAAAAAAAAATAATAAAAAATACTTCTGTTTTGCTAATGAGATATATTTTGTGCAACAGAGATTAGTAACATCAGGCAGAAAGAATAATGATTACAAATTAATTTCTTCATCTATACCTGTGCTACATCTCGAGTAAAATGTCTCCTCGATTCCAAAAGTTTTAATTCTTCAGAAAAGTCCCCCAGACTTTTGTCTACAGCTGAAAAATACAATTAGACTTGACATGTATTTTGCAAAGGATACCTCACCAAAACTCATGTCTTTATTGCTGATCACAAAGGCTTTTGTGTAATATATCTAAATTGGCGTAATTATTGTAAGTGTCCGTAATTGACATAGTTTCAATGCCTGCAACAGCTGATAGTTAATATTAATAATTTTAATATTTATTGCAGGGTATTTAACCTATTTGTAAATATGGAACCTCAGAAATATAATCATTTCAACAATAAATAGTATAATTTTCTTCCTTTTTCAAATAAATTACTTTAAAAAATGTGTCAAAGTTTGCCTTCACTTACCAAACAATGTTTTAAAGGTACGTAAATATTGGAACTAAGTAGAGAATAAAAATTACGAATCCCAAGTCTTATGTACAGTTACTTCTTCATTCCAATTACCTCATGTAATTACCTGCAATTCTCCTGTCCACTATTTCTGAAGCCTCCTTAGCTGACCGCTCTGCAAACCAGTTATCTCCCAGCAGCACTAGTATCTCATTAGTGTGGACAAGCTGGCCTGGCATGAAGGCTACAGATGTGAAGGGAACCTGCACACAAAAATATTTATCTTAACATAATGGAATGAGATAGCCCAAACACTTCAATCAGCCATCTTCTGATGAAGCATAAATTAAAAATCGTTCATTAAATTAGTTATATTTTTATTAACTGCCACATACTTGAAATTGAGTACCACAAACTTTTCTGTATATATATTTTTATTTATTCATTCTATTATTCACCAAATGAAATTTTATAATAGCATCATTTTCATAAGTCAAAGTAACCCAACTTCAGCTTCTGACTAATAAATACATTTCTTAAGACATTGCTTGCAAGATGTACCAGTGGTGGCGACTTTATAGACCTTCTTCCCCCATCCCCCAAAAATGTATTACTTATTGATAAACAAATAAATTGTATGATTTAAAAATAAATAAATAAATAAATAAGTCCGTGTGCTATTCTAAATATCCCTTATTACCAATATATCATGTGTAACTTTATCAGGTAATGTTGTCAAACGCTCCTTTAAAGCAACATAGTCATCTCTATACTTGTTCCTGGAAAGAAACCAAGTAAATTTTAATGTTCGGCTACAAGTACTCTCTGCGTATAAATATGCATGCTAACTTGTTTGTGATTAGTGCAAAAATTTATGTATTAGCATTCCTACTTACATTTGCTAAAACATACTGTATATGTTAAAGCATGAAAGATTGAAGTGTACGTTTTCAACTGTGAGCAGTGTGGAACTTGAGGAAAGGAAAGTTTTATAAAAATTTAAGGGCCCCCCACATCCCAGTGGATACACTAGCCAATCATCATGTTGCAATTATGTGCACTTATATCTTTATATAAGTGTTCCCACGTAACAGAATGCATTAATAAGGGTGCATTCCCAGAGATTAAGATCGATCCATCCGGATCGACCTAACTCCCTGGGGGATCTAGCTAAAACACACGACAGTTAATTACCCCTTACAGCTTTCAGTAGGCAGGACAGTCACTTAAGCTGGCTAAGCTGACAGTAAACTAGTGAGACTCCCCACAGGGATAGATCGATCTAAAATATGTGGGAATGGGGTCCAAGGGTGCATTCCCAGAGATTTAGATCGATCCATCCGGATCGACCTAACTCCCTGGGGGTTCACGCTAAATTGCAGTCAGCCGAGTCCGCACCATAGTTAATTACCCCCTTACAGCTTTCAGTAGGCGGGACAGACGCTTAAGCCATCTAAGCTGACAGTAATCTAGTGAGACTCCCCACAGGGATAGATCGATCTAAAATCTATGGGAATGGGGTCTATGAGTGCTACCACGTTGAACTTTGAGTTGTGTATGAAGTGTTTTAAAAGTTTTTGGGACACGCTGTAAAAATTACAATAACAAACCCTCACCACTGTTTAACCTTTTCCTGTATTTTCTGCACAGCTTTCTCAAGCTCTGCCTCAAGTCTAGCAACATGGGCTGGCTCCATATCTAAACAGTAAAAGAGAAACTTGTATTAAAATTGTAGCTTCAATTCTTAGTTGGGGAAATTATTACACGTTAGGTGGTCATTGAAAATTTTGTACGGTATTTTTTTAATTTTATAAAATATGAAATAATCCAAATGTCCTTACCCTCACATGTCTAGGAACTCAAATACCTTAGATAAAAGTATAAAGCAGATTTATGTTTTTCAAATCGCCAGGAATGCTAGTCTACTAGCTAAGTCTACGCAGATAAATTTTCAAGTTTTGGAGCCGGTCAGCAATTGCTGTTTGGAAAAATTCCACTCCCCTATTAAAAAATTCTATGCAAAATTAATGTTTCAAACTTCGCTGAATCATCTTTGTACAAACAATATTTACCAGTCAAAAAGAAAGAAATGGCACAGCAGCAGCCGACAACACTCTCGTGCAATGTGCAGCTGCAATGTGCGACCATGCCAACGCTTACATCATGTAAAATGATTGAGATATTTTTTATACATACAACTGCATGTATTTTTTCTGTACAAAGATACATTTTAGATGAATTCTTTTGTTTTGTTTTGTTTTTTTTTTTTTGTTGCATACACTTTGAAGACTGATATATTTTACACATAAATTGATTTTTTAATGATGTAAGCGACTAGTCGACAAGCATGGCGAGTACATGTAGGTCGCTGTGCTCAGCCGGTGTGCTTGCAAAATGCTTCAGTATTTCTCAAACCAGATGTATTCTAGACACAAAACCCTTTGTCAGGTAAGCTTTTTAAACCATGATATTGCATGTAACGCATTATCGTATTATACATTTTTTTTTATTTAATTCAAAGTGATATAACATTCATATATTGCCTCCTTCAGGCTTCAATTTCAATTCCAAATCATATACTGTAATCAGAGATGATATTTGTCCGATTTTCGGCGGATGTCCCACTTTTTGGGAGCCAGAAATAACATTGACAAAAAGCCTCTGTTTTTGAATACTCTGCATGGAAAAATATCTCAATTTTCCCAGCCCTTTCCCCATTGGTATAATCTTTTGATGCACTAGCTCTCCACCACGAGGACAATTTTGACAACTGACAGGCCTAGTCACAAGCTAAAATTTCAAAACTGTTGAATCAACATTTGATATATTAGTATCAGAACATTGTCACATGGAAATTTAGTAATAAAAATTAAATTTACAGGGGCGTAACCAGGCATACGCACGGATGCACTGTGGGTACAATTTTTTGAGCCAACCATGATATTGAGTAATAACCAGGGGGTTTCCACAGGATTTGGGGTACAGGAAGTCCAAAATATGAATCGGCAATTTGGTCATTGATTTACAGAGTCCAACCCAAGTAAAGCCAACCAACCAACCCAAAGATTTTGTAAGCCGTCCAGCTGTCTTTATAAATATACATATAAATATAGATATATGCCATCTTTTAAAGTAANGTTCCCACGTAACAGAATGCATTAATAAGGGTGCATTCCCAGAGATTAAGATCGATCCATCCGGATCGACCTAACTCCCTGGGGGATCTAGCTAAAACACACGACAGTTAATTACCCCTTACAGCTTTCAGTAGGCAGGACAGTCACTTAAGCTGGCTAAGCTGACAGTAAACTAGTGAGACTCCCCACAGGGATAGATCGATCTAAAATATGTGGGAATGGGGTCCAAGGGTGCATTCCCAGAGATTTAGATCGATCCATCCGGATCGACCTAACTCCCTGGGGGTTCACGCTAAATTGCAGTCAGCCGAGTCCGCACCATAGTTAATTACCCCCTTACAGCTTTCAGTAGGCGGGACAGACGCTTAAGCCATCTAAGCTGACAGTAATCTAGTGAGACTCCCCACAGGGATAGATCGATCTAAAATCTATGGGAATGGGGTCTATGAGTGCTACCACGTTGAACTTTGAGTTGTGTATGAAGTGTTTTAAAAGTTTTTGGGACACGCTGTAAAAATTACAATAACAAACCCTCACCACTGTTTAACCTTTTCCTGTATTTTCTGCACAGCTTTCTCAAGCTCTGCCTCAAGTCTAGCAACATGGGCTGGCTCCATATCTAAACAGTAAAAGAGAAACTTGTATTAAAATTGTAGCTTCAATTCTTAGTTGGGGAAATTATTACACGTTAGGTGGTCATTGAAAATTTTGTACGGTATTTTTTTAATTTTATAAAATATGAAATAATCCAAATGTCCTTACCCTCACATGTCTAGGAACTCAAATACCTTAGATAAAAGTATAAAGCAGATTTATGTTTTTCAAATCGCCAGGAATGCTAGTCTACTAGCTAAGTCTACGCAGATAAATTTTCAAGTTTTGGAGCCGGTCAGCAATTGCTGTTTGGAAAAATTCCACTCCCCTATTAAAAAATTCTATGCAAAATTAATGTTTCAAACTTCGCTGAATCATCTTTGTACAAACAATATTTACCAGTCAAAAAGAAAGAAATGGCACAGCAGCAGCCGACAACACTCTCGTGCAATGTGCAGCTGCAATGTGCGACCATGCCAACGCTTACATCATGTAAAATGATTGAGATATTTTTTATACATACAACTGCATGTATTTTTTCTGTACAAAGATACATTTTAGATGAATTCTTTTGTTTTGTTTTGTTTTTTTTTTTTTGTTGCATACACTTTGAAGACTGATATATTTTACACATAAATTGATTTTTTAATGATGTAAGCGACTAGTCGACAAGCATGGCGAGTACATGTAGGTCGCTGTGCTCAGCCGGTGTGCTTGCAAAATGCTTCAGTATTTCTCAAACCAGATGTATTCTAGACACAAAACCCTTTGTCAGGTAAGCTTTTTAAACCATGATATTGCATGTAACGCATTATCGTATTATACATTTTTTTTTATTTAATTCAAAGTGATATAACATTCATATATTGCCTCCTTCAGGCTTCAATTTCAATTCCAAATCATATACTGTAATCAGAGATGATATTTGTCCGATTTTCGGCGGATGTCCCACTTTTTGGGAGCCAGAAATAACATTGACAAAAAGCCTCTGTTTTTGAATACTCTGCATGGAAAAATATCTCAATTTTCCCAGCCCTTTCCCCATTGGTATAATCTTTTGATGCACTAGCTCTCCACCACGAGGACAATTTTGACAACTGACAGGCCTAGTCACAAGCTAAAATTTCAAAACTGTTGAATCAACATTTGATATATTAGTATCAGAACATTGTCACATGGAAATTTAGTAATAAAAATTAAATTTACAGGGGCGTAACCAGGCATACGCACGGATGCACTGTGGGTACAATTTTTTGAGCCAACCATGATATTGAGTAATAACCAGGGGGTTTCCACAGGATTTGGGGTACAGGAAGTCCAAAATATGAATCGGCAATTTGGTCATTGATTTACAGAGTCCAACCCAAGTAAAGCCAACCAACCAACCCAAAGATTTTGTAAGCCGTCCAGCTGTCTTTATAAATATACATATAAATATAGATATATGCCATCTTTTAAAGTAAGGCTAATAATGGTCGTCCAAATGATGGCTGGACTGCTTCCCAGGAAAAGTCTGGTTAACAACCATATTTCATTGAATTTAATTATCATTGCTCAATGTTTGATACAGGGTCCTAGTTCCAACACATTACCAACAGCAGCGTGGTGTCAGAAAGCGTCCACCAGAACCTTTTGCCAGGAAGCGCAGGGCCAGGATACAGGACAGTGGACTGAGCCCAGCCAATGAGAGCTTCCTCCAGGAGGTCATAGCAAATGAGGCGATGAGCAAGGTGGAAGAGTTGGCCAAAATGAATTGTCCTCTTAAAGATGGTCCATGGGCAAGGGGGGAATGGAGGAAGGGGTAATTGTAAAATGAAAATTATGTTTATTTGTGAAAGATTTTGTCTTGATCATTATTAGTTTAGACTAATGATGACCACATGAAGAGAAGTAGGACATTTTCAGGTATTGTGAGAGCACTTATTTATGTTGATGTCAAATGGCTGTATTTACTCCATTATTAATAATAAATGTTTTGTTGTTTTCACTCTTGAATCAAGGTATACCAGTTGAAATGTATATTGTAATGTAAATGCATCCTTATGAAAGATAAGCATATGTCATCATTGTATTTTGATATGAATTGCTTAGTCACAGCCTTTGGAAACTGTGGAAGAACTAGTATATAGATCATCATCATCATCATTATGATTATTGTTATTAACTTCAGTACAAAACGTACTGGAGTTGTAGGTGTGAAGATAGGCTGTGTTCCTCACTGGACTACTAAAGGAAAGAAAATGTATCTGACCATGCTACAGGTATCAGTTTGAAACTAAATATCAATGTTTTATACTTAACAGATTGTAAGTGTGTTTGTTTTATAATTTATAATAATAGTTGTATTTTTTTGTCCTTTAAGGCTATATTGCATCATATTTCTCAGTCAGATGCTTGTTGTGTTTGATTTTAGCTATGGAATGAGATTGATATATTGACTTTTTTTTGAAAGTTTATTTACACCTGTATGGCAGTGGTCTGATTTGCCAAAAATGAAAAATTATAATCTGTACTTGGCTAGATAAAGTTGAGGACTTGCAACCGAATCTATGTACTATTTCCTTATGGTATTTAGGTGTTGGATAATCATGTAGTGGAATACTTAACTCCAGACGAATTTGCTCAGACTCGATTTGTCCAAGAATTTCATCCTAAAATGAAGGGAAAGCTTGGGGCTGTCTTTGTAGGAAGTATGGGCATAGATCCAAGACGGGTAAGCATGAGACACTTCACTTTTTTTTTGGTAGAATTGTATTGGTAAGCAACAGTTTTGTCTCAAAATTCAGGTGTTGGCCAGAGATCTCATTTACAACAACTGTTACAGTAAAAACATTTTTTAAATAAAATTTTGGATTTTATAGTTTTATTATTTTATAATTTGTAAAGCTACTTGAGCTACTGACAATATACATTATATATAAAAATTGATATATTTTACCTACATTTTTTCATCATAAGTTCTACATAAATGATATTAGGTAAATAGTGTTCTGCACCTATTTCAACCTTCACTTAAATGGTTGTGCTTTATTTCAATATAAAGAAATAAGTATTCTCTTGTGGAAAAAGAAAATGGAACCTATAGATTTAATTTTCCTAATTATTTTACTGATAGATTGGCTGTTCTTATTTTGATCATGTCTTATTTCAGTTAAGTCCTCTTGAACTCTCTCTATTTGAGAAACATGGGGTTCCCCCAAAAAGGAAGGTATTTAAGTTTGTAGTGACTCCCAATGCCGCAATTCGGCCAGGTAAGTTTGTGGTTGCAGTTTACAAGTAAACAACATGTGGGAAACATGATTTGGCTGAGATATTGCTTAAATGTTTTTTAAAGATTAAGATAAAGATACACTTAGCCCTATTTGTTTCATAATTTGTATAGCCACGTGACCTACTGATATTTACGTTATATATATATATATATATATATAAATTGGTACATTTTACCTACATTTTTTATCATAAATTCTACATAAATGATAATAGCTAAATGGTGTTCTGCACCTATTTCAGTCTTCACTTAAATGGTTTTGCTTTATTTCAGTAAAAATAATAGCTTAAAGGTATTCTCTTGTAGAAAAAGAAAATGGAACCTATGGATTCCTTTGAATAATCAGAAAATAGATGGTTAAAGATAGCATTAAGAAAGTGTTAGGAATTCAGTGACAGCAAAGTAATAGGCGTTAAAATGTGTTTGTGCCTCCCCCATCCCTAGCCGAAAAGGAAACAAACAAGAAAAAAAAAATAACAACGGTTTTCAGAAGCAAATATTTTCAGCATATGTTTTATCCTTAATTTGTCTTCAAGGTACCCCATTATTTGCGTCACATTTCCGTGTTGGAGATTATGTAGACCTCCAGGCTAAGACGTGAGTTCTTGGTGATTTTTCAAAGTCTGCCTCATTCCTGTGTGTAATAAATTCTCTAAACTGCAGTTTTTTATGAAGAACTAACAATTGTTGCTCTGACAGTTATGAAACTCTTCTGATATGCAGTAATTGAAAATCTTTTTTTTTTCCACAAATTGAGTTTAAATTGTTTGATTTGGACTTCTGATTTATTAATTGTTATGCTAACTTTTATCCCTGTTGATGCAGATGGATTTTGAAATGATTTAGAAAGTACCAAAAAATCTACATATTGTTATCATGGGTCAATTTTAAAAAGTTATGACACATTCAGGTTTGTTAGGTTATCGTTTAAGCCTAGTAATTTCTATTTCAGAATAGACTATGGGTTTCAGGGCGTAATAAAAAAACACGGTTTCAAGGGAGGAAGAGGCCACGGCACAACACGCTGGTTCAGAAGAGTTGGCTCTATAGCTCCTGGGGTAAGCCCTATAAAATAATGGGGACTCACTACACACACAATTTTTTTTTTTTTTTTCATTTTCAAAATAACATTTGGTGATAGTGATTTACTAAATTTAGGAGGAGATGTGCATTTCTTAATTGAGGTACAGGTAGACAGAATTCTTTTGTACTGCTTTATTTGATTAATTTACTCATAATTGTAAAGAAAGAGAAAACAAAACTATTTGTGAGTAAATGTAGCAATTTCTTGCAAAGCTATCATAATAAAAACCAATGAACAAGTTTGCCTTTCAGTTTTATTATCTATAGTTTTAAATTTCTGTTTTAAGTTTTTAAGTTTCCTTTCAGAGAAGAGACGTGATCCCAAAAGGGCAAAAGATGCCTGGATACATGGGCAATAAATGGAGAACACTAAAAGGAACAAGGGTAAACCAAACATATTCTCATAATTTTAGATTTTTGTTTTATTTTGTATAATTATTTTTTAATTATTTACTCTTCAAGATGAATTGTCACATTTGACTTTTACAAAAGCATTTATTTAATTCCATTTATACATGCTGATAACTGAGGGTGAAGTTAATAAATCCTGTCATTGAAAATTATTTAAAAATATTATTTGCAATGTAAAGACACACAGAGTCAAATGTTACCTTAATGTTTGCATATACTATAACAAAAGTGTGGGTAAGTGATTTGATTTGAGTCTGTTGATAAACAATCCGATTATTAAAACACTTTTTATTAATTTGCCTTATTCATTGTCTTTCAGATTTACAAAATTGATACAAAGTATAACGTCATATATGTCAAAGCTTCCACAATTCCTGGGCCTCTACACGCCTATGTTCGCATTATGGACAGCAAGTTGCCTAATCGTGTCAGAGAAAGGGAGTTAGACCCACCACCAATACCAACATTTTATCCACAGGACTCTCCTGAGCCTATACCGGAGGAGATATATCATCCAGACTTGTTCAGATTTGACATGGAATCTATATTGTTTCCACCAGATGACCCTGCCTTGGAGAAGAAGAAGAAATCCAAGACAGCCCAGAAGAAATGAGAATGATAAATTTTCCAATTTTTTTAAGTGTGGAAATGGTCAGAGTTACTGACACCCAATAGAATAGCAACTGCTGAGGTAGTTTGAGGGATTGACACAGAAGTGAGAGAGAAGGTGATATAAGAATTAGGATTGACGGCACTGGAGTGTAAACCCTGTTGAAAGGAATGCTTAGGACCTGTGCCAGGATTGCCTGTCGAGGAAAGAGATATGTGCTGTAACGTTAAAAGTGTTCGGAACAAACGGATTACTATGGGGTAGAAATGCAATTAGAGTACTTTTACCCTTATAATGTCTGAATCAATCTAGTTAGAAAGCGGACAAGTTACCTCAGCAAAAAACAACGGCATGTGGATTGAATGGATCAAAAACTGTTACAAAAAAGAACATGGAGGCGAGGGAAAGTCAAATGAGTGATTTTAACCAGTGGAAGCAAAGCACAGAAAAATCTACCAGTGTATCTTGCACATTTCAATTGAAAGGTAACTGTATCCAGCAGACTGATATGCAATTAATTCATTCATTTTTATTTCCTTCGACAAAATTTTGTCATTTTCATGCAAAGGAGAAGAATACTGCAATTTTTTACAATTATTTTATTTCGTGATCTTTTTTGTGTTCCCTGACTAGATAATATTTAACTTTCAAGTTTTAAGAAAATCCTCGACACTGAAGTAATGATAAAATTGCTTGCAGATCTTAAAATAACCACAGAATATGGCACACTTGGATAATAAAGCCACATATGAAATAATCAAGACTTTAAAATCATGCAGAAATGAGGTATAAAATATAATGGTAAAAGGTGATTTTGATTGTATGACATGAAATGCTCCCATTTTGCACACATATTTCTTTTTTAATATTGTCCAACTTGAACTGCACCCTTTTCCTTCATTCATTCAGATATTGGTGCACCTTCTAGTACACTTTTTTGTGGAATGACCCAAACGTCATGGTCTTAAGCCCCCTTTACACTGGATGGCGTCCTTTGTGCATCCCATAGTACAGCCTTGTTTGAGGGTACAAAAATACTTTATGTCCCAACAACTGGCAGATCACTGAGCATTCATTCTGAAACCAAAGCGATGCTTGTGCCTTCTTTCTAAGACCACAGTGATGCCAGTTTCATGGTCGCACAAAGGATGCAGTTCATTGTAATCTGCTAAAATGTCTGATACACCACCATGGGCAGGGGCGGATCCAGAGTTATTTTTTGACGGTCTTCCAATTTATCTATGTTGATCCGTCCTCCATTTTTGACCGTCTTCTGAAATACCCGTCAATGTAAACTTGAAAATCTGACCGTCTTCCGGAAGACCCAGAAGACGCCCTAAATCCGCCCCTGATGGGTTGCAAGGGGGTAATTTTAATTAAAAGGTGAGTACTCAGTTGATGTGATGTCTACTGTACGTCATTTGTAAATTCATGTTCCTTGGTTAGCACTGGGGTTGATAGGGGGTAATTACAGGGGCGGATTCAGAGATATTTTCTGACAGTCTTCCAAATTATCTTTGTTGATCCATTCTTCATTTTTGACCGTCTTCGGAAGGAAAAATTAGACACCCTTCAATGTAAACTTGAAAATCTGACCGTCTTCCGGAAGACCCAGAAGACGGCCTAAATCCGCCCCTGAATTAACTTAAGTTATAGGCGAGCACTCAGTTGATGTGATGTCTACTGTACGTCATTTGTTAATTCATGTTCCATGGTTAGCACTGTCATTGGAGGAGGTGTGGGGAGAGGGGGGTCTGACTGGAACTGAGGGGTAGTGGTACAAGTCTAAATGGAGTGATCCCTTGTTCTGTTCCATATATTCATACACGCTGTCCTCTACCTTCTTGTAACTGGACATCTGAAACAAGATGAACACATGATTTATATTCTGAGGGAACCTAATTGCACTACTCTGAAATTCAGAGAACTGAAGTTGAACCTTTTTACATTATCTTAAACTATTTTATCTGTCACAGTTTTAGGACTACTACCAGCAGAAATTAAAATAGACTACAAAATTTCGGGCTGTTTGAACTCTTTATTTTGGTGATTTTTTCCCTGTAGATTTGTTTTAAGTTAATATTCATTTTGACATTGATATTACCTTCAAGTTGGTTTAAAATTGACAGAAATTGATTTGATGAATGTGTAGAAATGCTAAAGCAAAGTATTAAACTTGGGTTTAGAAAAAAGAAAAAAAGATGGACTGGTGAAAAAGATAGAAACCCACCTTGGTATTCAGCACAGAGACCACATTGAGTAGTCGTACCAGCTTGCCATGGTTGGCAGGGACATAGAAGTATCTTTTCCCTTTGAACAAACCATCTGTGTCTCCCACTGAAAAGTGTTTGAAAAATGAAATTTACCATTGTATGAACAGAGACCAATTTTGACCTAAATTTAAGGTGACATTTTCATTTTATAATGACAGTAAAAGTAAAATAAGGAAAAAACTTCAATTTTTAAAGAATAATTAATAATAAATGATAATGAAGTCGTAACCATAATATAGAACGGCCATGAAGATCTGTGTGTGAACTTTCATCTCCAATCTAGTTTGATTGGTGTGTAATCCATTACCTGCTTCATCCAATCGTATACCAGCATACAATTTCTGATCTGCATACTCGCGATCAACATGGCCAATGAACTTCACTATACCACTGTGAAGAATTTCTTTTGGTGCAGTTCCTGTTGAAAAAAAAATCTTATCAAAATCTGTTTGCTCAAATTACACTTTATTAAAGGTAGTAGCACACTTTAAAAGACAACAGTGCTGAAGACACAAAATTTCTATGATTAAGCATATGTCATGACAGAGATCACAAAACTAAAACATTATAAATAATTCCTCGAATAAGCTTATTTTATAAATAAGTATAGTACTATGAGAGAGGAACTAAAATATTGTGAAAAACTAAAAATTTCTTGTTACCTTTGGATTTTAACTTCTTAGCTGCTCCAAGCCTGACTAGAACCCTGTCACCAGTGTTCACAAATTTTGACACCAAACTGTCTTTCTCATACACGGACATCCTGGCAAATGCTGCCTTTATTGCCTCTCTCTCCATCTTAAGTTCCTGCTTTGTAGGGGGTACTGCCTTGGACTTGCAGTGTGAAGGAGAGAGTGATGGTTTTCGGGGATTATATCCCTCTGAAGACGAAGCTGTACTAGTACTGTTACTACTGCTAGTCCAATTATCAGCAAAATCCACTGATCCTTTTCTGCCATTATTTGTGAATAATGTCGAATTATTAGAATGAAAGTTTGAATGGATTGTTGGTTTTACTACAGCAGTTTTAGGCCTGACTGGATGTGCTGGCAATGTATTACTCATTTTACCATCAGTTGATTCTGTATCAACCAACAAACGCTTCAAAAATAGGCCATTCTGTTTTTGATTGAGTTTTGCACTGGCTTGTCTTGTCGTGGTATCACTTGAGCTTGCTGAGAAGGGAGGTCTTCTGACGTCTAATTGTACTCTTGAATTCTGAAAAATACATTAAAAATAGTAATGGAATGAGAAATTCTATCAGAATTTGAAGCCATCACTTATATTTCGTGCATGGCAGCTATTAATTTTGCACAGTCAATTGATATAATGCAAGATTTTATGATTAAAAAAAAATTATGACATCCTAGTTTCACCACAACATAAAGCTTGAAAAGCAGAAAAACTATATATCACAGCCAGGGAAAACAAGTAAATGCAATCTCAGGATCTGTTTCTAAGTTTGCATCATCTGCCAAGTGAATCCGACAGAGTCAGAAGAGCTGAGGTATAATTTGGCCAATGGAATATTTTCATAACAGTTTGTGCTGACACTTGCCTGTTTCCCACTAGAGGGAGCCGAGTTGGTTCTTCTGTTAGCAGACAGCGTGCCGTCCCATTGTACTGTCTGTGCCCAGGGCTCTACACTGGGGCTTGGAGATCTGGGGGTGAAAACCACTGTCATAGATTATAAACAAATCTACACTGCAAATCCTTGCAATTTTTAAACATTAGGATTTTTGTGTTGGATTAGAATGAGACATATGAAACATTCAGGAGAAAATCTTTCAGAGAGCATCCATCTGCACAAATTGGTGGTACTTTTGATGTCTGATTTTTAAAAATTTTCGATTAAAGAATTGAAACTGTATATATTAATTTTTTTCCCTTTTTTTTTGGGGGGGGGGGGCTTCAATACAGTTTGAAAAAAACAAAGAAAACTATACATTATTCAAAAAAGATTTGCCGGTGGGACTGAATATTGGCCAGTAAAAAATATATGGAGAAAAAAGCATACCGTATACTCTCTGAGGCATCTTGGAGGGTCTTGAGCACAGGCGTCCCCTGGGGATAAGTTGCCAGCTGGAGCAGACTTGCCTTGTCAAGCAATTCTTGGATTTTAGGAGAAATCTGACAACCTGTGCCATGCAGTTCCTGAAGCATGTTCTACGAAATGGAAATAGAAACGTCAGCCATTTTTGAGACAGAAATAAAAGATTGATGAACTTAGGTTATTTTGTAAGTTAGTAATTTAAAAGGAAACCTGTATGCATTTGGCATGGCCAATTTTTTAAAAATTAAAATAAGTTATTAATTTGTTCAAACTTAATTGAACAGTAGAAAGAAAACTTGTGAAGAACTAGTGAAAGGGAGTAAAAACTTCTGTGGCCAAGTAACTTGTTAGAACCTATATATGGTTCTTCAATATTCCCACCTTAGCAAACTCCAGTGCCTGGGTCAACTGTATCACCAGGGAGTCTTTCCCCACAATCAGTTGTTTCAAGGAGAGGGTCTCGCACCTGGCCACATGAAGCTCTTCCTGGATTTTGTTCATCTCTGAAACTTCTTTTTCTAAAGCCTGAATAATATTAAAACAACACCCAGTCAGCTTCAAATATATGCTTTAAAAGATTAAAACATCATAATGTTCCATACTAATCCCAATTAAGCTTTATTATCATTTGTATTGGCAAAATTGGAATAATAATGTAACAATACATGCAATGCATTGTAAAAGTGAATTAAAATTTGTAGCTTTTTAAAATTCATAATATATGAATTCTCAAATTTCACATTAGTACTTTTAAAATTAAGAACAAGGGCTTAATTGACTCAGCCAGCCATTTTCAAGTAAACTCCATTTTACCACAGTGTGTCTCTAATGTGTGCTGTGATTTTTCAAGCTTCAAATATTTTATACAATTTTCCTGGAAATTTTTTCTTTATCATTCAGAAAATTAAAATTTCAAGATATTAATTTCTAATTTTTATCAATTAAAAATTGTTTATTTGAAACTTCCAGGAAATAATACTTCTTGCTGTAGGGGGCTGAAGACGGTATTAAGTTATTTGCACCCTGCATCAGTCTAGAAATCCTAAGCCCCACCTTAGCCTTTTCACCATACTCCCGACTGCTCTTCCTGGCCTGCTGCAGAAGAAATTCTTTTTCTCTCAGTTCTTTCTGAAAATTCACAGCTGCTGCTTCAGCCTCTTCTATTTTCTCTTTTAAGTGAGGAATGCCCTCTATATCCTGAAATATACAGATAAGTTTTTTAGAAGTAAAAACATGTTCAATTCAAATTTGTATTTTTAGTCATCATTCGTTGAACAGTAGGTGCATATTAAAGGGTTTGCTTCATGCCGTCAGAATGGCCTGCTCTTCCTGGCCTGCTGCAGAAGAAATTCTTTTTCTCTCAGTTCTTTCTGAAAATTCACAGCTGCTGCTTCAGCCTCTTCTATTTTCTCTTTTAAGTGAGGAATGCCCTCTATATCCTGAAATATACAGATAAGTTTTTTAGAAGTAAAAACATGTTCAATTCAAATTTGTATTTTTAGTCATCGTTCGTTGAACATTAGGTGATTGAAACATCCTAAAGGGCATTTTAAATATTTATCAACTACTAGCGTACAAACAAAAATGTTGACAGTAAACACATACGCTGCCATCCTATGTGAGATTGATTATACCATTAAAGTGTTAGATAGTTTAACTCATTATGTTCACACATTCCATGTATTTTCATGTATTGTTTTAATCTTTTGTTAAAAAGCATGATATATTGTACACAACCAATGCAATTTTAAAAATTCTGTGGCATCTGACAACTCTAAGCATATGATGCCTTAAGTTAAACATGCAGTTACTCACCTGCTCCAGTTTTTCATTCCTCCTCAGTTCCTCCCTCACCTGTTGTTTCAGGTCTGATGCCTTCTCTTCCAAATCTTCTATCTGAGTATGTGCAACCTGTTCAATAGATATAATTTTTTTAATACTGTCTTATGCCCACTCTTTTTTTCTTTATCCCAATCCCTTGTACGAGTACGAGTACAACAGTTTTTTTTTCTCATAGCAGAAGGCTGATATTCATATTCTGCCTTGTAGCTGTTTAACAGTTTATGGCCAGGAATAATTTTCAGTTTCCTGTGAAATCTTACAATTTTGGGAAAATGTTATGTATGAGGACATTGTGGAGGACAGAAGTGACTGCATGAAGTTAAATATAATTATTAAAAAAATCATTCAAATTATTAAATAAATAAGAGAGCCTAAAAGTTGACAAACGGTTGCATAACCATTAAAATTTTGTCTTGCCTTGTTCTGGCTTGTACAGAAATTCTTCATATATTAAATGTTTTTTGTTATTAGATGAATAACTTACAGACAGTTTTTTCCCTGTATCTTCCAGACACTGGCGGGTTTCCTTTAGCTCTGACTCTTTGTCTCGGTTTTGCTTTCTGCAAGAAAAAAAATCAAGTAATATTTTAACTCCTTCTAATAGGATTAAAAATTTATAAATGTTCAATTCTGCCATGGCTCAGTGGGAATAAATACAACACATTTTTTGTAGTTACTGAAATAATAAAATATTATTTAATTTATAAGACTTGGAGACTATTTTTGTATTTCAAAATAACCTTAGATCTATAATATTTTATTGTTACTCCTTTTTGTAACATTAACTGTATTAAATTCTAAAAAGTATTGATTAAAATTTGAAAATCTAAAAGTAAATCTAAGCTGCACTTGATGCCTTCATTCTTTGCAGAAAGCCAATAACTTTTGTTAATCACAGAAATGAAAATATTATTTTTAGAACCAATTAAGGTGCAGGAAATAAAAGGAACATGTTTGAATTCCTTTGTACTCTCAGACTGGAGTGATTTTTGGTCTTGTCACTAGATCTAATCAATGAGGAATATTCAACATCATCGTACTCCCTACAGAGTTTCTTTAGTTCTTTTTCCTATATGAGTTTGATAAAAGACCCTCTACTAGAAAAACCAACCGTTCCTACTTCTATTCAGTTTCAGTGTGCTTAGCCCATTGAATGAATTCAATCAAGATTCTGAGAAACATGCATCAGTAGTGGTATTTTTTATAAGTTGATCTTCAGTGTGGAGAAGGGCATTGACGGAAAAAGCACTGCATAGTATTATTGCAATATTTTGCAAAGAATAACACCTTGTAGAGTAAAAATCCTCCACATACTTCATACAGCAGAGTGGTTTTATTCTCAGATTTAAGAGAATAAGCCATTTTCAAATGCATTATAAGGGAGTAATGAAAACAATGCAAATAAAACAAGATTTTGAGTACATGAAATCTCATGAGATTAAGCAGCTCAGCAGGTTCAAGCTGTGTGCTGTAATGCAATCAATATTTCCTGATCCTGTATTTTCTGGAAGTATTGATTTCTTGAATCAGATGAAATTTCCATTAAGATTTGTTGAATACAAACTTTACTGACAGATTATCAGAATAAAAACAATGAATATAATGTTCACCCCCGACACTATAATTATTTATTATGAAGACCTTTAGCTTGAGGAACTTTAGTTCACAAAGATGTGATATCAAATTTTAATATAAAAAATGCTTACTGGTAGGATTCCAGTGTTCTTTTCAATTGCTCTACTGTGATTTCAGCTCTTTCCAAATCCAAAGCTGTAAATAAAAATGGGTTATGAATATGTGGCAAACATGAAGTTTTTTGTTTAAAAACAACAGACAAAACAAAGATATTGTAGTGTTAGAGACATTAACGTGTTGAAAGATCATTAAAAGAATTGTTTCTCTTTGAATTCTACTCATTTAGTGATTATGTATCTGAAGCATGTCACCATCATTAAAAATATTATATAATACCATTTAGTTTAAATCATTTGAATCTTTATTTTCTTTTCTTAATTTAAACAACAAGAAATACAACACATCTTCAGTACCCAGAGTAACATGACAGTTCTTTACCCAGTGAAAAAAAATTCATTCTTTGCTCACACCTTTTTGGTCCAGAACCTTAACCCTATCAGCCATAAAAGTGACTTCTTTCTGTAAACCCTCAATGTGTTCTGTTTTCTTCTTGTTTTCTGTTCGTAATTTCTCCAATAGTCCTTGTGTCTTCTGCAGCTCCAGACATGCGGCCTCGTATTTCACTTGGAGGTTACTGTGCCGAGTTTCCAAGGCCTGGAAAGAATGGAACAATTACAATAAATACTGTGAGATCTTCTACTATTTGATAAATGTTATTGCATTATATAAAGTTATCATATTGAATAATGCTATTATACTGTACATTTTATAGAAACAAAATAATCTTATTGGATAGGAAATCAATTTTTCCGTATTAATGTTAACACATGCATGTGATATGATATGATAATATACATGTTATAGGAGGTGCATATGACACAAAAATATAATAATTATGAAATATTCAATATGACAATATACAAAATGTTGAAATATAGGCTAATCTTTTACACAATATAATAAGATGTTACAGATATGCACTGATTTTTGGAGTGTTAATACAGCATTCTAAACTTATAAGGATTTATTTTTTTATTAGTTCTAAAAATGTGACAATATTAAATAGAATTAAATTAAAAACAAAAAGCAAGCACTGGCCCTAGAAATATCCTTCCTTTACATTAATATTAATTTTGAACAGTTTTGCATAAGATAAGCTCACTGTTAAACAAGAATAATATTAAACCATTCAAAGAATACCACAGGATTTCTGGTGTTTGAAGTTACCTAATTTTAATTCAGATACAATGCAGAAGGCACTTTTGCTCCTTCAAAGCCATTGAAGTGAGTTTTCATTAAACACACAGTAGTACATGTGATTCCATCAGATATCACATTCCGTTACGTTAGAAAATCACCTTTCCCACAAGAAAAAGTAGGGCTTTTTTTTTTTTAATACAAAATGCAGTCGACAGTACCTTCATGTATAAGATGGATACCACCCAAGTCACAATAAGATCCAATATATATTCAGTCTCATGTTTACTTTGTTACACTGATTTTATGGTAAGAGATTTAAAAAAAATATTTCATGGCATGTCTGCAACCAATTACTGTAAAAGAAAAATGATCATAAAAACCTAGGAGGTAACATTTAAAGGTAACCATGAACCTAAACCTTTTAAGTAAAATATTATTGCTAGAAGAATTTTTACTGAACCTGCTTTTTTTGAATTCATGAGAATTATCTGGCAGTGCTTGCATATAAAAAGTGGCTTCATAAGTAATTTGATTATACATGTATTAAATAAATGTACATGCAGAAACACACATACACACATTTAAATCACATATTCGTGTATCAGGTATAATTTTTTCCGTAACATCTCATGCATTCTCTCTCTTTCTCTCTCTCTCTCTCTCTCTCTTAAACATACCTTTTTATAGTTTAAATATTCGGCTTGTGCCATTGTTACCAAATGTTGTTCAATGTAACTTCACCAGAACACAATCCAGGAGTAAAATAAACCACATAAAAAATCCATCAACAGCCCTGTGCTTCTGTTGGTTAGACATTTAAAGTAAGCACTAAGTGATGCTAAGTTATAGGTTTGCCTGCAAGTTTGCTCGTCAAGTCATTCCGGTAATCTTGTTATTACTGCAGCATAATCTGGAGTGTTGCTGCACGTTATCTGTATTGATTAAATCAACGCAGTAGCTCACTGACTCAAAGAGCAAAGAGAAGTGTTCAGTGGTTATCCAGTGGAGTGGCCTAAAGGTTAGGATTTGGAACAGGTACTGGTGTGATGTGTCGAATTTTCATCCTTTTTTCTCTCCATCATTTTAAAAGACTTGTTATGTCTTGATTTTTTGTTTGTTTGTTTGTTTTACGCTTACATGCATTTAACTTGATTTTTTCACCATGACTATCTTACTGGTTTTAATTCAAACAAAAGGACAACTGCTAATTTAGTTTTGTTTTGTCCTCTCTTTAATCTAAATATCTATTTCTTCCTATGGTGGGGAAAATACTGAGAGAAAAGAAGTTATCCAAAAATAAAAAAGAGACAGCATGAAGAAATAAATGAGATATAAGGAAAAAATAATAGGTAAATAATAATGGCATATAAAAGAACGAGAGTACAGGGCAGGAAAAAAATATATATGCCAAAAGATAGCAATATCAATATAAAAAATTGTAGGTCAGATATCCACATAAGTTTGCTGCTGTTCATTACTCTTCACTGTCTATTACAAGATAAACCTCATACATCCTCTTGATAACTTCCCCACCATATCTTATAAAATTGTCTATTTCTTGATTTTTATCATTTTTAGCTTATGGGGTACAAAGACAATTACTTATGTCTTTCTCTCCTTCACTTATTATTTTGAGTATGCACCACAGAAAAAAATACCATACACTATTGCTAACTGCTGTCTGAATACTTATTTCTTCCAAGTAAGAAGGGGGTGCTTCCAAAGTTGGGGAGGAGGAGGGCAGTGAGTCACTGCGCCCATATTTTGATCTGTCATTGATTATCATAGACACACATGGGTCAAAACATGAACCGTTACATAATGGACAAGTCTTTGGCATGGCACAACAAGAAGTCCCACAGAATGACAAGATAATGTCAATCTGAATTTAATACACACAGAGCTTGCAGTGATATCACCAGTCTGTTGGCTGGCCAGGAGATAAACCAACATTATCACCATGGTGGTAATCTGTGTCACAAACTCAGATGTCCGGCAAGTGGCATGCTGCAGAACTTTGGGGGCCATTCTTAAGTTTTTTTTTTTTCTTTTTGTTACTGTAGCTTATAGTCTGGCAATTAAGGGAAAGTTAAAAGATTTTTCTTTTATTTATTTTATTCAATTATTTGACATTCCAATAATTTCTGTAGCATAGCCAATAATAGGTAAATGTTACTTTATAAACTTACATACTTTTTATCATTTTCAAAAATTATTCAATCTAACAATAGTTTTAAAAAAATTGAAAAATATATTCCTCGAAGTAAGTGATGAGTTAGATAGATGAAATTAATCAAGCAATGGTTTTCTTTAGACACAAATATAATCATAGCCAAGTTAAAAAAAAATCAAGTTAATAGGACAGAGCCTAACAACTGCATGGCTCGGGGTTTGATCCATTTACAAATGTAACTCATCAAATTTCTGGCCACTCTTTCTGGTAGTGTTTGTGAGTACAATAAGAACCCAGCAAACCCTGAAGGAATGCCATGACTTTGTCAATAAGATTAATGTTAGTCCATCCACCACAGACTATATTAATGACGCAGACACTTNAATTGGGCTTAGTGTAATTGTACAAAATTTGCTTGATAAAAATAAATATAAGATTATGTGCATTCTAAACAGACGTAAACTTTAAGGTAATCTTGGGAATTGCTGTACAGTATTTGTAAAAGTAATAATATTACATTCAGTTAGGCTTATAATGAACCATTAAGATAAAAGACAGTCATGAGGAAGCTAATATGAATGAAACATCCTAAAGGGCATTTTAAATATTTATCAACTACTAGCGTACAAACAAAAATGTTGACAGTAAACACGTACGCTGCCATCCTATGTGAGATTGATTATACCATTAAAGTGCTAGATAGTTTAACTCATTATGTTCACACATTCCATGTATTTTCATGTATTCTTTTAATCTTTTGTTAAAAAGCATGATATATTGTACACAACCAATACAATTAAAAAATTTTAAAAAGTCTGTGGCACCTGACAACTCTAAGCATATGATGCCTTAAGTTAAACATGCAGTTACTCACCTGCTCCAGTTTTTCATTCCTCCTCAGTTCCTCCCTCACCTGTTGTTTCAGGTCTGATGCCTTCTCTTCCAAATCTTCTATCTGAGTATGTGCAACCTGTTCAATAGATATAATTTTTTTAATACTGTCTTATGCCCACTCTTTTTTTCTTTATCCCAATCCCTTGTATGAGTACAACAGTTTTTTTTCTCATAGCAGAAGGCTGATATTCATATTCTGCCTTGTAGCTTTTTATGGCCAGGAATAATTTTCAGTTTCCTATGAAATCTTACATTTTTGGGGAAATGTTATGTATGAGGACATTGTGTTAGAAGTGACTGCATGAAGTTAAATATAATTATTTAAAAAATCATTCAAATTATTAAATAAATAAGAGAACCTAAAAGTTGACAAACGGTTGCATAACCATTAAAATTTTGAGAGAGCAGTTTCATTAGCTCTGTATGTATCAATTCAAATTATTGTTTTTCTTTATATCAAGAGCTTGTAATATATGTGGGTTTTACAAGCTCTTGATAAAAGAAAGAAAAAAAGAAAAAGAAAAACAATAATTTGAATCATTAAAATTTTGTCTTGCCTTGTTCTGGCTTGTACAGAAATTCTTCATATATTAAATGTTTTTTGTTATTAGATGAACAACTTACAGACAGTTTTTTCCCTGTATCTTCCAGACACTGGCGGGTTTCCTTTAGCTCTGACTCTTTGTCTCGGTTTTGCTTTCTGCAAGAAAAATAATCAAGTAATATTTTAACTCCTTCTAATAGGATTAAAAATTTATAAATGTTCAATTCTGCCATGGCTCAGTGGGAATAAATACAACACATTTTTTGTAGTTACTGAAATAATAAAATATTATTTAATTTATAAGACTTGGAGACTATTAATGTATTTCAAAATAACCTTAGATCTATAATATTTTATTGTTACTCCTTTTTGTAACATTAACTGTATTAAATTCTAAAAAGTATTGATTAAAATTTGAAACTTTAAAAGTAAATCTAAGCTGCACTTGATGCCTTCATTCTTTGCAGAAAGCCAATAACTTTTGTTAATCACAGAAATGAAAATATTATTTTTAGAACCAATTAAGGTGCAGGAAATAAAAGGAACATGTTTGAATTCCTTTGTACTCTCAGACTGGAGTGATTTCTGGTCTTGTCACTAGATCTAATCAATGAGGAATATTCAACATCATCGTACTCCCTACAGAGTTTCTTTAGTTCTTTTTCCTATATGAGTTTGATAAAGGACCCTCTACTAGAAAAACCAACCGTTCCTACTTCTATTCAGTTTCAGTGTGCTTAGCCCAATTAATGAATTTAATCAAGATTCCGAGAAACACACATCAATGGTGGTATTTTTTATAAAGCGATCTTCGGTGTGGCGAAGGGCATTGACGGAAAAAGCACTGCATAGTATTATTGCAATATTTTGCAAAGAATAACACCTTGTAGAGTAAAAATCCTCCACATACTTCATACAGCAGAGTGGTTTTATTCTCAGATTTAAGAGAATAAGCCATTTTCAAATGCATTATAAGGGAGTAATGAAAACAATGCAAATAAAACAAGATTTTGAGTACATGAAATCTCATGAGATTAAGCAGCTCAGCAGGTTCAAGCTGTGTGCTGTAATGCAATCCATATTTCCTCCAGATCCTATATTTTCTGGAAGTATTGATTTCTTGAATCAGGTGAAATTTCCATTAAGATTTGTTGAATACAAACTTTACTGACAGGTTTTCAGAATAAAAACAATGAATATAATGTTCACCCTCGACACTATAATTATTTATTATGAAGACCTTTAGCTTGAGGAACTTTAGTTCACAAAGATGTGATATCAAATTTTAATATAAAAAATGCTTACTGGTAGGATTCCAGTGTTCTTTTCAATTGTTCTACTGTGATTTCAGCTCTTTCCAAATCCAAAGCTGTAAATAAAAATGGGTTATGAATATGTGGCAAACATGAATTTTTTTGTTTGAAAACAACAGACAAAACAAAGATATTGTAGTGTTAGAGACATTAACGTGTTGAAAGATCATTAAAAGAATTGTTTCTCTTTGAATTCAACTCATTTAATGATTATGTATCTGAAGCATCTCACCATCATTAAAAACATTATATAATACCATTTAGTTTAAATCATTTGAATCTTTATTTTCTTTTCTTAATTTAAACAACAAGAAATACAACACATCTTCAGTACCCAGAGTAACATGACAGTTCTTTACCCAGTGAAAAAAAATTTCATTCTTTGCTCACACCTTTTTGGTCCAGAACCTTAACCCTATCAGCCATAAAAGTGACTTCTTTCTGTAAACCCTCAATGTGTTCTGTTTTCTTCTTGTTTTCTGTTCGTAATTTTTCCAATAGTCCTTGTGTCTTCTGCAGCTCCAGACATGCGGCCTCGTATTTCACTTGGAGGTTACTGTGCCGAGTTTCCAAGGCCTGGAAAGAATGGAACAATTACAATAAATACTGTGAAATCTTCTACTATTTGATAAATGTTATTGCATTATATAAAGATATCATATTGAATAATGCTATTATACTGTACATTTTATAGAAACAAAATAATCTTATTGGATACGAAATCAATTTTTCCGTATTAATGTTAATACATGCATGTGATATGATATGATAATATGTATGTTATAGGAGGTGCATATGACACAAAAATATAATAATTATGAAATATTCAATATGACAATATACAAAATGTTGAAATATAGGCTAATCTTTTACACAATATAATAAGATGTTACAGATATGCACTGATTTTGGGAGTGTTAATACAGCATTCTAAACTTATAAGGATTTATTTTTTTATTATTTCTAAAAATGTGACAATATTAAATAGAATTAAATTAAAAACAAAAAGCAAGCACTGGCCCTAGAAATATCCTTCCTTTACATTAATATTAATTTTGAACAGTTTTGCATAAGATAAGCTCACTGTTAAACAAGAATAATATTAAACCATTCAAAGAATACCACAAGATTTCTGGTGTTTGAAGTTACCTAATTTTAATTCAGATACAATGCAGAAGGCACTTTTGCTCCTTCAAAGCCATTGAAGTGAGTTTTCATTAAACACACAGTAGTACATGTGATTCCATCAGATATCACATTCCGTTACATTAGAAAATCACCTTTCCCACAAGGAAAAGTAGGGCTTTTTTTTTTTTTTTTTTTTTTTTTTTTTTTTTTTTTTAAATACAAAATGCAGTCGACAGTACCTTCATGTATAAGATGGATACCACCCAAGATCCAATATATATTCAGTCTCATGTTTACTTTGTTACACTGATTTTATGGTAAGAGATTTAAAAAAATATTTCATGGCATGTCTGCAACCAATTACTGTAAAAGAAAAATGATCATAAAAACCTAGGAGGTAACATTTAAAGGTAACCATGAACCTAAACCTTTTAAGTAAAATATTACTGCTAGAAGAAGTTTTACTGAACCTGAATTCATGAGAATTCATGAGAATTATCTGGCAGTGCTTGCATATAAAAAGTGGCTTCATAAGTAATTTGATTATACATGTATTAAATAAATGTACATGCAGAAACACACATACACACATTTAAATCACATATTCATGTATCAGGTATAATTTTTTTCCGTAACATCTCATGCATTCTCTCTCTTTCTCTCTCTCTCTCTCTCTTAAACATACCTTTTTATAGTTTAAATATTCGGCTTGTGCCATTGTTACCAAATGTTGTTCAATGTAACTTCACCAGAACACAATCCAGGAGTAAAATAAACCACATAAAAAATCCATCAACAGCCCTGTGCTTCTGTTGGTTAGACATTTAAAGTAAGCACTAAGTGATGCTAAGTTATAAGTTTGCCTGCAAGTTTGCTCGTCAAGTCATTCCGGTAATCTTGTTATTACTGCAGCATAATCTGGAGTGTTGCTGCACGTTATCTGTATTGATTAAATCAATGCAGTAGCTCACTGACTCAAAGAGCAAAGAGAAGTGTTCAGTGGTTATCCAGTGGAGTGGCCTAAAGGTTAGGATTTGGAACAGGTACTGGTGTGATGTGTCGAATTTTCATCCTTTTTTCTCTCTATCATTTTAAAAGACTTGGTATGTCTTGATTTTTTGTTTGTTTCTTTGTTTGTTTGTTTTACGCTTACATGCATTTAACTTGATTTTTTCACCACGACTATCTTACTGGTTTTAATTCAAACAAAAGGACAACTGCTAATTCAGTTTTGTTTTGTCCTCTCTTTAATCTAAATATCTATTTCTTCCTATGGTGGGGAAAATACTGAGAGAAAAGAAGTTATCCAAAAATAAAAAAAGAGACAGCATGAAGAAATAAATGAGATATAAGGAAAAAATAATAGGTAAATAATAATGGCATATAAAAGAACGAGAGTACAGGGCAGGAAAAAAATATATATGCCAAAAGATAGCAATATCAATATAAAAAATTGTAGGTCAGATATCCACATTAAGTTTGCTGCTGTTCATTACTCTTCACTGTCTATTACAAGATAAACCTCATACATCCTCTTGATAACTTCCCCACCATATCTTACAAGATTTTCTATGAAAGTAAGGAAAATGCAAGGTTAATCTTTGTTCTTTGATTTTTATCCTTTTCAGCTAGTGGGGTACAAAGACAATTACTTGTGTCTGAAATATAAAGCTCTCCTTATTATTTTGAATATGCACCATAGAAAAACAAGGAAAGTGCATGGCACCGGCGACGGCAACAGCGATGGCAACGGCGACGACAGACGCAGGTGATGGCAATATGTACAGACACATCTGTGTCTGTACATAAAAAATACCATACACTATTGCTAACTGTTGTCTGAATACTTATTTCTTCCAAGTAAGAAGGGGGTGCTTCCAAAGTTGGGGAGGGGGAGGGCAGTGAGTCACTGCGCCCATATTTTGATCTGTCATTGATTATCATAGACACACATGGGTCAAAACATGAACCATTACATAATGGACAAGTCTTTGACATGGCACGACAAGAAGTCCCTTAGAATGACAAGATAATGTCAATCTGAATTTAATATACACAGAGCTTGCAGTGATATCACCAGTCTGTTGGCTGGCCAGGAGATAAACCAACATTATCACCATGGTGGTAATCTGTGTCATAAATTCTGATGTCCGGCAAGTCACTTGCTGCAGAACTTTGGAGGCCATTCTAAAGATTTTTTACTGTACTGCTTATAATTAAAGGAAAGTAAAAAGCTTTTTTACTTATTTTATTCATTTTATCTTTTTATTGATTTTTTTACTTTTCAATAAGTTCTGTACTTTGATTCATAATTTCCATCATTTAAAAAAATTATTTAAAAAACTATTTTATCTAAAAATAGCTTGAAAAAAATTGAAAAATATTTAACTCAAAATAAGTGATGAGTTAGACAGATGAAATTAATCAAGCAATGGTTTTCTTTAGACACAAATATAATCATAGCAAAGTTAAAAAAAATCAAGTTAATAGGACAGAGCCTAACAACTGCATGGCTCGGGGTTTGATCCATTTACAAATGTAACTCATCAAATTTCTGGCCACTCTTTCTGGTAGTGTTTGTTAGTACAATGAGAACCCAGCAAACCCTGAAGGAATGCCATGACTATGTCAATAAGATTACTGTTAGTCCATCCACCACAGACTATATTAATGACGCAGACATTTGTGTGTCGGATTGTGCCATTGAGCAGTTTTCTTAAAGAATTTAGGAGACTGCATGTTTTGATTTTTAATGCAAGGTGTATGATATAAAAAGCTGGTTTTCAGAGATGCTGTTTGCCAACTTTTAAAACTGTGTGTACCAATCCATTAGGCTAAGTAATTATTTCTTTTTACAAAATACATTACAGAATCTGATCTTTTTTAATTACAAAAGCACACTATACGATAAATGATAGTCACTTACATTGACAAAAATGAAAATATTTTCATTCACTGTCCTCGTCTCTTTCGCTGAACTACAATGACATTATAAACTATTGTCATTCACTGATACAGTGATGAAATTAATTTTTAAAAAGGCTGTTACTGGATTTTACAACAGATGTGTCAATGATTCCAGGTTATTCTTACAATAAATCTAAATTTAAATCAAATTTTTTCAGTTCCATCGTCAGATCATGTGATAAGACTGAAATCCTATACATGGGCAATTTAAACAATCTACCTTTTTTTCTTCAAGTATTTCAAACAATGCAATCATTTGTCAATTCATCTGTAAAGTGCCACCCACTAATACACAAGTTATGATGCTAGCCAATCCAGGTTAAAGAAAGATTACAAACAGAAAATTTAATTCCCTTGATAAATGTGCTCTATTGACACCATAATGTGTATCTAATGTGCCTTATCAAGATCACAAAAGCGTTCATGTTCAATATTTTGATTTTTCTGACTTTTGTTTACAATATATTCTCCATGCGCTTCTACAGTACTGTTATACTGTATACACTGGAGCTCTCATGGGTAAGAAGTTTCAAAGTAACTAAGTACACTAATTTCTCTAAATGTTGAAAATTATTTTATTTGGCTAAAAAACATATTTAAATGTCTTTTTTAACTTTGTAAATCACTTTTTTTTTTAATAAATAAATTCCGTTTTAGTTGATTACATTTTGTTAAATGAAAAGCTAAAATTAAATCAAGCACTCACCATAAACTAAACTCTCCAATGTTTAGCCCTGCCACTGATTTTCCTTTATTTTGTACATGTTATGTGGTTCAACCCTTACTGCAGTGCAAGTATCTTGATGCAGATATTTTTTAAATCAAACTTTTCTGTAGTTCTTGGTGCATTTACTCTTGCTTGAGGAACAAATAAAAGAACTAAGGCGGAGTCCAGAGATGCTGCTTTACTTCAAGAAATCCACCTGTTTCTAAGTGTTTATAGAACTGATGTAGTTCCTTTCAGCAAATGTCACAGTCCCCTTTCTGGACAAAACAAACAGGACTCCAAGGTAAAAGTGCACAGGTACTCTTTGTTTGATTACAGATTCAAAAGTAAATCTTTTCCCAGCTATTAGTAAAATTTAAATACTGCACCTAGACTACAGTCACATAGTTCTCCCCATGCCCTTACAATTTACATCACATTCACAAAATCCACAAAGATCCTTTTTGTTTGAAGAGCAATCAGTGTTTTTGTCTCCACTTGTATATAGCACTCAGCTGACTGAATTTCTAATGGAGAACCAGCTAAAAGTTGGGTAAATTTACACAAGGTGTATTGCTGGTAAAATGTGCTAATTCTAGACAATCTATAATATTTGCATTGATGGAAACATGATCTTTGGAAACCGGGAGTGCACACAACGGGCGGAAGGCACAGACTGATATATCAAGATGGAGATCTTTGGGCTCAGAAGTATATATTGTCTGAGTAAATATTGGTTTGTAAAGAATATAAGTTTGGTGGCATACCCCCTATTTGACTGTCACAGCTTTCTTTCAACTGTTGGTTCTCCAGTGAAGATTTCAGCAGAAATTCAATTTCAATCCATTATGCCTATTTAGATCTCCAAATCCCATTAAGTCTTACATTATATATTAACATTCCACGCATTTAATATATTTTATGCATAACTATAGCAACTGCTGGGATGAACTAGTGAATCATTAAGCCTTTGACTATAAGTATTTTAGGGCAATACTCAAATGCGTGTATTGCAAAGAGTGTGCTGAGAGAGAAAATGGGTAGTCAATCGCAATTAAAAAAAAAAAAAACACTCACCTGAATGTAAAATTCACCACTGTCCATTTCAATTAGTTCAAAGAAAACAAACCAAATCAGCACAAATCAGCTAAAATATCCAATGCATGGCTTTTCAGTTCAACTCTCAACTCTGTGTCACAAAACTTTTCCCCATTTTCACATCAACTTCCGAATCAACTCTGAATAATCACTTCTCTTGAAACCTTAACCAGTTTTCTTATTAAATTCAAAATCAACTCTCAATAACAATCTCCTCAAAGGGCATACAGTAACCTTTTCAGCATTATTTACAACACACTTCCTTGCTACACACCTCCCTGTAACTTAACAACACAGAACTAATCCAGTTCAATCTTATTTTACATAATGACCAGCTTTCTATACATTCATAAAAATCTGACTTGAACTAAATCCATTGATTCACCTATAATGATGGAGTCACCTGCATATAAATGTGGAGCAATTAGCGTCACCATAACACTAAAGCACAGTAAGCATAATTTGTTTTCACGCAAAGCTAATCATATTATTTAAGTAAGAATTATTTTTACTGTAGAATTATGTACAGGTAAGACCGATTTATCTTTGCCAACATTCACTTAGTAATTATCTTTCCTGTCTTTGTAAATTTTTAACTCATGAAATCCTTTTTGAATTTCAGAGCACATGTTAATAAATGTCTGGGATGTTAAATTTATCTAATTCAAAATGATTATTTTTCATTAAAGAATTCGTCTAAACCCTTTTCTCATCTCTGTAAATCTTTTAACCTACTTGGGTTTCCATACATACTCATACTTCTTGAAGCCAGCAAATCAGAATTTAATACAACTAATTGCGCCTAACTCACCTACGTCAGGTCTGACACCTCATACACATAGTGGAGCAGATGTTATCTTTTGTCAAACAGGTGGTTGGTTTACAGTCTTCGAAAATGTTGCTCTCAGGCCACAGAGAAAAAATGAGCATTTGTTGTTGCAGGAGAAAAGTAGTCTTTTACTACACGTCCGTAGTTTGTAAATATTTATGATGTGGCACAATAGCAAACAATTGTTGTTGTCCTAAAAATTGTAGAAGACTTTATGATATTTTTTTTTTTCAGTTCACATTCTGTTCAGTTTGGATGGAAATGGCATAATAAGCATAGAAAACTTTACCTTTGAATAGAGAACAATTATGCTCACTTTGTGAATAAACCTAGTTTGTTATTTTTGGTTTATCTGAACCAAAAGGAAAACATGACCCATGTTTGTTTGTCAAAACTTATTCAAGTGTGCAAAATGCTACAAATAAATGTTGCAGGTGAATTTCTTTGTTTTCTTTTGGTGTTTATTATTTTAACAGCGATGGTGTAGTTGACATTGTTGTGAGTTGAGATTGTGCTCGTCACAACTAGCACACTGCACTGTGCAGTGTTGCTAACTATTGTATACTGTTGTATTCTCAACTTAAACTTGGTATCACAACCCTGTGTTTTTACCTATAAAAGGTCTACTGAAGGATTGATTTTCATTGTGCATTTTTTGACACTTTTTTACTGTCATTCTTGTATCGACTGCTTCATAGATTTTATATATTAAGCAACTGAGTCTGAATTTTTGTGTTGTAAAAAACTTCAAGGCGTATTAATATCTGGTAAAATTAAATTGTAGAGGATAAAGTTAGAGAAAATAAAATAAAATAAAAATGTCACACATTTTTATATCCACCCAATATGAATAAATTTAATGTGAAATTGAAACCCTTACCTCTCTGTCCTTCTTCTCCTTTTCATATTTTTCCGTAAATTCCTTTAGCTCCTCTAGTTTGGCAGCAAGAAACTGTCGCTCTTTTTCTCTGAAAAAAAAAATTAATTAATCAATTAATAATTTACTGATTAAACAGTGTTTCTGATGTATATTGACATTGCAAGTATTCAACTCTGAAATTAAACAAATACTTAATTTTGTACTTTATATGTGCTCTCTCATTTTAATAAAGGCATGCATCTGTAGCTAATGAACATATTTAGAATTATTAAAATACAATAACTATTTTGAATCATAATTGTGGCATTTCAATTGAGTACACACACACACGTTATCGAAAATATTTATAAATAAAAAATGTATCCATGTATACAGAAATGCTATGAACATTTCTGACAGTGCAACGGCATATAAAACGAACACTAGATTTTTATATGAAGCTGAAATGAAAATTTATGTTGTACAGGTAGAGAATGATGATAGTGACAGTGACAGAAGAAAACAAACCACACACTATTTAAAAATTTATGCTTATTAGTGGCATTATTCTACTCTTTTAATTTCATCATATTTTTTATCCTAAAACTGTTTGAAATCCACAAAATTGTGCCTTCATCTTTCTATACCACTGGTCCACGTGTAACAAACAAAAATCATTGTAAAGAGAAGAGAGATGTTCACAGCAGAGGCAATTTTAGAAAAAAAATTTTTTCACTGCCAGCTTCACATTTTCAAATAGTTTTCCTCTTTAAGACAAGGCTAGATGAAATCAAAATCACAATCAATGATTATGATTTTTCTAAATTAAAATCAAATATTTCATTCCACATACTGTTAAGTTCAATTAAAACAGTCAATCAAAACACCCAAATTTTATTAACACAAATGTAGCATGTCTTTTTTTTTTCGTATCATTCAATAACTGAAAATAGGGACATTTGCACTTGTGAAGCAAAAATTTTGCATAAAGGTTTCAAAATGCAATGTTTAATAGTCCTCCATCAAACATTTGGTCCTTACCATCTGCTGATGGAAATTATCAAAAATAAAAAAAGTTAAGTTTTTATAGCAAATAATTTGAAATAGAGCTGCTGAAATTTTACAATAATTGATAAAATATCACCTTTCTTCCTCCCTCTTTTTGTTTATAATCTTCTGGACAGTATTGGTCAAAGATGTGGTCCTTCTGCCATTAATATTCCATTTACTGGTGATTCCACTGACCCCAGCATGGACTGACCCACCACCTCTTGGGGACAGTCGTACAATGTCACGTAGACTAGTTCTATGTTGAGACATATTATCATTTATTCAATAAAACTGCATTTATCTGCCTTTGCATGTACCCGTGCAGGCCCTATTGCATGTGTCCTTATTAGTGAGAGTCATCAAGGTTCAGATACATTCCCTTTTCCTCGACAATTTCACTGTCATTATTCAATCAATATTTTCAATTTGTTAGTAAAATAATATCTCATCTTCATAATTTCAATCCAGTATGCCTGATGACTTGTTCAGCAAAATACAAATTCCAGCAGAAGTTCACCATTGCTTGAAGATGAAGTGTTATAAAAAATCCCTTTCTACAAAAAAAAAATTTTTTTTCAAACAGCCATGTCCATTCTTCTAAATTCCCTGGTCGCAAGTCTTGATCCTTAAGTTTTAGGTCAATGAAAATATCTTTTCAATATTAAATGTCCTAAACGCTATTAATCTTAGCACCCTCAGTAACAAATGCGTATGTTTGACCAAGGAGTTTGACTTTCCCTGTTGAATGTGACCTTGTAATACCGAGCAACTAAGCTTTTTAATCAGCCAATGAACACTTTCATGCTGAAGGATCTCAAATCCAGGGGGGACACACCACTTTGAGCTAGGTCCTCTGCATTGCCCCTCAGTAAATAATGTAGAATTGATATAAATCTAGGTTGACCTTTTAGACATTTTTATCATTTTCAGACTTTTTTGGTCTAATAAAAGCAAACTATATTAAAGTGAGTTTGTAAACAATATCTATTTATATTTATTTTATTTTTTCATTACAAAATACATTATTGAAATTAAACATGTTGAGATCTTCTAAATTTTTTTTGTACTGAGCCCCACTCTGACCTATAATTACAAGTTCCACCTCTACTGGCCAATTGAGGCAGTCTTCTGGGTCTTCCAGAAGACGGTCAGATTTCAAGTTTACGATTATCTAATTTTTTCTGTCGGAAGACGGTCAAAAATGGAGGATGGATCAACAAAGATAATTTGAAAGACTGTCAAAAAATAGCTCTGGATCCCTCCATGACCCCTCCCTTCCTCCCTTAATTCTTACCCTTGGGTTCAGCCTCTCTGGTAAACCACACCCACCCCTCCCTCCCCACCCCAGGGTTCAGCCTCTCTGGTAAACATATCTCTCCACGGTGTCAGGTTACCCAGGAAAAGTCAACGTCCTGCACTGGGTGAAGTGCTCTGTTGACACGGCCATGCAATGCCACTTGATCTCTCTTTGATCCCCGTAAATACTCAGTATAATCACGTGAAGCTGTACAAAGAGTTGGCCGTTTACTGTCACTTTATCCCCTGTTGACGCAATTGACTATAAGGTCCTCAAGATATCCTCAACAAAGTTTGAAAATGTGTGACCATGTACCTGCACTGTTGTCCATAAATCTTGAACTAATCCCAAACTGAAGTATCTTTTCCTCCCAAGTTTAATATAAAATTAAATGCAGTAAATTATGCTTCTTTAAATATATTCTGATAATAATATAATACCTCATTGCTGTAAAACTGAGTTTTAAATAATTCTAGGTTGTTTACTTAGCTAAAATTCTGTAGTGTTGAAGGCGCACCTAAAAGGCAAAGATCAATAAACTGTCCACTCTCGCTGCTCAAGGGACAAGCACTTTTTGACAGCCCTGTTTGCTGATGTCATTGAGATGTCAACTTTTTCACCATTCCTACATATTTTTAGATGATGAATCTCTTATCTGTGTACACAGTTTCCCTGGCTTCTGAATGTTTTCATTGGTAACCTTCAACTATTTAAAATTACTTACATTTGGTAATTACATGTACTACTGACAAAGACACACACACACATGCACGTGCACACACACACACACATACACTCTCTCTCTCTCTCTCTCTCTCTCTCTCTCTTGCTAGAGTTTCTTCTAGCTGCTGTGGTTGAGCATGTATAATGTCACACACAAGTACACCAACACACACACACACACACACACACACACACACACTCTTACCTCTCTTCAAGCTGTTGTTGTTGAGCCCGTATAACATGGGCAGGGGGTGTTTTCTTGGCCTGTCCAGTTTTCTTGTTGAACCAAAAACTTCCTGCTCTCGGGCTGGACATCATGCACCAGTCATTCTAGAAGAGAGAAAAAACATTTCTCCAACAGCTATTATTGTCTTCACATTAACTGCAATTCATAAGTTTCTCTAAGTTCCTGCTCTTAAATTTTCTTATTTTTGCACTTAAAAACAATTCAATACCTTCAATGTTTTTCGGTGCCAGTCTTAAAAAACAATTTGTGTTCATCATTCATTATCAATCAACTTACGTGTACAATACTAGTAGATCAACATATAATGCTGGTTTTTAAAAAATCTGTAAAAATATCTGTTTCAGAAAATTAATATGAAGTTTTTCCTTCCAGATGTCCTTCTCATGGTTATAAGTTAAAATGCTTGGCGCATTGACCCATCTCCCACATGTCACTGACATCTCTGACGTCTCCAACAGTTCATCATTGTGACAAACTTATTGTCCAAAACCAAAACAGCAAGCTGCACTCAGTTAAGTAAATGCCAATCCACTAATTGACTTGCAATCAAGAGAAAACTGATACGAAAATATATTATCTGGTTTTGTTGACAGAGCCAAGTTTATCCTATTGAAGTGAATCTGTGTTTACACAAATGGGTTAATATCAAGTTGATTGTACCAGCATCAAGTTGTCCTCTCTTTCTTGTTTGACAGCAGAAAAAGAAATAGCTGTCATATTTTTGTCTTCCTTTGCTTCACTTAAGAGGTTAATGGTCTTTTTTCTGGTTAGTAATCATCCAGTGTGCAATTCAGATATGATTAGTTATACAATGTAGATCAGTCGAAACCTTAAAGAAATCACCAGACATGTCAATATGGAATTAAAGTACATCTGCTTCCCACATGCTTTATCTTTTAATTTTCAATGGTTGTATCACACGGAAAAAAGCAGAAAAATATTCCTTATAGGTATATGGTAAACTGTCTGCAAACTGTTCAATACATGTTTTACTTCATATTTTCCTTTTTGTTACTTATCCTCTAACTTAACTTATGATCAGGTAGTAGGCTTAATATATTATTATCTTTTTTACTGATTCAAGGTGACACAGTAACTTTCCACTATATGATAGAAGTATTGACTAAGCCAAAAAATATTTTGAAATAACATAATTGTCACGTATTTTGTCTTCTAAATCTCAGAAACTTATATGTACAACTTGATAAGAATGAACTTTTAACTGCATGAGTTCTGATGCATAGCCCAGTCAACTGGAAAATGATGTATTTAATTGTTTGGGCAGCATGTTGTCCCTGAGGGGATAAACATATGTACTCTGTTAGATTGTTTCTCCTAGGAGACTGGTCTTTAAGATTAGAGAATGTTTTAAGGTAGCAAGCATTGTTCACTTTTTTTCATGAAACTAATTGTACTTGAAGTTTGCAAATAATAAATAAATAAATAAACAAATTAGTAAAGTTCAAGTAACCTAGGTCCAGGTACAATATTCTGAACAACATTCATGCAAGAACAGTTAAAGGGATAATAACTCTTCGTTTCAGCCAAAAAATGAATTTTTCTGGAGTAAACAACAATTTTTCCATACTTACCAATGGTTAATGAATACATTTTTACATTCAAAGTTAGTCCCTGGTTTTTTTCTAAAAAGTTTGGTTTTTTGTCAAAATCTCTTAAGAGATTTTAACAGAGTATAGCCATCAATAGAGGTCACATGGTCTAAAGACAAGCTCAGATATCAGAATAATAGCCGTTTTTGTGGTAAAACAGAATATATTATATTTCTATGAGTTATTCACAATGTTTTTATTGTGAAATATAGATCTCATACGAAGAGTTATTATCCCTTTAAATATACTTTGGATTTATGACTATAAATGCACGTCGAAGTTAAACAAACTCATACATCCCTTCATTTCTTCTTAAAGAAATAAACTAATGTATCAAATCAAAAATATTTTGTCAGCATTATTTCTAGAAAAAAATGCTTAACCAGTAGTTATTTTTCTAAAAGGCAATAAGATAATCTTTATGTAGATCACCTATTAATTATACCACATACTTCAAAGTGTCAGCTTCCCAATTTTGTTTCTTAGTCACTTCCACTTACTGTTTAGGTGCTATTCTTCTTTTAGAACTTGACTGTCTGCTATCCTACTGAATGTCTCCACATTTCTCTCACTGTTCATTGCCAGCCAAACTTCAGAGAATGATGTTCTTTTTGGAGCTTTTTGGAGGGCGCTGATACTTTTATGAGTAAATATATTCAAATGCATCTGCTCTTTTCTGGTCTAAAACTTATTGTCAGTTTAGTTTTTTCAAGGATAAAAAGTCAACCAATTGGTATCACAGAGGGGGAGGGCAGGTAGAAGACTGAGACCTTTAAAATGTGTTTAGATGGTATTTTAATCTTGAAGTAATTTGTCTTTTCAGTAGCTTTATTTGTTAACAGTAATCAAAAGTGTTATGAATGTCAAAATGTGTAAATCTAGAGTTTTGGATTGAAGGAAACCTCACTTAACCACCATGATTTAGTAGATGAAACAGTCCTTTAAGATGTCACTGCTTACAATATCAGCCAAAAATGCCAAGTTTGTATTCTATTGCAATACGACAAAGCCCCTGCATTATCAAACACATTTGTGTAACTCTCCAGGGAGAGAATTATCCAACAGACGAGAAAAATCAATGGCTCAACAATATTTTTGACAAACTGGCTGCAAAAATGGTCTCAGTTCGTTTCATTTGAAGTAAATATGAGCATTTCTATCAGTGAAATACCCGGGGTTTGTCTGTCTGGTAACAGATTCAAACCGAAGTAAATATGATAAAAGTAATTCTGAAGCAGTTGTTTGAAGTCCATTAGTCAAGAGCTGATCATCCAACATCCTCATGCTACATGCAGTCTCTATAAAATACGGCAATTGCCAGACTTGCAACTAACTTTTTTCATTGATCTCAACTTTTTTTTTTTTTTTGAAAAAAAATTCAGTTTAGAATTCTCTCTTTTTATACCCCATTGTCCAAATGTTTAGTTACTGTGTTATACATGCATCAAAGCTTTTTATCTGTGTTAAAAACCAAATGAATGGGTGTCAGAAGTGTTTACTGCAAATTATAGTGTAAATTTTATTGCATCACTGCTGTAAAATATGAAATGAACATATAAAAACATAAGCAGATTTAAGTGCAAAAATGCACAACATAAAATCATTTTTATATTTTTATGAGTGTCTTCCAGTTTATATCATTTCATCAAGACAATATACTGACAGTGCGCAATACAATATCTGGCATTAAAATGGATAAAAGGAACACTTGGATATTCATAATAACATAAGCCAAGAACAAGAAAACCCTATAAAAACACTTCCTGTGCTGATTTTACCCTTCTATAAATCATCCATGTCATCTAGTGCACTTTAAACAGTGTATACATATCTACCTTCATAACTTTGACTAATAAATAACACAGCACACACCCAAATAGTCCTCAAACAGACCCAAGTTGGGTTTCCATTGAGGTTTGACCTATCTCAGTATGATTCATCTAAGCAGCTCATCTGATTATGAATAGCTCACCTTAGACAGAAAACCTAATCCCTCTGTATTGCCACCCACTAATTAATCTAATAGAGTAACTCAAGTGCTTTTGCATATTCTCATACTAAATAATGTACAACGTACCATAATAGTAAGAGTCACTCTACTAAAACAATACTGTATGGTAAGGCAACTCAGGTATTCTTCTCAATGCAGAACAACTGATGTAATCTAGCTTACATGATAACTGCAGGGCTACCTACAATTATTTCTTTTAAAAATTGGTTATTGTAAATCATACTATTATTGAAAGAAAAATTGTGAAAAACAAATAAAAATCAGTAGTCTGCTGAATATGTCAAGCTCAATTAATGTCGAAAGTTATGACTGTAGAAAAACACCAAAGAACTCACCGCTCCTTCTTCACGGGCTCGATAGATCATACAGATCAGTTGTTTAGCAACAGGAATAAACTCTTCATGACTGACTCTGACTCGCTTGGAGCTAGAAAAAATTAATAAACAAAATTTAAGATAATCAGTTAAGAATGATTTGGTGAAAACCTGAAACAAAAATTATTTTGCGTGTAGAGTAGGTATCAAAAGCGTCAACTGTTGATATAAATTATTGTCACTGTGATATAATTAAGAGATAAAAAAAAGGTCATTCAAAGATATTAGGTTTTACAAAAAATTGAAATCATATGGTTGGTATGACATTGTATTTGGTGTGACAGTGTGCTGGTAATTGCATTGTTATATAATTACAGTTTGTTAGATGTGGTATTGAGCTTGGTGTGACATTGTGTTAGGTGAGACAGTGTGCTGGTGTGATGTGTTAGGTGTATCCCCTTACGAAAATTTCCTATAGGATCCTATAGGAAATCTTATAGGAATTTCTATAGGAACCTATAGGAAATCCTATGCTAATTCATATAGGGAATTTTTATAAGGCCGGGTTGAATGAAAAATAATGAATCTGGTTTAAATATCAGTATATGATTTTGATTTTTAATTTATGTTCAGACCATTACAAAAATTCCTATAGGATCCTATAGGAAATCTTATAGGAATTTCTATAGGAACCTATAGGAAATCCTTTGCTAATTCATACAGGGAATTTTTATAAGGGCGGGTTGAATAAAAATATTGAATCTAGTCTAAATATCAGTATATAATTTTAATTTTTAATTTATGTTCAGATCACTGTGTTAAATAACATCATATTGTGTGTGGCATTGTGTAATTTAAAACAAAGTATTATAAACTCACCCAAAAACCTTTGTAATTTCCTTGAGATCTTCATCAGTAAGTCTGAGACTGAATGCAATGGAGCGTAGCACCTGTGAGTAAAAAATGGAAAAAAATCAAAGATAAAAAGTTTGCTTATTTTTAATGACATTAAACCATTTTGAAAAGAAAAATGCTTTAAAAAATACCCACTGATTAAAATGCAGAAAATTGTTAACACAATTAATTTATGTCAAATTTTACCTAACACACTTTTAATCCACAATACAGCACAGTAGACTGTAATACTTACAGTGAAGAAATCCTTCGCTCCAACTTGACCAGTATGTCTTCTGTCCACTCTGGCCAGGGCAGCACGTACAGCATCAGCAAACAGGTCATCTGCAAAGTGCAGGTCCAGTACATAGTCCTCAGGGATAATATAGCTGTAGCGAAGAATGCAGAATGGTTATTGTTATGTGTGATGTAATAAAGTCTATTAGGTTAACACACACACACAAACAAACACAAACACACACACACACACACACACACACACACACAGATGTTTTATCCAGAGTGATTGAGTTTAAGGGAAACTAATATCTATTATCAGTTAGGATGTTTCAAATCAAATCAAATCAAAATTTTAGAAAACTTTTATTTTTAAAAATAAATCCCTGTAGACTTATTTTGAAATATGAAAGTCTAATGAAAATACAATAAGCACAGAGGCCTGCTTATTAATTAAAAGTTCATAAATGGTGTGAAATCTGGGTAGTACATGTATTACCTGGCTTCTCCTGTAACTCTGTTGAAATACAGGGTGTGTTCTCCCAGGTCCAGCTCAACCCAATGGCTCTGGAGGTAAATAAAGATTGCAGAATAAAATAAATAAATATTTTGATTATATTTACATCTTCTGGTATCTAATAATATAATTAAATTCTGAATATTTTTCTAAAATATTTTCCTTTTTTTTTCAATATCTTAAATTGTTAAACTGATTAAACTAATAAAAACATTTGTGTTCGAAGTACTAGTACATATAGTTTTCTTATTATATTAGAAACAATACTCCTCCCCAACAGTATACTGGTACATTATGTAACTCTGTGCTTGATCTTAAATTTCATTTTCCAAAGCTAAGCACATAAAATATTTTTATAGCATGACATGTTTTCATACAATTTTTTCTTCATTCCTTGAATAAATTTGTACTCTAAACAACATTCCACTTTAAATTCTCATCCTTCACTTCATTATCCAACACAATTGAAACCATAATAGCAGTGTTCAACCACGTCACACCTATCACAATGTTCATCTCTCACCTTCACTTGCTGGTCCCGTCCATAGATCACTTTCATTGCTTCCACTGCCAGTGGTCTGAAATCTTCAAATGTGACGTTTCCTTCCTGAAATAGCCACAAATTGATATGAACTTAAAAATTATACGAACTTCTAAAAACAAAGGAGAAAAATTCTGCATTGTTAAAGACAAGTTGCTGGAGTTACTCAATCCATTCAACAATTTTCAGTTTAGGCATTGAATAATCAAACTGACTGCCTACATAAATTATATATATATATATATATATATATATATATATATATATATATATATATATATATATATATATATATATTGCATCTTCTTACATCCACATTTTATCTTATATATATATATATATATATATATATATCAAATATGGGAAAGTTAATTATAAATATGTATACAACAACAGCAGCAATCATTTTATTGCATATTTTATTACATAACCTTTTTACTGTCCAGTGATCTTGTCATCTTCTTTACATCATCCCACTTTATATCTATGTCTAAGGTAGGAGATTTCAACAGCTAACAGCACAAAAAAAAACATATAGGCTTTAAATAATTTTTTCATTCACCATCTCTTTTGATGCCTTTCATAGCATTTAGTCTCAAAACAAGTCAGGGACTTTCAGCTGAAAATACTTGGAAATAAAAATTGAATTGAACTTTACTTAAATCAATAATGGAAAGCTCAAATTGAATAAATAAAAGTATTCTTTTAATATTTCTGTCGATTTAATACATCAGCATTCCAGTCACTGCAAACAAATTTTATCTTCATCGTAAGATTATCACAATCAACTTAATATGCAAAAAGTGTTTAGTTTGAACAACAGATTATATGTAAAATTATTGTAAGCAGTAATTTTTTGTCCTATAAAGCAAATTGTATATCCCAAACAATATTTTGTTTGTAAGTCCCAAATTATTGAATTTGAAAATTTATAATGTACTAACTGAGGTTGGTTTAAATTCAGATATTAATTTCTTTCTGGTAAGAAGTTAAAAAATGTTGAAAAGGGATAAAAAATATATCTCAAAATACTGAATCAGTGTTTGAAATATGAAATTCATCATAAAATTAATTCTCAAAATAATAGGTGTTTGAATTGAAATTATGGTAATTGTATACTTACCTCCTCTAATTCGGCAGCATTCAAGCTCCCATTACTATTCAAATCGGCCTTGTCAAATATTGTGAGCAAGATATCCTTCAGTGGGTCCTCCAGGACCTCCGGAGGTAGATCCACGGGTTTACGCACTCGTAAACTGGGGAGATAAGCAAACACGTCAATTTTTTCCTTGATTACAGCAGCAGGTTGAGCACTATTATGTGTTGTAGTTATTGCTGTTGCTGTTGATGTTGTTACTGCAATTGGTGGAATTGCAACTGTTGATACTGTTGTTGTAATCACTGTCACAGATTGATTGACGTCATTTTCGGGAAGGGTTACACACGCAAAATTTGCATCAGGTATCTTACTATTTTCTATTTCATTTCCTCCAGCTGATAATTTCAAATTGTCCTCATTTTTTCTGATTTCAGATACATCATCCACTTGTTGGCAAATTTCTGGGCATTCTTCAGTCTGCTTAAGAAGTTGCTTTCTTGCCTTTCTCTTTTTTCTCTTCTCTTTTAGCAACTCCATGTTGGGCAGTTTACTGCCGTGGTGATCATGTGAACAGCCGTTCCTTTCTGGTGATGCCAGTTGGTCAATTCGGGTCATTTTAGTGCCTCTACTCTTATCAGGTAGTTCAAAATATTCTTCATGCAAAGTTTCAGAACAGTCAAATGATTTTGCAGGTTCAGATCCTGAGATCCATGCATCATCCCTTTCATCTGGACATGGCTTACTTTGGTTGTCATGGTAATTTTCATGGCTAACCTGGCTTTGATTGTCATGGTGATTTTCGTGGATGCTGTGAAAATTGCCTGAGGTTGAAATTTCAGTATTTTGTTGCATGGTGGAAATTTTCTTTTGGTTGTCATGGCAACTAGAGAGCTCTGTTTCATATTTTTCCTCTTTGTTTTCCACTGATGATTCTGAAATAATTTCACTTCTATCCTGAGAAATGAACTGTTCAGTTTGTTGGCGAGGAATTATTTGTTCACTTTCACTTTCCATGTAAAATTCTTCATTGTCACCATTGCTAAGCAACATGTCATGGTTACTAAGGCAAGCACCATCAGTACTGTCATTGAGATAAAGGCTACCGTTGCTAGGAATATTTGCTGCACATCCCTCCTCCTGCACTTGTGTAACTGGATCCTGGGCAGAAATTTGTTCATTACTTATGGCTGTTTGACTAAATTCATTGTCATCTTTATCATTCTGTTTATGAACATCTTCATCACCTTCCCAATCCTCATCTTCATCAGCAGTATAATCACCATCCATGCTATCCCTACACTCATTTCCCATTCTGTTCCTAACATCTTTTATCTTTTCACTGTCATTTTGGTTGTCATGCACAGACCGAGTATTCACTTTGTCCTCAAATGAAAATGAACTGTCATCATCCCCTTCCTCTGGGTCTCTTTTTTCTGTCCTTTCATTTACTAAACTCTCTTCAAGGTGTCCACCCTCAGGAACCCGATGGTTATACTTTGTGTCAAAAGGTGGTGTCAAGCAGGTAACTGATATTTCTTTTTCCGGCTGATTGTTAAATTCTTCTTCTTCTTCCATATTTGATAAACTGTTTTTAAAAAGACCAGTAGAAAGGCTTCAGCTAGATGTAGATCCAACTACTTGCACTGTAAATCACCTCCATGATTATTACACGCTGGTCACTTTAAAACTGTCTGAAAATTAAAAAAAAGAATTATATTTTCGCTAATCTAAAAAACCATAAACACAGATTTTCAGATTCAAACAACTTGATTACCCATATGCAAACAGTTTTATGGCTTCAGTGAGATGCAGCTTATATATCCAGGTTAATAAAAAGTATTTTTTTTCCACAATAAAAAGTGCCCAGCAACCACAAACTCTTCCATAATTTATTTCATTTTCACAACTGCTAAATCAGTATTGCTGCACACGACAGCTACTCCATCACAGGGACTTCCTTATTACTGCCTAGATGATATATTGTTCATACGAGTAAATATTGTTGCTGAATTCAACAACTGTTTTAGATCAGTGGTTCACACCAGCTTAGCTTTTCTATAATTCTAAAATAAAATATTCATGAACACTGGTAAATCTTGACAATTAAAGCATTCTTTTTTTTCTCAATATTAGAATAGGGAGATTACGGCTGATGTAGCTACCGTTATAAAGAGGGCTTTGTAATTTATGACACTGGATATTGCCTCTGATCTTAATGGGTGATAGGAAACTGAGATATCTGAGATAAATCAATTTTTCATACAAACAATGTCCTGGCCATGGAGTGCAGGCTTTGTGTGAATTCTCTAATTACAATTACAGTTTGAGATAAACTGGGTCTCAGATTGCTGTAATGGTTGATGTTGATGAATAATGCTATCAGTCTTTATACACATCTATTGACAAATACTTCATTCAGAAACAGATTTTGAAAATTTGTGTCTATACGAAGATCGTTTCAATTTCCTATTCTTCGCAGTTAATTAAAATAACAGAGCTGGTGTGAAAATTGATCAGATGCAATTGCACTGCAGATCAACCACTCATTAAATTCATTACTATTCAGAAAAATTGTGAATACTAAAAAGAGCCTAAATGATTTTAATTGCAAATAATTTAAAATGTTTTCAATATTATGTTATATAGATAAGGTTAACTGTATAAATGATTTAAATATTATTCATATTTCAATCAATTTCACTTTAAGAATTCACTGTCAAACATGCACAAAGACTCAAACACAGACACACACAAAAATCAAAAATCCACACACTAATCCAGATAAAACATCCTCCGTGCTACACCTTACCTTTCCTTATCCCACAGTGTCACTTCCACCCAATCCTGTTCTCACTTTTATGGCAGTAAACTTTCCAGCATGTCTTCCATAACAAAACCCTTCCGTCGCAGTTGTTAAGGTTTAAATCAGCCGCATACTAACAGCTGAGAACATAAGTAAATAGAGATAATGCCACGGACAATGCTGAAAATGCTTCATACACTTTCACACAATCTATTTAAATCTTAGACTAAATATTAATATTCCAAAGTGATTTTCAGTCATGCACTCAATGTGGCTCCACAAGATGGAAGAAAAGTGCACTTGAGAAAGTTTGTGGGTATACACAGGGTCTTTTTGTAAATACTTATATTTGTTTTTATTCAATGCACTTAACAAAATTCTAGTAGTGCCGAAGATGCTGATTTGTATTCATTGTTCAACTCTGCCTTCTTTAAGTGCTTGAAATGTTTATTAATGCTATCAATGAGGAGGCACTTGACAAAACATTTCTAAGGAATCCAGAACCGTGTAGAAAAGGGACTTATATTGTTTTTTCTTTCCATTCCTCAATGCATTACAATTTTTAATATTGACAACTATAAAAAAATTCAAGGCACTTTATACACCAAATTTCACTTCATTTTTCACCAATGCAAGTACACAGCGTTTTATAAAATATTTTCTTATTCCATATTTCTTCAATCTCTCAGAAAAAAGGAAAGATTTGTGTGATCCACACCATGATCTTAAGAAATATATTAATTAAATTAAAAATGCCATAAGACAGAAAAAAGAATTGCTTACATCTCGTTCCATTATTCAGGCTATTTTCAGCAGACTTGGAATTCTGTTATCCAGTTCTTGTCATTTGATTAATGAAACTTCTCACGTTAAACGTATATGATGCCTAGTTATATGATGTCTGATAGTATCATAAAGACATACAGGTACTTCTAGTCCTTTTCTTAGATGTCTGGTAACGTCTTACTGACTGGAGTCTTATAATTACCAAAGTTGCTACTGTACAGCCTGAAAAATTAAAAAGCACTGCAAACAATTTATGCAAAGCCCAAACAGTTCTGTAAAACTTAGCAAACTGATTACACACAGTGGCACAATGTTTCTTTATGGAATAAAGGAAAATACAAATGCTAGTAGTCTATGGATATTTCCATCACACAGAACAACTAATGGGAAAGTCAACTTCCTATCAATGATCAAATGACCTAGTCAGCAAATAAACTGGTTGTTGCGAAAGGGTCTTGTTTTAAATATCAATTGATAATGATTGTGACTCAAAGGATTATGTTGAAAATCTTTTTTTTTTTTTTTAATTTAATTTGAACAATTTTGGGAACTACTGAACTAAATTATCAAAACCACCATACCTTCTTTTTGAAAAACTGACTTTTTTAATTAAGAAAACAGACTTCAGGTATTCACAAACAATAGAAAAGTCCATATTTTTCTGAACTATATAATTTAAATAAGTCAAAAATGTAAAATGATACTTACCAAACACTGCCATTACTGAAAAGGGTGTTACACAAATGTACATGTTTGAGTGGTGCCAGTATTGTCACCATTATTCCCCACAGAACTGACAAAGACTTATTCCAGAGGTGCTGCAGCTATAAATAACACCTAATGGTTCCCTATCCACAATATTTAATAACAGTTACTTTCTTAACATCCCAAAATTGCTTACCCTGAACATAATGCAGTCAGAAAACACGGACTCTTTTCTTAAAAAGTTGGCACATATATAGCAGTTAAAAGCCACACGATTCTCAATATTATAAACTGTGTAGACACAGGTCTGCCTTTTCTGAATGATTTAATCTTTCTTGGGGACATATCATCAAGTTAATATCAGATTTTGTTGATTTACACTTGGGTCACAGACAAATATTACAGCCAGCATGGAAAATGGTTCCTAAGGATTTATAACCTGCAGCCATTCTGCAATACAATATTAGGCAATGCATTAAGGGTTCATTCACATGAAAAATCTATTTTCTAAAAATCTATTGGCGGTATCTTGTGAACACGGTCTGTGCCCTGAATACCCCACGGCGTAATTACTGGCAGCGCGAGCCAGTTACTTCCAAAGCTGTAATTAATTCTCGGCTGCGCTTGGAGATTCTGACACCTTGACGCATGCGCAGTAGTATCTGTAAGCTGTGGAGTTCATCAGTTTAGTTGTGACGACTCAAGCATACAGACGCATAATATGGCTAGTGGTAGTGCTTGTTGTTGCACAAAATCGACAAACACATTTTTCAAAGCAACTGCGACCGCCATTTACTTTCTAACTTCCTTTAATTAAATATACATCAACAGATCTCCATAGCAAAGTAGTGGAGAAAAAAAAAGGACCAAACAACATTTGTAGCTGTAACAAGATTTATTTATCTTAACCTTTGGCAAAAAGTATTAAATTATTATAAGCTTTCTAATGTAAACTTCACTTCTCTAGTAATTTCAAGCCACTTTTCACTGTATTCTTGCAAAATAACATATGACAAAATGTGCACTACACCCCCTACATACACCAAAAGCCTTCAGTAATACAAAATAATATAAAGAACTTCAATTTTTATGTGCAAGTTTTAATCTATTCAAGCATAATATGTAACAAGGCTATTGTAACTAATACGTGTATCATTGTCGAAATCGAAAATGATATACTGGAAATTAGGGAAAAAGGCTGTTGACTAGGCTTTAGAAAAAAAAATAGGAGGCAAGCATAGCCTGAGTATTTGCAGTTTTAAAAAAATGCCAAATATCAACTTCTGCAAAAGTAAACTCTGTGCAAGTTATTAAATGAAAATGCCTTCTTTTCACAGCACTGCAGTTTTCAGTTTTTCACCTAACTAAAAAGTGACTTTTGTCACATAAGTACCATAAGCAGGGACAAGACCCTTTGGCTCCCAAAAAGTCAGAATTCTGCTGATAAACAGAAAAATCTCAGAACTGTTGTAAGCATCAACAGCACCAAAAAAGTTGAAAATCCCCTCGACAGTTGGAAAAATGTCATCCCTGCACAAGTCATACACATCCAGAACCTTTAATCCTGGATCTATATTTACAACTTTCCATGTGCTTAACCTAATGAACACTGTTTGCACACCAAACCATCAATATAACTGACCTTTCAAGAATGCCAGAATGTTACACATAAACATATATAATTTATTACTTTGAACCATAAAATTAACAAGTTATTGAATTTAATACACAATTTTACAAATATTGACTTCCAAAACACAAGGTTCAAACATGCTCTGAAAAAATTTCCAGATAAATTGTCAAAAGTATCATAAATATGTTCGACTGAGGGGCAAATACAAACAGTTTTAAGAACTTAAAGACAAGATTTCTATCATGATCTAAAGTGATATCTTTGCCATCTAAAATCTGTAAATTCCAAATAAGTTTTTCACATCAACAATCCATCATAATTTGACATTCCAAACAAAAAAACACCAAACAAAACAAAAACATTATGGCACAAAAACTATCTATCATATGGTTTCTCATCTTACATTCAATATATTTTCCTATACATGTAATAATTACAGATAGCTGACTTTTACATCATATAAGAGATGTATTGCAATGCTATAAGACTTAAGATGAATTCAGCTACAAGGGGGTATATAGTCAGCTGACAACAAGTCCATGTATCTGCGACAATATTTACAGCATTTCATGTTTCATGTCCATGTTTTGGCAGCACGGACTTTTTTACCCCAAATCCTTCCAAAGTGAAATGACAATTGAAGCAGTTCATGAAGCATAAAAGTTTGCCGCAACAAAAATAAAAAAAAAAAATAATAATAATAATAATAAAAAGAATGAGACAATTGACTTTTGCAGATATGAAACTACTTTAATTGTGTTCCGCTCTGAATCCCTGAAATCTCCATCTTTAAAAACTGTGTTTTAAAAAAATGACCTCTACTTCAGTACCATAAAAACAACACAACCCCTTTTATCTATCTTTCTGCTGTCTCAAATGCATGTAAGAAAATTATTGGCATGTCCTAATTTGACACACCCCCACACGTTGATGCACTCTATTTGGTCACCTCATGCATGGCATGAGCAAGGTAGTCCACGTTTCCAGATGCGACACCTGCAACCGAGATTCGGCCATCTTTGGTCAGGTAGACAGAAAATTCCTTTGTCAATCTTTCAACCTAGAAAAAAACATCGCCAATAAAACATTTTTGGAAAGGTGGGGAGAGGGGAGAGAAATTGTATGAAACACCAAATACTTAAGCTCAAAACATTGCCTCAAGCCCACATCCATTTCGGTATACAGATCCTTAAGCAGATGGTTGCCAGACATTGACCTGTTTTTACAACCAATTTTTCCCTTTATCTGAAAGATTACAGATAATGCTATTGATCCACTATGCAGGCTGAAAACCACTGTCACCTGTTTTTAGTTTAAGATACACCATGTTGTAACTTATTACACATGATAATAACTGTCACAGTCTTCTTGACAAACTTCTGTTTTACAAGCCCATGGGCAGGGAAGGTGGGGGGGGGGGGTAAAAGAAATGCCATTTTGAGTGGAAAGATGTATTAAATGGAAATATAAGTTGTATGCTATTTCCAAAGCTGAGCCAACAAAGGGGGTACATGTAAAAAGGTTTAAGTTTTCATAAAATGAACCCCCTACCCCTCCCATCCCTTGATACTGCTGGCTCAAGGCCCGCCTGCTTTACCTGGTCTGGCTTGAGGCCAGTGAAGCAGAACATGCCAATCTGATCTGTGATGTGCTGCCAGTTGTGTGAGGAACCCTCCTTGGCCAGTCCATCTCGCAGTCGCTTCCTCATGGTGATGATACGGTCTGCCATGCCTTTCACATCTCCAAGCCTACAATTACACACAATTCCAACTCAGGAGAGAAACACACACTTCCAATCAAGCACACAAACTACGTGAACAATTCCAATTAAGGGTTATATGAGTTAATATCACTTCTTTTAGCCTCAAAATGAGATTAGATACATATACATCATGAGCACAAATGTGGCATATAAACAATAACACACTATTCTTGTATACAAAAAGCCACAAATCGTCTGGTATTACCTCTCGCATCAACTTTATTTTCTACTCCCATTTAGCTGACTATTCATTTTGACTTGTGGCATGATATAAAGTGTATCATTCAATTTGATACTATATACAATACTTTAAACAATAGCTCTATATGAATATATTTTATGTGTTACAACTGTACAATATTGGCCATGCTCAGATGATTTTGAACTGTAAAAATGTAGAAAAAAAAAAAAAAAGTTTACCACTCCTGTCTCAGTTCTGGTGTGTGGAGGATCTTACTGACGATGCGAGCACCGTGGATGGGTGGGTTTGAGTACATGGGACGAATAAGAATTTTTACTTGTGACATCACACGGTCAGCTTCCTCTTTGTTGTCACAGATCACTGTGAATGCACCAGCTCTCTCACCTAATGCAATGAGATTTTTGGGGGTGATCAATGTAATGTGGTAAGTGGAATCTCCTTTCAAAGCAAACAATGAGTGTTAGACTTTTATGTAATGAAATATAATTCACCTTTGATTGTTTAACACATTCCCCTTAATCACCAGGGTTACAATATAGTCCTTTTGTCTTATATCCAAACACTAAGAACAAAGTGGCTGAAATAATAAAATGTTCTCTTGAATCTGCAGCACAAAGACAAACAGGGCCTCACCATAAAGTCCCATGTTCTTGGCAAACGACTGACAGAGGGCTATGTTGTGCCCTTGCTCCAGGAAGTACCTGACAGCCCACGCGTCCCTGTCACAATCGCCGCTAGCAAATCCCTGGTACGCCATGTCAAAGAATGGGAATAGCTTCTTCTTCTTCATTACCTCACAGATCTCTTTCCATTGCTCTTGCTGAAATGGGAGACAAGGGTTAATATGGAAGGCCCATTCTTTGGAATTTGAAGCAAAAAAAAAATTTGGTGTCATTTTATACTAGAGGTACAACTTTTTATTTGTGCACTTCTTCATTCAGAAATAACTATGATGCATGTATTTTTCAAGTCCACGTGAGCAGCTACACGTATTACATGAATTATGTCACTTCCTTAGTAATGCAATATTAAGGGGAGATAATATTTTGTACTTAAATTTTTTTAACCATGTCTCTGAGACATAAGAATTCAAAAATAAAATCAAAAAACCTGCCTCATTCCACAATCAGCGAAATTTCTAATAAGGGATTTGATTGACCAAAAAATTACTCTTAAATCGGAGAATTACAGTACCATGGACCAATCACAAACACAAGAGTCTCAAAACTCTCAAACTCCTTACCTTGGGGTCCACGCCAGTAGGATTATGAGCACAGGCATGGAGAACAACAACAGATCCCTCTGGAAGATTCTATAAATAAAGAATTATTTATCACATTTTCCTCTGAATTTATTCTGATCATGTTCGTTCAATTTGACCCTGTTCTTTTTCTCAGCTAATTTAGACAAACATCAAGCTGGATAAAAGCTGTCATAGTTTCTGTGATTGGTCAAGGGACACATTTCAACAGAAGTGAATAACCACTGTCCTGTTGATCCCCAACCAGTTAAATCTGAGTTGTTCTGATCCAAAAAACAATAAAATATTAGGTCTATACACATTGCATATTTAGTGTAGGATAGATCAACAAAAACTATAGTCAAATAAAGTGTAAAACAATCCACAGATACTATAGAACACGAACCTACATGTAAGTGAGATAGTTAACTGCAGGAGAGTTGTACATCAAGTTGAAGTAGACTTTTTAATTGCGAAAAAAAGACATATCTAGTTTTAAAATGCAATAACATACACTAATATCTTCGAGTGCGCCAGCTGCATCAAAACCACAGGTGGCAGAATCATAGTAACGGTAGGACTTCACGTCAAGGCCAGAGTGCCTGGAAATAGGAACACAACACTGTGTACATATCATCAAATTATGTCATACCATATCATCAAATTATGTCATGTGAACAATGAAAACAATATTGTAAATCTTCTGATTTTCATTTTTATTTTAAATTCATCATTGTATCACAGCTTTTGTCATCTGTACTAGTTTATGAATAATATTTAAATATTACTGGTGCATGTACATACATATGAAAATTATATGGAAAAAAAGTAATGTATGAAAATGTAAGGAAGGAAAAATCATGCATTAAAAATACAAGTAACAAACTACGGGTATCAAAATCCACCCATTTTTCCTGTAGTTTTTTTTTCAATTATGTGTCAAGCTAATTAATCTTTAATCTTACTTAAAGACAGGTACTTACTTAAAGATAGGTGTATGGTTGCCCCAAGATGGTGTGGGAATATAAAACACCTTGCTGGGGTTATACCACTTAGACTGGAAATATTTTATAAACATTTTCCATTAGAAGTATCAACATCCTTTTTAGTAATAAAATGCTTTAATTCATTACAAAGAAAAAAATACTCCCACTCATAAAACTTGTTGTACAGGTTAATTTTGTCCATGTTGTTTCTATTAGTTATTTGCAATTTTGTATGTGTGTGAGTGCAAGCGTGCATGCATATGTACGTGCGCGCATGTGTACAAGACAACAATTACAGAAAGAAACCCTTACTTACTATAAATTCACTTTAATCCATCACTCTTCTGTTCTTTATACACAATTATGTTGGTAATTTTATTCTAAAGTTTAATAAACAGATTAAAAAATTTAAACAACTAACATTTTTTTAACTTACAAAGAAAGCTGCCCCCACTCTGAGGGCTCCTGTACCAGAAATGGCTTGAGTGGTGACATTCTGAAAAAAAAATTATAAAATTGACTTAGATTGAACAGAAACTCTTTTTCATTAAATATTACGGGTTATGAAATTATTTACCTTTCAAAAATATTATTACAGTCAAAAAGCTATCATAATCATTTAATGATAAAATCATACCAACAACTCAGTCCTCTGTTATCTTTCAACCTTTAACACAAGTCAAAAAGGGTAATAAAATATATATCAATTGAGGACAGTCATGTCTTAATATGTCAATGACATATTAAGTTTTTGCTGAAAACCATGAAGCAGACAAAAAACACCCTTACCTGAGTAACACGGGTAAAAAAAAAACAATCTTAACCTTAAGTTCAGGTTAACATTGGATTAAACTCAACACGTGGCAAAAATGGAGTGCAGATTAAAAACAGACTGAGACCACATTCAGGGAGAGGAGAAGACAAATTTTTCAGAAAAAATTTTAAGCATGAAACTAAAAATTATAATAGAAAAACATTTTTAAATTTTTATTAAACATGACATATATACATAGTTTTAGTGATATTATTTCTTTTTAACTCCCCAAAAGAATATCTTATTCTGAAATAACATAAATTATTTTTAGAAGTCTAACTCCTCAGCTCCCCTAAAAATTTGGTTCATTTAAAAGACTGTTCTTGCCACAGCTGGAATGTTGTATCAACAATTGAGCTCCTGTTTGATATGACATTATTTAAACACCTTGGTCTCATGCGAAATTCAATTGCTTTGCTACACACAGTGAATAACATGGCTCTATCTAAAGCCCCTGCAAAATAAACTGGCTCGTTGGTCTAGGGGTATGATTCTCGCTTTGGGTGCGAGAGGTCCCGGGTTCAAATCCCGGACAAGCCCAGGATATTTTTACTTGCTTCCTGTGGTTTCATGATGCTAGAAAATATTTACACTTTCAGGAAGTCTTCGGATCTATGGATTATATCTTTGCAGTTACTAAAAAATAAAATAGATAAAGATTTTTTTTTTTTGAAGAAGAAGAAGAAGAGGAAGAAGAAGGGGGAATACAAAAGGCATGACCTTAGATTTACACTGAAGTTCAAATTCAACACAAGATTACTGGATTTCCCATTTTTCTTTTTTATTGCTATTCTCCATTTTTCTCTCCCCTTGTGTATATCAATGCTGCACCTTCTCACACCTAACACAACTACTGGTACCAAGGGTCTACTTCTCTGTCAAATCTCAATGATCATAACTTCGTAACTATTATTGTAAGTATTTTCATTTAGTAAGCAGGGAGTAAATTTATAATTTCTTATATTGAAATATCAAATTATTTTGCTTTAAGATTTAAAAAGCATTTGAATCCTATACTGTCTTAACCACTCCTCACTCACCTCTGCCAATGAAGAGTATTGTTCTCTGAGTTTGGAGACAACAGGATATTTCAGAACCCCAATACCAAAGTTTTCAGTTGTTTCTTCATTCTGAGCTTTAAAAAACTGCTCATTTTTTTCACAACAAGTTGACTCATTATATAAACTCCTGTATTTCTGTAAAATGTTCAAAACTGGGATACATCCCTTAAAATTTTGTGTAAGCTCCATAAAACAGAAACTGAAAATATAGATCAAATACACCTGTGGTTAATCTGGTCTATCCAAATCTTTACCCAAAAATGTAAGGTCAAATGCACTAGTGCTGTTAAAAAGTATCATAACCAATACTTACCCTTCCATCAGCTAACACTGGATTGTTTTCTCCAAGTGCCAGAGCTATGGCAGCTTTACCAAACTCTGGGATCCCAATAATTCCAGCATACTCTTTGTCCATGTTAGCCTCCACTATCATTTTTTCTGCCTGAAATAATAATAATAATAATAATAATAATAATAATAATAATAATTCAAAGAAGTTAGCAAAGTGGACACAAAAAGGATACCTCCAAGTCCATTTTCAACAAACTATAACCATGAGCTTTGTGACTGAATACAGAATTTAATGGAATGGATATTAATTCACATGTATAACAGTGTATATATATGCAACTTATCATAAAATCAAGTGAGATTCTTTCCAGATCTAATTTGGAAGAGTGGGTTCAGACTAGCAAGTGATATGAACTGAAATATGACATTCGACGTGAAATTAAAAAAAATGAATATTAATGTGCTCTATAATAAAACGCAACCATCTTATTAATGAGGAGTCTCTTTTTCAGCCATAATATCTTGTACATTTGGTAAATCATGTACTAGTATCCTGAATATCTATTAAAATTTATTTGATAGCAATGTTCACAACAGCTGAAAGAGATTTCAAACAAAGATGAAAATCATTTACGGCATTTGACAGGGCTGAACTAACAGCGGTGCATAATCTGTATTACCTTTTTAACAGAGGGCAAGACGAATGGTTTTCCATCATCGCCTCTGTATGCCCCAACGCCAAGATTCATCTTCTTGGGACTGGTGTCACGCTTAAAGGCCTCCGTTACCCCCAATATGGCGTCTGGAGGACCCATTTCCACATTTGTCCACCATGTACTAGAAGAAAAACAATAATGGATTTATTTGTCAAACTTAAATAGACATTTCTACATAACTGGAGCACAGGAAAAAATCATTACCAACTTCACACTAACTGAACTTTGCAGGTTCAGGCACAAGAGTTACTAGATGTACCTGCCATTGCTATGAAAGGATTATTCATTATTCATGAATGACATGATAAGATAATCATGAGAATTGACTCCCTACCACAGTACTGGTTATGTAAGAGTTAAATTTATTTGTTATCAAGAAGTGGTAGTTAAATGGTTCCATACACAATTGTGGAATTTCCAAGTAACAGAAGACATCATTTCCAGACAAAGTTACTGTCATCTTTGGCTTCAGTAAAGGTGATGTGGGCTTTTAGTATTACATAACTGTATTACTGGCTAGTACAGTCACATGCAATATGCAAAGCGTACAGTGTACTACATCATAATATTGTGTCATTCTTGTAATGAACAACTGCTATAGACCATTCTAGAATAAATGCAATTTCAATGCAACATATTATAATTTTATACGCATTGAGTAATTTGGCCAGCTGGGGCATTGAAAAGATATGAATGTAATATATGCACTGCAGTTCTGTAGTGCATGAAATTACACAAGACAAGTACTGTAACAGTACATGTATATAAAGGCCATCATCTTTGAATAAAAAAGGGGGCAGATGTGCTGCAGGTCTTATTAGATGGCGACGAACAGCAACCACAAACACCACAGTACATGTTGCTGTAGCCCGTATCGTTTAAAATACTGTATACACTTTAAACAATGTAATCTACTTTAACATGTGATCAAACCGTGATCAACTTTAGCAGACAACCCGCTATTCTAGTTCAATACAGGCGGTATGACAGCACATTCAGCCGTGAATCTTCTACAGGAATACTTACGCTGATCTTGTCTGTCCCGACGCAGCGACAAGTTTCGCTCCATGGCCGAAATATTTGGATAAAACGGCAGCTTTGCAATAATTTTGAAGAGCCATGCTGAAGTTCTACAAGGTGACCTTGACCCAAAAATCACGAAATGCTGTTGCACAATGGGTGCGTGCTCAACTAACACAATTTTCAGTGACATGATGTTTGGATCGTGTGAATGGATAGTTGTCACAGCGCCTGTTAGGCGAAGAATATCATATTTATAAGGTTACGTTTTCTAAACCCAGAACCAGGCCCTATATGATAACAATTTACGATTTCGTGGGAGACCTTGTTATCCTTATGTTTTTTTTTTAATTCTTTTTTTAAAGAAAATGATACAGATGAGTCAGAAGGTCTATTGTTACCATTTTTCGGACCAATGAACCTTCGGACCAACGAGCCTTCGGACTATCGAGATGCCCACCAGATAAGAGTCTATTCTCGCCTAGGAAACTTTTGGAAACCACATGAACCAAATGGGTAGGAGTAGAGGAGAAACGGCGGTATGGAATCCCTAACTGTCGCTTTTAATCCCCTTTAAAGGCCTACTGCGCTCTAGGAACACATAGCGTTCACTGCTTTTTTTACAGTATAAAAACTATAAATCCACGTCAAAAAATTGTTCTTTTTAAGTTTTAGAGAGAAAAGATGAGATTTAGATGAGAAAATTCTGATTGGTCAGTTTCTAGTGACGTAACCCGGGTAGTAGCTTCCCACAGCTGTACTAGTAATAGTATATAATATGCAGTAGGTGACTAAACATCCAGGTGTCAGAAAAACAAAATGCCGCAAAGTTGTGTTGCTCCCGGGTGCCGTAATGTAGGTAACGATAAGAAAGACATCTGCTATTATATCCTGCCTGCGGATGCCGCAAAACGTAAAATTTGGCTCAATTCTCTGAAGTTAAAAAATCCCAGCACAGTGTCAAAACACGCGAGGATCTGTAGCGACCACTTCGAGCCGGAATGCTTCGTACGTGACCTGCGAGCTGAATTGTGCGGTGGAAAAGCACGGAGAAAACTAAAAGATGATGCTGTACCCAGTATATTCGATTTTTCGGAGTACCAAAATGCGACAGTAAATGCCAGAGCGCTGCCGACGAGAGTCTTACCTGTAGGATGTGTGCATGATGCGGCCGTCGAAAGGAAGAAGAGAGCAGCTTCTAGAGCCCAAAAAAAGTTCGTAGCAGAATTACGTTGTCGAATTTTCTGGTTATTTTAGTGAAAACTTTAATATTAACATGATAGTGGACTCAAATTTTTACTCGACATACTGCTGCACTGATCACGTGTAAAGCGGAAGTAGCGAGGTAAGTTGCAGAGGTGTGAAATGTAGTGTCTGATGCTATCAGTCCAATATCTTTGGCCTTTTGTCCACTGCCCTGGCTCTCCCGGAATGACACTGGTAAACTGCACGGGTGTGAAAAATAATGTTAGCTGTCACACCTGCATTATAAGGTAACTTTCTCTTATCAGTCGGGATAAGAACGTTCAGCCGACGCGACAGATGGGCATGTGTGAAAAACTATGTTTGCTGCCCTGATTCCAAACCTTTACTGTTAACAAAGTTTTGGTGTATTTTGTTGGTTAATAAATGATAACCACGTAGGGAATTAATCTTCTTTTGTGTATCTATCTTCAAAAGTTTGAATTTATAAATGATCATGTAGTAATCAATTGCGTGTATCGCTTTTAGTTTGCACTGCTAGCAAGCGGATAGCTGAATCGGATATGGCTTTCTGAGCCTCGACGCAAGTGACGTCACTCGCCTCAAAGCACCACCACGCGGGAGTATCATAAACTAAATTCACACCTGCATAAAATCGGCTTTAAAAACTAAATAAACGTAAGAACTTTTTTTCATTACTCAAAAATGACTTTTGGGCACCTAATGGATAGTTTTAACCCGTTTTTTCATCACAGTATACCTTTAAGCTTCCCCTTTAGACTCCCAGCACACACGCTCACTGGGTAAACGACGATTTTAGAATTTGGAATTTATTATATTTCTATGAGTTGTTTTACAATATCTTTATTGTGAAGTATGAATCTCATACGATCAGTTGTCGTTCTTTTAAATATGAGGAACACTGACAAATAACTACATGTAGCCTACGGTCTTTCCCGTCTTAGACAGGTGTCCCAAAACCGAAATAAAACGGACAGGCGCGCGTTCTCATTGAGTTCTTTTTACAGTATAAGATTTTTATCACCTCGACTAGCTAAGAGATTATATGGATTTCACAGACACAGATGGCGTAGGTTTTTTTAGTTACCAAAAGTATTTTACCACAGTATCGCTGCTGCATGATTTCTAGCCATATTGTGATTCAATGTGCAAGATCTTCCTACCTCCCCTGCAATGTACTAATTCTTAACTTACCGTTCCAGTATTTATCATTATAAAACTTTTTTCTCCGTCATCAACATATATACACCTTGACGAGGGCGTATATACAAAAATGTGACAGGCTTATTTTAATATATGGCTTTAAAATAAAATATAATATATGGATTTTCTGATTGAACCATGTGTTTTCATAAATTATTTTAGCTTTTCTCAATAACTTCTGTAAATTTTAAATATCGGGCATATTGTTTTATTCGAAAACTCATCCAAGAGCCCAGCGAGAGTGTCTTATTTGAATTCGATGACCGTTAACACAGTTTACGTGAGGTAAGCTACAGTCAAACGGTAAACTTCTCATGTTTTACAGGAGTCTAATTAAATATGAATGTTAGACCTATGTAACAAAAAATCAATTTTCCTAAAAACTTCAACATTCCCTTCACCACCAATTTGCAGTATTCCATATCTAAAACGGTTCACAAAATTGCGCTCCTTGAGCCGTTTTTAAGCAACAATTAAATTTGTAGCTTTTGTAAGGAAGATAGACTCTGATGAAAGCTGCACCAGTAAACTGATGTTAACAAAATATGCTGTTACTCCGAGTTTCAGTCGACATTACAAGTAGTTTTTTTTAATTGAGCGCATTTGCTTATGCAGGGAGAGATTTTTGCATACTCCTCGTCCTACATTAATAAAAACTTGATCAGCTTAACTTGTAAAAACAGTTTGGAAATATCGGTACCATTCCAATAAACCCTCACACAAACAATAAACATTATAGGTAAGACTCTGTGTATTATACGTGACATCGATTATATACGCACAACTCTGAGCCACTGTTTCCAGCGTATTTATATGAAGATATAAAAATTGTTTTCTAACATGCTTAAAGCATTTAATCCCTCTTCGGATATGCGAACTTACACAAGTGTTTGCCTGTGTACTCGAGACGTGGATGACGAACAAACTCCTTCCGTTTTTCTACCTATTGATAAATTATTCTCGTCCGTTACTGCTACATGCTAGGTGTGACAGAACCTTCATAAGAGGAGCGTGCATGGTTCTGTGATCCTTAGTTGCATAGAGCTTTGCTCATTTATCTATTTTTGTGAAGAAGAGTGAGTGTAGGGCATTTGGAACTATGGCGTTCTGAGCAAACCTTACAAAATACACCACATACAGATACGGCACAGGCATTAGGTGAATTTTCAGTGACCTCTGAATATCAGGGTGACAAAATGTATACTAAACGAAACAGGTGTGAGTGTTCCCATTGCGTTCCTATTACGGGATAAGTTTTTATCAGCTCTACTAGCTGGAATATCATAATATACTGATTTCACAAACGCAGCTGGCGTAGGTAAATTCAGTTACCAAAAGTGTTTTACTGCAGTATGATTACTGGGGTGCCCCGATGCATTACAAAAAAAAAATGCAAAACAAAAAATAGTAAAACAACCTAAACCTGCCCTATGTAACCGAAAATCATGTTCATCATCCCACGACTAAAAGTTCTGAACAACTTAGAATAATCTAACCTTCTGTTAAGCTACAGTTTTACTGTTATTCCCCAAAAATAAAATAAATAAGTAAAAATCCCCACCGCCACCGGGGTTGCTTGGTGTCAAATATTTTGTTGAAGTAGAAGTAAGGATATTATTTATTATATTTTGGATTGACGATAAGTCAAGAAAATTTTATTAATGGACTAGCATTGAGTCATATGTAATATGGTGTGACAAAGAAATTTCGAAGACCGCTGCAATGAAATACGTCATTCTGCCTAACCTAGTTATGGATCCCATATCAATGAAAAGCAACACAGCCTCTCCTATAGGCCTGTTTAGCAATTTGTCCTTATTAATGATGGCGCACATCTCTGTGTTCGTAGCTCTTGTTATATTCGTCTCCGGAACTTTTTCAGATTCTCAAAATGATTTCTTGAAAAAGATGCAGTTGTACAATTTGACGTTTCGGATAAAATCCATGAATGATATGTTATTCAAGGAATGCCGCAAAGTGGTTGACGTCCTGGGAACACATTCGCTTATTGGCAGACGACAGTCCGGACAGTCGGCTACCTACGACATTGATCTAGAACTCGCTTTGGCACGCGCTAATTTGGACCACTTAAAGGTTGGAAGTTTGCAGTTTGGTTCAGTTTAACATGTTCTTTGTTCGAGGTTTCATTGTTCTTTCAGGTCCAATTGTAGATTTGCATCCCCCGTCAATTCTAAGCACAGTCAATAATTACATATTTTGGCACCTTTTTGAATTTGGTAACTAGCCCTTCATTTTACTCGAAAGTGCATCCCGTCTTTAGCGTAATTCGAGCTTTTATATGTACTATTTTAAACAAATGCACTTTTCCTTATAACATACTTCACCTTTAAATATGGTAACTAGCCCTTCATTTAACTCGAAAGAGCATCCCTCTTTAGCGACATACGATTTTTTTAAGCGTAGGCCTACTATTTTTAACAAATGCATTTTTCCTCGGAAAAATCAAAGATTATAATTGTCATTTAACTTTATCAATTCATATTCGTAAAATTTACCTCTGTAATATTTAAAGAACATGTACTTGGAGTGTAAGGCTCAGCAGCAGCGCACAGTGCCCGCAACCACAGCTAAAACAACCGCTACGAATGCAACCCGTGTACCCACAACCACAACCACAACTCCGACTTCAACCCAGCTTCCTACGACCACAACCACAACCACAACCACAACTCCTACTACAACCCAGCTTCCTCCGACCACAACCAAAAGTACGCACGGGGCTTTATTTCATAAGTGCACTTGCTTTCATTGATAATAACCTGTTGTGAATTCAAGTTAATGCCACAGTGTGTTTCATACATGTAGCATATTTCGAATTTTGAATACCAACTATTACAGAGATTTAATTGGAAAAAAAAACATTTATTTCATCATCTGTTTAGGACCATAAGAAAACCTATACGAGATTCAAGTGTTATCTTGATCCACATGTAACTAAGAGAAATGCAATATTTTGTAGATGGCGTTTTTATATTATATTATATTATATTATATTATATTATATTATATTATATTATATAACAAAGGTCCAAAATGTCCTCCAAAATCCGAGAGCCTCGGTGGTAGTTGCTATATATTTATGAACTTCAAGACGTCCTGGCAGGGTGCTAAAGGGTATTGTGAACAGAGAGGTGGCTACTTGGCAGAAATCACTTCCGCCAGTGAACAGAGTATCATGGCAGACATTATGAAGAGAAATAGTGAGTAAATGTTTTTTAGATAAGTGCAGGACCCCCCTTTAATACTCACGTTGCTGAAAAAATTGAAAGATATGTCACATATCTCCGATTTGAATATAGTTTACCCCCCCCCCCCCCATCTTTATCGTAAAACACATAATCTTGAGGTTTTAGAAATAAGTTTGTTCGATAAATCTTCAATAAATAATTATGGACTACAATTTCTTATAACATGGGTATATTTCAAAAATAATAATAATAATAAATAATAATATAAAAAACACAATAATAATAATAAATAATATGAAAAATACAATAATAATAAATAAATAAATAAATAACTGACATCTGTTTCAGCTACTGTGAGAGATCATGCCTGGATTGGTGGAAACGACGCACAACAAGAGGGAAGATGGCGCTGGGTGAGCAGCAACACCATTATAGACAAGGCGTTTTGGCAACCGGGAGAGCCTAATGGTTCGACCGAACAAAATTATTTGTGTGTGAAGACATACGGAAATTTTATCGGGCGATTGAATGATTGTATAAACTCCGCCAACCTTCCTTTTATTTGTGAGTTTACTCCCAATAATTGAAATATCTGTATGGTTACTGTATCATTCTTTTAAGATCGTTGATACTGTGCATGTTACATTATAAGGCGAAATTGAAATTAAGTCCCGCGATTTGTGTAACATTAGACGAACACAATAAACTAAAAATGCATGACATTATATCAGCGTTTCTCTGATTTTTATATTCACCAATTGTTCAGTTTCTCCACAACGGATCGTACAAGATTTACATTGTTGCTTTAGATTTGCATTACCTTTTCCAATGTTCGGCTATATGTAGTACTAGTTTCCGTAAGTTTTGTGTTTAGGACAGACGATAACGTACAAAGATAACGTGACCTGAGCTATACATATCTATAAGTACCCAGGCGCAAGCGATAATCTTTTCATGTAAAGAGTCCACAAAACGAACGTTATACTCTTCCATATTGTATTAAAATGTAATTTTCCTTCAAATTCCACCTTTCCCCCAAGGTATATCATAGCCAAACAACCTTCGCAGGATTACGAACCAAATTCCTTTTTTGAGTAATCTTTTTCTAGATTTTGCTTCACTCTCGTAATGAAGATACATTTATCTTTAAGTAAACTTCTTTTCTGTATTATTCAATAAAGAACATGTACTTGGAGTGTAAACCTCAGCAGCTGCGTAAACGTAGGCCTACCCGCAACCACAGCCAAAACAACTGCTACGAATGCAACCCGTGTACCCACAACCACAACTCCTGCTAGACTACAAGTCAGCCAGCTTCCTCCGACCACAACCAGATTTCATAAGTGCACCTTATTCCGCTGATTAGAGTCTTGTCATTAATTAATCTTTGTATACAGCAATAGTGTTGTATACATGCAACATATCTGGATTCAGAATGCTATAGAATTGTGAAAAAATGATTAAAAAGAAATTTAAATCTATTTCATCATCTCTATTTTATTAAATGTGCTATATGCAATGACGGCTCCCAGAAACGGGGTTGGGACGCGTGTTCTCTCGGTTTACCTGTAATTAGTAAAATAATGTTTACACTCTAACCTTGGCGTTTGTATAATATAGGACCAAAACATCCTCCACAATTTGAGAGTCTCGGTGACTATCTGTTAAGAAACACTTTGAAGTCCTGACCGCATGCTTTGCGAACAGAGAGGTGGCTGCTTGGCAGAAATCCCCTCGAGAAGTGAACAGAGCATCACGGCTGACATTTTGAAGAGAAGTAGCGAGTACATGTTTTTCGACGCATAAAATGAGTTCAAAGTGTAACATTACCATTGTTGACGAAAAATATGGAAGATTAGTCTAGATGCGCTGTACACATTTTTATACGAGTCAACCTGCCTTCTCCGCAACCTTTATGAAAACATATGATCTTCAATTTTTGGGAATACATTTGTTCAATCAATCTTTCGATAAATAATACATTGCCTGTGTGGATTTGAAAGATAATAAACATGTAACAATTTCAGGTACGCTAAAAAGTTCAATGGCCTGGATTGGCGGAAGCGACTCACAGCAAGAGGGTGAGTGGCGCAACAGCATTAACATCGACAAGAAATTTTGGAACACCTAGTTCTTTAACTGAAACAAATTACCTCTGTGTTTATAAACGTCGATATTCTGTTGGGCGATGGACAGGTTGTTATAACAACATCTCAATTATTTTTCTTCGTGAGCTATCCAAATAACAAAGAAAAACGGTAGTGTTATCATGACTGTCTCAATCGTCGGTCTATAGGCACACGCCATGTATGTAACATACAGTGTAATACGTATGCAATATAGTAAAACAAATTTAACTGCACGATATATCTTAGTCTTTTTTCCGAATTTTTGTTTATTATTCGTTTACATGTGTATAATACGGCGCTGTATGTTATTAAGCATTGTGTTCAAATATTCTGCTTTCTGACTCCTAGGACACTGTTGACCGAGTATGTGGTAGCGATTTACCCTCTACTAGGGATACAGATTGATTCTCCATTAAATATTAACAGATTTGTCTCTGGTTAATTCATGGCGCATTTTGCCTAGTTGGAGAAAAGTGCACATAATTGATCTGCGACCCCGGTAGAGGGAAGTAAGGGCATATAACTCCATGTAAATTCACACCAGTAGAGTTAAGAACGAGGGCAGTTATGCATTTCCCTAGCCTCAGGAAGGAGACCGAGTTGAAGTCGGGAAAGACAAGCGCTTATTTGTATCCAACTGTTGTACAGAGAACTAACAGGAAAGCGGACAGGTAAAATTTTGAGACAGGCTGAAACGTCTATCTTTGCTATTATTATCTTTACTCAGTTAAGACACGAGCGAACCAACCTTTCTCTTAGTGTCAAGGACCTTGCTGAAAATTTAAAATAACCCAGATGCAGCAAGTTTTTAATATGTTTGGCAGTGCGTGGTCAAAATATATCGCATTAAAACATTTAGATTGGAACTGTGCAGGAAAATGAGCGAAATATACTGTAGAAGATGTGCCACTGGCGCTTTTAATGGCAGCAGAATACAGAAAAAATCACAATTTTCGTTCTGGTTCACCCTGAGAATGTACATTGTTTGTAATGTCTGACATAGCATACATACGCGCTTTAACAATTTGGGGCCTATCCAAGTACACATCATTATTAATTTTATTTGATAAAGATTGTTGCGAAAGACGTTGTATGATCTTGAAATTAAAATATTGAAATAGTAAAGTGAACAACAGATGAATTACAAAAACTTTGATTTCATTTTGTATTTGTCATTTTCCGGATATATCCAATGTGATGACCAGTCGCTCGCCTGTGTATACCATATTTACCTCAGCAGCACATCATATACAATATTAATGGCCATCATTGAGGCCCTTGCCCTGGATAACGTGTTGCGTGACCTTAGCCTTAACGACTCGGTGCAGCGGTTTAATCTGTCTAACACATGTTAAAGCTATCTCTCTCTTTCTCTCTCTCATGCACACACATAACTTGGTCTGTGTTGCGTTTTCTTAGTTTTCTTTCTTGTACTTAAATACATAAAAAAATTGATTACTCCGACAGCCATTCCTGTACAGTGCCTTTGTTTCTGTGTTTTTACAAGCTAAATCTTCATTGACTGTATAATTTATTACTGCGAGATGTAGCATACTTTACGACGGGTTACAGGTAAGGCTTGTTATGTTCGTTGTTGAATATGAATAGCATCCTAATGCTCTTCTCTATCATCCACATGTTACTACTGTGAGGGAATTGTGCCGCTTAATTTCAAATTAAGTTGCTAATTGTTATTTATCGCGATAAACAGCATGGCGTACATGTACAACTACATGTACGTCGAATAGGCATTCAACCCACAGTAAGTACTACTTTTTAAAGAAGTTATCAAGCGCACTGATGCTGTTATTGAAACCAGAGACGGTGAGTAGTGAGCACCAGACCGAAGGGTGTGTGTGTGTGTGTGCGCGCGTGCGTGTATTTTCGTGCCAGCGTGTCTAGATGTCCTCTGTGCATCTGTCTTTTGTGCGTGTATGATAGCGTGTAGTCACCTATATTTTATTTTATGAGTGCACTGGTAGGTCCTGAGGCAGGAATTTTGAAAGACACAAACAGTAGTGTTTTGTGGAAGTCGAACGGCTGAGCTTTAAGTTGAAATCGGCGCGCGAGGTGGTAACACTCGAGTTCGGGCGCTATCTTTATTATAAAATTTGTTGATTTTACAAATCTTATTTCATGTACAGCACTGTATTCCGTATGGGGAAATTAGAACCTGTAATAACATACTGTTGCCTATTAATAACACGAATATTATGATCTGTAATGTTTGACGTTACTTGTACGTAACCATGGGTCACCCTATTTATTAGCGTGTGTCTGCCAATCAACTTTCTTATCGACGTATGAAATATGAATATTTAAGCGAGGTCAGAAACGAACGCGCACATACAAATAAACACTCGTCCACACGCGATGGCATACGTCCTCATTTATTCACTCACTGCCGCAAACTGTAATTAGTAAAATAACACACGCGCGCGCGCGCACACACACACACACACACACACACACACACACAGCATTATATTATCACTTTTGTAATATATCTATATCTCAATCGTCCCTTAATTGCAAAAATACCCTGCATAGGCAAACAGGCCACTGCTTGGTGTAGCTTATTGCTGAATATTTGACACCTCGTTTAAAGGTGAACTCAGATGAACCCCTTATCTGTAGGGGTTAGTAGAGTGGTCTATTCTAGTTGCCTTTTAAGTCAATTGCTCGGTGAATAAATCATCATTTCAGGTAAGGCAGTATTGTCTATGGTCTTTTATTAATGTGTACCATCATGCTGAGTTGTGGCATACGAGACAAAGATATAACCCTACGGATAACGTGCGGATATTAAGAAACAAAATTGGTTTCACGATTCTACGTATGTGTTGGTTCCTTTGGTCAGAAATTATCAAAATTGTCACTTTGTCCTAGGGCTAAGTAAACTAGTAAACTGGGTCCTAGCTTTAGAAGAGTGGTCCGTTGGGTTATTGAAATGTCTTAAAAAAAGACGAAATCATATTTGTACAAAAGTTTTAAATCGTATAGTCAGTCTCATATTATGTTGATGAAGTTCAAAGATAGAAAGGATGTTCACAGACAAAAAGAGCAATAAATAGTAAATTTCACGCTCGACTAGCACCTCGAATTTAATGAATTTAAAAAACATAAATTGCCCAAGAATATCACACTAGTCCATGAGATGAACTCTGCATTTATGAAGGAAGAACGGCAAGATGTACTGTTTTTTTTACCTTTTTTTTTTTTTTGGGGGGGGGGGGGTTATATGTACTTTTTCTGAGGGTGATTTGAATGTTTTACGTTTGTCGTCAGTCTCTTTGTTGCAAAGCATTCTATCAGTTAATACATTGTACAGAGGACCGAATATTGGGCGATTCTATAAAAGTAATACACCTATTCGGTTCTTGCTTTCCATTATGGTAGACTAATGTGATGCATATATCCTTAGATGTAAGTCAGGTTAAACATTTTTTGGATTCATTAACCAATCAAGGTGACAGCCGAGCGTGGGAAGGCCATTTCGTATTAGTTCTGCATATACTTGTACACGACAAAATATCTTTCTGTGGTCACCGCGTAGGCAATGATATCTAGGCTAATGTTGGCAAGGCAAGGCTATATCTCAGTTGTCTGAGTTAATGTGTGCCTAAATACATATATTCATGATTTATTCCAGTATCGCACATAGTACATGTCAAGGCCAAGACTTGGAAAAGGGGATAGGCCTTTTATGTACACTTGCATTTGTTTATTGTACAAATCTTGATACTTAAAAACTTGCTGTATTGTTTTACAGTCAACAGAAAGCAATTCAGCAATATCTACATATTATCCCATTTGAATTTTTACATATTTTTATATATATTATCAGTAATACTACACCATGAACTGCCTAAGACGCCGACGCGAGAAAGAAGAAGCTGCTCAGAAGATCAACTCCTTCACCACGTCCGTCAACAAAGACCCTTACCTGAAGATACGCGTCCGTAAGGGGGAGAGGACCCCGGCCAGCCTTCAGCAGTACATCTATGTCCCGGGGGAGAGACTGGAGGGACAGGTCCTGTTAGAACTGGGTGGGGCCATAGAAATTACAGCTCTCGAAGTCACGCTTAAAGGTTGGCCTAAGAATAAATTCATTTTGTAAAAAAGAGAAAACACAAAAGAATTAATCAATTAACAAAAGAAAAAAAAACATAAAAAAATACGTGCAATTACTTATAATTTTTTCTCCGAATTAAAAGACGTGAAAGTACTGCCTCAGTTTTCAGCACAATAAGATGGTTCGACAATCTGTACACGTATCAAGCGAAATAGACGAATTTGAGTTAAGAAACATTTAGAGGTTTGGCAGAAAGAAAGATGGTTGAACATCTCACTTGATTATCTTTCTTATTCATAAAAATGACAGTAATCTGTACTGCCTATATTGCAATGTCTAGCATGAAGGTGGTGCTGGGATGTAATAGGGTGGAGACATGCTCATAATTTTTCCTCTGTTTTTCTTGTTAGAAATGGTATGTGAATGATAGTCACATTAGAATCCTATTTAATTTCTCTTGTTTTTTTTTCCACAGGCCGCCATATATTTTGGTACATGTCAAAAGACGACATGGGACGTGCTCTGCACACAAAATCTAAGATATTCTTAACAATACACGATCTCCTCTGGACGGAAGATAACACCACTGGCAAGAAACTTAATAAAGGCAGAAACATTTATCCCTTTGAATTCTTCTTGCCTGTTGCCATTCCAAGCACTTTGAAGGTTGGGAACAACATAAAAGGTGCACGAATCAAATACGAAGTCAAGGCAACTTTTTATACGAAAGGTGGCGCAAAGGTTCACTCCACTATTGCTGAAGCCTTCGTCTCCCGCGTTCTTCCTAACGACTTGGTGCCTGAAGAATTTCAGAATCCTGTTCAAGAACTTAGACGACAAATTTATTTCTGTGGGGTATGGTCCTTAAAATGCAATCTACACATGCCCAAAAGAATTTTCACGGAAGGGGAGACTGTACCAATTGACATTCACGTTGAAAATAATACCGGTCTAAATATAACCGAAATTCAGTGTATTTTATATCAAACAGTGCGAGTCAAATGCACGCTTACAAAACACTACCGCTTCCAAACACCAATTTCGCGATTATTATTGCCCGTTCTTATCGAAAACGGAGAGGAGAACACCTTTGACAATATCTTAATGCCAGTGCCCATACCATTGGAAGCAAGCAGTCTACACCACCAGGAGAAGTGTCTAAACAGAGTACGCATTGCGTATTTTCTGAAGGTGATCCTGAAAACACCAACTTTCGCTTTTAAAGAAATCACGGTTTCCTGCGTCCCACTGTGTATTACTACGTTGCAAAAAACGGAGACGCCGAGGCTACATGGCTGTCCGGCTGCTTTGTCTCACCAAGGAAGTATTCATGAGGTTTTTGACAAAGTCGTAAGGGACGCCAGAGAACTTATCTGCATCATCAAAGAACATTAGTAGCCACACTGACCGAGGACAATCCTGCATTTTTAAAGGTGTTAAGAAGACATTGACCGTGGTGGACTTATGGCGGCGTACAGAACAGAATGGATCTCGTTGAACAGCCGATGGATTTTCTTTTTAATCAAAAACCGAAGTGAAAAAGACTGAAGATTTTTCTTTTTATTGGACGTTTTTATTATTTCAAATAAACGACAAACATGACATATAGTCGCTCTTTAAATAACCAGTGCTCGAAAAACTGCTTGGATGCTTATGTTGGATGTGCTACCCTACACTTGAAAATGGTACAGACTCAATGCTAACAGACACAAGGAGTCTTTCGTTCTGTACATACATTCACACGCGGTTGCATGCGTCTCTCTCTCTCTCTCCGCCAAAATTCCAAATCACCAAAATATTTCGTGGCTTCCATCATAATCTGAGAATTTTCACACCATATCACGTATCATTACGCCAACACACACACACACACACACACACACACACACAGAGAGAGAGAGAGAGCACAATCAACTGGGCGCATTCGCATCCACTAAGCACACCCAATGAGCCTTATATATGTGTATATAGCTTATTGGCACACCTAACACAACCGATATTCAGATTCCTTCTTCCTTGATTTATTCACTATTTTAAAATCCGTTTGTTACCTGGTAGCATTGAAAGTTGAAATAGAATCTTTAAACGAAATGTACACCAAGTTTGTTTAACGTACTGGTACGGGATTCGAATGGTTCGGCGGTCAAAATTCCCGTCGTGTTCTTCTTCTTGGGTATTGGGAGTTGCTTGGGATCACATTCGGCTATAAGGGCTATACCTTGACCGATTGATGAATCTTAAAGCTATACGAAACCCAGGGGCGGATCCAGGATTATTTGAAGGGGGGGTCTGCGGATGCGAAGCCGCCCCCCCCCCCACTTGGTGTGGGGTTTGGGGCCCTTCAGCGGGCCCCGATAAATTTTATTATTTTAGAGGGCGAACGGTGCCATTTGGTACGGTTTAGAACTATGATTCAGCTAGTCAAAATTACTTTCAAGAGGGGACCAGATATCAGAGGGGGAGGGGGTCAGGACCCCCCTGACCCCCCTCTAAATCCGCCACTGCGAAACCACTTAATTAATATCACACTAGTCTACCATGATGTAAAATAATCAAAATCAGTTTTCTATTTCAACAAACTTGATAAAATCGCCCTATGTACGTAGGGCTCCAATCGCTCCAATATAGTACACATAGTTTTCAGATTGATCTACCGATGAAGGTGACAGTCAAACATGCTTGCGATGGACTAGCAGGGCGTTAGCGTGCGTTGCTATATATATTTAAAAAAAACAAGTCAGAGTGAATCATCTGATAATCAGGGTGATAAGTGTGTATTGACAAAAAGAACGTGTCAATGTCATTCAATGGCATAAAATCAGTGGTTGGCTTGACTTACCAGGTAAAACGAGAAACAAAACGAACGCAGGCACACGGCCTTATTTTCGTTTTCTCGAAGCAAAGCCCTTTGTTTTTGGCAAAACCCCAAAGTCTTCAGCAATCAATTTCTCGGGACCGTAACACTTAATTAACAAATTGGGATTGTTTTCTTTCAATGTTTGCTTACCATACGTTCGAGTGAGTTTTTATGAGTAACCAGTTACGAGTACTTCACGTCACAATAATGCCCGTTAAACTAACCTTGAAATCAAATAGAAAACGCACAAAATGCCCTCATTCACATAAGTTATGAAAATGCACTAAAAAATTTATGTTTTCGCGTGCAGTTCCCTGTATTTCGGTAAATGATGAAGAAATTGGTATTAACAAGAAAATTTATTTGAACTGAAAAGATGAATCTTGACATTGAAGGGTGTCACTTACAGGAACAAATTGGTGAAGAAAACATTATTGGACAAATAAATAAATAAATAAATAAATAAATAAATAAATAAATAAATAGGGGGACAGAAAGAATGAAAAATAAAGTAATAAAATAAAAAGTACATTGGTTGGGAGGACAGACGATTCATTAAAGAAATATATTTAGAAAAATAGTTGTGATTTGGTGAAGTGACCATATTAACAAGGATTGTTTCGTAACCATGGGTAAAGAATTGTCATTATTTCAGACATTTCTCAGTATAGCTTACATCATTTGAGAATTTTTCCCTTCATACACTTTAATCGAATAGTCGATCGCATTTTATTGATTTATTGATTTTATTTACGTATATGGTCGCTTGGCACAGCACGCTCGGCTCTACCTTAATCTCAAGAACATTCCAATCACTTAAGTGCGCAAGCACTCTCGTATTAAAAATATGTGACGTTGATGGCCAACCAACTTTCTCCCGATTAAAATCCGCGGTATGATTTATTACACGGAGCTAAAACGAGCATTGTGCAAGCTGGGCTGAGAATTCCAAAAATTCTTGAGCTGTTATTGGCACGACCTTTCTCTGCTGTTGATCTTCCTGGGATCTGTTTCACGACGTCAGCGAGCACGAGCCAAAAGGGGAATGTATTTGTTGACTTATCTGTCACCTGATTTAAACCTGCATACTTATCTGACCTTTGTCAATTAACTAACATATAGTTACCATCATGTTTCAGCAGCTTATTGGATTTACTTGGTATTGGAAACGTTTACAATGTTTTATTCATTGGTTTAATAATCTACATCTATTTATTATTTAAGCTTTTCTAACACGGCATTTCTTGGAATCATTATTTAGTGAAGATAAAGTAGGCTTTACCAGGTAGGCTTAGAAATTATTTTACTCCCTTTGCCTTCCATTATGTCGGTCATAATCAAATTTAATAGCGGATCAGTGAAAGAGTTACACCGCAGCAAGTGCCGTTGGGCTAATCGATATACAAAGTAGGGCAAATACATTGTGTTGCATTTGACGAATCTGTCGGATTTTTTTATCAATCATCTCAACATTTGGGGAAATCAAAATTGTTGTAACATCATCTTAATATAAGCTTGACATGAATGCAACTTGTTATGAACCGACTAAAAAGTAGTACACCTAGCATACAGCTAGCAGTGTTGTGGTAGGTGAAAGTACATGTACGGACAAATTAATATAATACTCTTAATTAAAACAAATAATTAACCCTGCATAAAGAAATGACAATAAGATAAAGGAGGATCTATAATGTTTGAACTATTGCTAGCGTCTGCGTTTACATGAAACATTTATCAAAATATTCAGAATTTATGTCAACATAGACACAAACTAACACAAAATATTGTAGAAAGGACAAAACATGTCATTGCCAAGTTATAGCCAACTGTAAAGAAACACGCCTTCTTTATGCAGCCTTGCTTGTAATAAAACCTAGTGAAACAGCCCCCAGATAGGGGCGGATCAAAGGATTTCTGGACCAGGCTATCAAATAAAGCATTGTTCATACATCATGATAATCTTTTTTTAATTAAATTCAATTGTTTTCGTTCTACCCAGTTTCTCTTCATTTTTCTTTCTGCAGACTTTTGAACCGTTTGGGTGAATATGTACGCATGCCCTTGAGCGAGGAGAAATGTCATGCAACTGCAGACATCTAGAAAATGGGAAAGGGGTGGTTAAGGGGTTGTCTTATCTTTTCATTAGCACGTAAAAAAGTCTGTGTTTGAATGATGATGTCTCTGAAAAAGGTTTATCAAAATACAAATCATGGTCCCCGAACTCAGATAAAAGTGAGAGGGAGAGCACGAGGAAAAACTTGAGGCAGCGAAACACGATTTTGTCTAGGACTGCTTTCACAGACAAACCATGAGTTGTGTCGGGTAGATCTAGTCATTCCTTTCCTTTTTCCAAGTTTTCCTACAGACTTTTTTGGAGGACCAGACCTTTATTTCATTTAATATATTCATTCCGTTGATCTATTATTGTCACATACACTCGAGTCAAGTGACTGCATGCCCATTGTTTTAGTATGTAGCTTCCTTAGAGTGTGCCTGGTCCTACCCCACCCCTCCTGTCCTTTTCAGTTTCTTTTCCTTGATGGGGATTGTTTTGTTCTCTCTGAACCTGGGCACTTTTTGCAATCTCAGATTTTTTGATGACTTTCATTATCTTTCCAGACTGGATCTGTATCGTGTGTTTTTGTGAGCCTCGCTCTGTTTAAGATCTCACCTTATGTTTTGGTCTTTTTCAACTGTTATGTCTAGTCTTGTCCTTGCCTGACATGTTTCTCATAACTTCAAGAGATTTCTCATATTTTAATTTTTTACAGGTTCCACAGGACTGTATTTATTGTTCGTATTTTGTACGTGCGGCCTTTCTTTGGGTTCATTCCTAATGCAGCTACCGTTCTACGTACATGTAGATAACTCCAGCTCAGCGGGGAGTCTTGCGAAATGCAATCACATTAAGAGATTAGCACGTCTCCTTTAGGTGTTGAGTAGAATACAGATAAGAATAGGTGGTGGTTATACAAGTACGTTGGAAACAAGAGGAGGCGTGTTAATCTGATTGCATTTAGCGACAGTCACCTCGGAGTTGGATCGATCTACGTAGAACGATAATTTCATTGGGAATAAGTCACTTCGGTCTATCATCGCTATTTACAAATTACTTGGACTCACATTTTCTGTCTCTATTTTTGGTAACAACTTTCGTCTGCCTTTTTTCACTACGTCATCACACGCTGTTCTCATAGCCTTTTATTTCCCTTTTTCTTTTCTTTCTATTTTTCTTTATTCATTAATTTCTTTATCTCATCTTGGCCAGCTTTCACTTGACGTTTCCATTTGTTAAGTTACTAAAAAAATGAGAAGGAGAAGGAGAAAAGCAAGGAAACTAGGCCAGTGGAATTAACGAAACGCTTGAAATTTTGATGCAGAGACAATAAACAGTAGACGCGGCTTAAAACTTAACCTCTGAAAACATGTCAGGGACTATCCTATATTTCTTATGCTCTGAAGAGCGCAACGTATTTCTCATTTCTTCATTTGCATTTGTGTTTTTAATTTATTCATTAAATTTATTTTCAAATATAAAAATTAGCCAACACGGCAAATTATTCATGTTTACTTTGATATCTATAATGTTGCTCCCCCTAATCTCCCGGTGTTATCATAATCTTAATGAATTTTTATGTGTAAACTTGCCTCATGGTCGATTTTTAATTTTTTCAAGTGTGAAAGGAACTGCAAATTACGTGCAGAAATCCAGGAAGTCAGATTTTCATGCTGTTGGTTTATTCTTGCGAAATCAGATTTTCAGGAAAATATGGTCAGGATATTTTGATCAAAATCTGAAACCCCAAGTAGTTGGTCATCCATCAAATCCCGTGGACTGAAACCAGTTTTTAACCGATCAAAAGTGAATTTACTTGACAACCTAGTTATACGCCCACTAGTGTAAACAACAGTCCTAAAATTGCTCCATTTTCTTTGCACATTGCATCTTCCTTATGTTGCGGTTCTGAGAACCAAACGGCCATTGTGTCGCAATAAATCTCAATTGTTTTCTTGTGCAATGTCTCTGTAAATAACACGTGTTCTCCAGTTCTCAAAACAACCTGTTCCGTCACTCACAGCGGGACGCAGGTTTTCTGTGGTCTGCGTGCGTGCGCCCCCATTACCAAGTAGCACTCGATATCGTGATATTTTAAGCCACCTTAAAGACACGCCTACAGTTAACCAATGTGTGTCTACTTTAAGTTTCACCTCCTCGTGAACTGTCCTAGTTTCTAGTTAAACAATCACGTGATTGGTATTTGAATTCGGTGTAAAGGACTGAGACTATAAATACCGGTGTTTTACAGTGTCTTCTTAATTCTGGAGCTGTTCAGTACGTGCATTGACTGCCAAAGAGTTTCAAGCCCGACTGCCAGAAAGCGTGTGTCGTTACCAAGATTAAGGATATTGTAACCCGGAAGAATGAGAGCTTTATCCACATTTCTTGGTTTAGCATTTCTGTTACTCTTAGAGTTATGTACAGCTAATGGGCAGGTAAGAATCTTTACAAAATATTCCAGATATAATTCAGTAACAAGCACAGCCATGCACATTTATTACATGATCTACCAAAAATATTATTTTGATAGCATTTTTTTCTTCCTAGGAATTAAGGGTATTTGATTATAGAACTGTGCTTTAGAATAAAGTACTTCCTTAATTATTTTACGTTATTCTCCTGTTGCTCATATTTTCACAACTAAATACATTGAAATCCTTTCATCTTAAATAGTTTTAAAAAAATTCCAAGATAATGAAAATTTCGAAAACGTGGTTCTTGTTTAATAAAAAATTCATTCATCTTGTCAAGATCGCATTTTCGTCAGGGCTTAAATTATTCTGAAAAGTTGAAAAATTTAAAGCAAAACCCGAGTGAATGCAAAGCAACAGGAGGATGAAGGTACATGTACAAGTGAAATTATCATTGTATAAAACTTTTGTTATTATCATTATTAGTAGATAATAATTATTGTTATTGTCATCATTATTGTTGATTTAAAATATATTTATGCCCCTTTCCCCCTTTTTCCACTGTGAAGGCAGCATAAAATACCGCTTATACATTTAGAAAATAAATGAAATGTTGAAATTGAAATTTTGTCACCTAATGATAAGAAAATATACTACTATATCGTCCCTTAGAATCACTAATTAACATAGAAACACAAAAGACTACATTAAAAAAAAAACACCTGAACAATTCTATGTGCTCTATTTCAGTTAAAATCTATTCAGCTACATCCCAGTAATTGAATATCATTTCAGCGTGCTTATTTGAATCATTTTCTTTTTGGAACTTGGAACTTACCCGCATCTTCTCTTCCCCGGCCTGTAATTTCAGGGTGCGTTGTGGGTGCGGAAGATGCGCACAGTTTTTGCCCGGCTAGACAGTAATCACGACAACCGTCTGACCAGAAAGGATTTCTTGGCCCTCGGCGTCCACATCATAAGATGTTGTAAACTGGACAGCATGCAGAGAATGAACCAAATTATGATGATGGAATCAGATGCGTGGGATAAGTTTTTCGCAGGTGACTCATTCTCTCTCTCTCTCTCTCTCTATGTGTGTGTGTGTGTGTGTGTGTGTGTGTGTGTCCCAGTTACTGTAAATCACTTAGGCCTACTCATGATTATGCTCAGTTGTTCGGTAAATATTGTTAACGAGATGCCACACAGCCATCTGTTCATCAGTAAAGGCAAGTAGTCAGTTAGCTACAACTTGTCTGTCTGTTTGTTTGTTTGCCTTCTGTCTGTCTGTCTGTCTGCTTGCCTGCCTGTCTGTCAACCACTGTCTGTTTGTCCGTCTGTTTGGATGCCTGCCTGCCTGTCTACCTCTGTCTGTCTATCTGACCGACTGTTTGCATATCTGCCTGCTTGTCTACCTCTGTCTGTCTGTCTATCTGACTGTCTGTTTGCATGTCTGCCTGCCTGCCTGCCTGTCTACCTTGTCTACCTCTTTCTATCTGTCTGTTTGCATGTCTGCCTGCCTGCCTGCCTGTCTACCTTGTCTACCTGTCTGTCTATCTGTCTGTTTGCATGTCTGCCTGCCTGCCTGCCTGTCTACCTCTGTCTCTCTGTCTGTTTGTCTGTCTGTATGTCTGTGCAACTGCCTACCTGTTTCCCTCTGTGCGTCGCAGTACCACTGTACTCAAAATACGTGGTTTTCTCCCTTTGCACACGTCTTATCACATCTTTTGCGTATTAGCCAATTTCGTTGATTGGCATCCTCATTATCAGGAATAATGGATTAACACAATCGCATAACACTAATCAAGAATAAATGTGAATAATCACCATGCGACAACTGCATCCTCTGCCAACAATGATTTCTTTCTGAGACATGATGGAGTAGTGTGCAAAGTATTTCCTTCATAATGATAATTTTTGCGTTTTCTTTCAGGACCAGGCACACCCCGTAGTGTTCAGGAGAGAGGTATTAGCGAGCGTCAGTTTGTTGACGCAATGAGGCGGGAGATGCAGAGCCCGGAAACTTCAAAGAACTTACGTAATATGTACCATTTTGTCTTCGGGTACATGGATCACGACCAAGACGGCATGCTAACGTTCACCGAGTACGCGGACATGCCTCGCTGCAGTGGCGTTCCTGACGCGTTCATCCAAGCCAATTTCGATACGTTGGACACAGACGCAGATGGCGTCATCCAAGAGGCAGAATTCATTGAAGCTGCGAAACAGTATTATACAACGAACGATGAGAGTAACAGGTATAACCACGTGCTATACGGACCGCTTGTGAATTAAACTACGTGCATTTGGTAAAATGTTGACGTCATGGTGACGTAACTGTTTCGCGAAAACATTAAAACTGTCTGAATATCTTTTATTTCTTCGATTAAGTTTAAACGTTTCCTGCCGGGAATGAAAGGGATATGTTGATAACCTCACCCCCTTTAACCACATAAAAATCAGTATTTTGGCTGAAAGATCTCACTTCCAAAATCGAAGGTGCTTGTGTTAATATTTATAAGAATTAGAAGTAAAAAAAGTAGACAATGATAGTGTTTATTGTCCAATGTAGTAACTCATGTCTCGCTGTAAATACCTCATTATCAATATTTCGCACTTCTTAGTTAGTAATTGCACTTACGATATAAAAAGGCGTCGTGAAGCAACAATTCTACATGTAGGTTCTACCTACAGTATTGTTAAACTCTTGCTCTAAACATACGGACCTATGCATTTACTTTCTCTATGTTATTTGTTAGTTACGTTTGGGTGTAAATAATATAGTGGATGAGAGAGTATTGTTTAACTCTTGCTCTAAAATTTATTGTATTTCACTTTTGTTTACTTCTGTATTGTCTTGTATCACATTTGATCACCATATTTTCACCTTGTTACATTGTCATTTCTGAGCACAACTTGACTATTTTCGAAACGATGATAGAATGATAAAAACGAAAGTCAAATTAATGAAATTGTGAATGAAATAAATTAGAGTCTAATTGTACCAAATATATCTTCAAAACTGCATGAAGCGATATCAAAGACAGTATTGAAACTGTGAGGAAAAAAGTTTTTCCGAGGTTTTCTATTATGCAGTTGTTTTTCAGCTTTGTTCTTCGTCAGATTTTATAAAATATAACCTTCGGTCCCGCTCCATGCCATACGGGGCACATCATGTTTACAACCACATTGCACAGTAAGATTATTTGTTATATCTCTATGAATAAAAATGCTGAAAAAAAGATTTGTCTGTGACCGTGACTAAACAAAAAAAAAACAAAAAAAAGATCTATAATTTTTTTTCGAGCACGTTTTTCTGAAGCAATTAGAAAAGTAACGACCAGTCTCCGTTTCTAACTCGAGCATTTGCCTTGAGAACTAAAACCTCATGGAAAACTCCACACTGGTTTACCAATATCAGCCACCGGGTTTGCACTAATGTACACTGCATATTACATCTTAGCGCCAAGATTACAGAACCCATACAAATATTCGTCCTTAGCTATTAAATAATTACCTCATTAAATAGTGTCTTTTAACTTACCCATCTCTACAAGTCTTTGGCTATACGTACATCGTGCTGTGCATCTCAAATACTGGGAGTTGGAGTTGTCTTTTAACTTACCCATCTCTACAAGTCTTTGGCTATACGTACATCGTGCTGTGCATCTTAAATACTGGGAGTTGGAGTTGATGCACTACCCCCCCCTTTTCCGCCTATGACTTAACAATGTAGCTACCCTGAGAATCAGAAACTTGAAGGTTACATCTCGATAGTTGATTCGAAGAGCCAAATACCAGACTTGAAAACTATTGTGAAGCACTGACAAAAAAAAATAATTAAAAATAAATGAAAAATAAAAAACAGCGCCAGCAAATAGGCAAGAGAAGACTGTGGCTGCATTGCACTTAAGATCTCACAATAACCATTATCCACCGTCTTACCAGAGTACAGAAGGTACCCTAGATACTGGATGTCATGGAACCCCGCCTCTATCATCAGTGAGCTAACTCTATAGTAGTTCAAACAATTTCAGTGACTTGGAAAAAAATCCTTGCTGCAAAATGCGTACGGGATGCAAAATGCGTTTTCACGATTTTTAGTTGCATGCATAATGCGTTTAGTTGCAAAATGCGGCTCTACTGCCTGTAGTACCACCGCATTTTGCAATCGAACGCTATTTGCACACTTTTTCAATTGTTGACTGTGGGAGTCGAGTCTTGATTTTGGTACTGTGTGATTTAATTTTAAGAAAAGCATGACTTACCTTTAGATAATTACCCATTTTACCAGGAAGATATAAACAAGGAAGTAACGGTATCGGCGATTAGTGGAGCTATTAGCAAGCGTCATTTGAGTTTATGGAGCTTGTTACCAGTGTTTTAACTGATTTTAAACCACTTCCCATCAACTTAAGGCAAACATTAATTCATAAAAGAAACCCCGCTTGCTCTAAGTGAGAAGTGGCGTCATTTTCAACTGCACAGTTTAGAGGCTGTACGCACGTCCCGGCTAATGTCACGGTGATTGACTTATCCCACAATCGAATCACGAAGATAAAGACGACCGATTTTGCTCGTCTTCGTAATACAAGTTACCTCGGCCAATCATACAACTGAATTATACATCTTCCGAAAAGTCTTTGACGGCCGAAATCGGCTCGTACAGCTGTAACAGCATGAATGACGACTATATGCCGACTAGATAAGAAACGTGGAATTCAAATACTGAAACAATTGAATTTTTTGAGACTGCAATTGGAAAATAACTAACTTTACCTATAGGACTGAAATTTCTTGTATTCCTTTATAAGACATTGCTATGTGCAAATGATATATGAGGTGTAGCCCACATGTCCCTTCACTAAAAGGCAATGCCGTACACCACTTATCCGGGTTTCATTTGTGGATGCATTATTTAGAGGAAAGTTTCACCGTCCGGCAAAATCGCCATCTTTGGGATAAAATTCCAATACAACTTTTTATCCTTACAAGATAAAAAGTACATTTTCATGATAAAACGAAGTAGGCCTAAAAGGTCTTTGCTGGTCGGAGTAAAAATCTTTGCTGCGCTTATTCCCATACACGCCCTATAGTTGACTTCTGCCTTCATAACTCGAAATAAAAAATAAAGACTAAAAGGAAAAATTAGTATCACAAAATAAAAGCAAAGCGTAAAAACTGGAAATAAAAATGTAGGCACCAAATACTAAAGGACAGAAAATATGAGTTTTGATTTAGAATCAAAATTTTTGAGAGTTCACTTACACTTATACTGTATGTGTTTACCTCAAGGACATGTAGGGCTACTAGTAATACTTCATGGCTCAATTGAAAACTGCTAATAAAATTTATTTTGAGTGTTAGTCTTACAAGGGCGGGTCCAGAAATTATTTGAAGGGCCCCCGAAAAATTTTGGCATTTTAGAGGTCGGACGTACGTGCCATTTGGTACGGTTTACTGGTAGAACTGTCATTCATTTAGTCAGAATTCTATTTCAGTGTGATTTTTTTCAGAAATCGAGGGGAGGTTTAGTGCTACCCCCCCCCCCCTTCGGTTTCTGCTCATAACAGCATGGATGACGACTNGGCCGCGAATGCGATGTTGATCCTCACCCCCCCCCCCCCCCCCAAATCCGCCACTGGCTTATATAAAAAATATAAGATTACGTCCGTAATGAAAAATTTCACTTTTTTATTTTTAATGCTCTATAAAATCATTAAATCGCAAATTACAGCTAAATCTTTAATAAATTTCTTACCCCTGAAATCTTTTTTATTAAAAAAATTTGACTTTTGGTTGATTTTTGTAAATTTGAAAAATTTATGTCCAAATACCACTGAATGCCCCTGTTGCATCATAGTCTACACGGGGCCGTAGCAATACATGTAGTCCGAAGGTTCAATAGTCCGAAGGTTCATTGGTCCGAATGTTCACTACAGAACCTTCGGACCAATGAACCCTTGATGAAAAAACCGATGAAAATGTTACCGTTTTTCGGACCAATGAACCTTCGGACCAATGAACCTTCGGACTATCGAGACGCCCCCGTCTACACTCCCTCTAGGCAATTTCATTTTTAAACAAGGCAACAGAATATGGTCGCTCTTTTGCAGAATCATCATCCTCATATTCTTTTTTGGTCACTAATTCATGTGATGGTTCAGTTCTATTCTGGCAGACTGGAGTTTTACTACGGTCAACTGTTGTATGATTGTATCACACTGTCTATTGTGCTTTCGGAACAGCTGCAGCACCTTTTCGCATTTGTACGAATAATACGAGAGGAGTTATGAACTTATTTCGAATTTAGCTTTAAATAATTATGAAAGGCAATTGATAGGAAATGTGGCAATAATTTATACTCAAATGTTGATTTTTCTGTTGTAAACAATAATTTTACTAATTTTCATTCCTATAATGTTTGAATATATCCGCCATATGTTCCATAGCTGCAAGTAAACTAAATATACATTTTCGCTTGGCTCTGATGTAAACAAACAGTATGGCGGCTGCTGGCGAGAGCTTGACGCCTGCGGGAGATATGTCGCCGCTCCAACAGGCTGAGGTAATCATTAGATATTCGGTGAATGTGAAAATCAGTTATACGTAACATCTACATTTCTTGCTGATATGAAACGCACTTTCCAGTAGGAATATTTAAATTGATCTGTCAACTTACAAGGGCCGCCTTCCCTCTTGGGCCTTGGCCATATCATATGCCTTCTCCTGCTAAGTGCTTGTAGCACAGTGTAAGACACCATATAACACTTTCATTCCAAATATTTAATTTTCTAAATTAATTTGTATAGTGAGTTCGAGCAATGTCTCCGCTAATTAAAGCACAGCAAAATCATAAGTTAACAACTCACTTTTGCCTTTTTTGATATCTTGTAAACTAGTACTTACTACTATGCATACTAAGTTTCTATTGCCTCGATGATATCAGTATAATACCTTCATTCCTATGTTCAAAGTTCTTCTGTCTCTTTTAAAAATTAAAATCCCTTAATGTGGAATCATATGCAGGTGCTGCCCAGATACTCTCTCTGCACACTAAAATTTTCATTGTTTTCCCAGTGGGTTTTGGAAAAGCTCGAAGTTAAAAAAAAAAAAAATAAATAAATAAAATAAAAAAAGACAGAAGATTCAAGAATTAATTTTACAGTAGGGGCTGGGAATACTGTAAAATTGGCAAATTTTTTTTTTTTTTATTTTACAAAATAAGTCAGATGGCAAAACAAAACAGTTGCCAAGTCCCACTTATCATTCAGCACATTATTGTAACAATAACAAGGGTGTATTGAATGTCTGCCATTGTCACATATGAAACTTTGTTTCTTCTTCAGGAGGCTGTTGCTGCCCTGTATGATTTTCGAGACCACTACTTTGAGAGACATAGTTTAGAAGAAGCAGCACTGAAAGTTGAAGAGCTAAAGAAACAACTTGATAATGTCATGCAGCTTCTGGATTCAATAAATGGTGCAATTATAATTATTCTGTCTCAACTGTATAATTATAAGTATAGTTAAAGTATCACCAGTATTTTTATATGCAAACTTCAATGTACTAGTACATATACCTCAATATGAAGATGATCGCTGGTAACGTAATTTGTATTTTAAAATGGAAACATATACATGTGATGTGTGTGGGTGTGCATGTGTGTGTGTGTGTGTGTGTGTGTGTGTGTGTGTGTGTGTGAGTGTGTTTATTCAGTTGGCATACACATTTAAAGTGTGATGAATATGACATGATTTTTGTTATTATTATGTGGCAAATTGCTTTACTCAAATACTGGGAGTTGAGGGTTTTCTGGCCAAGCTAAAGACCATAATGATTATAGAATTGTCTGCTCACATATAGAACCTAGCATATGGAGGTTGAAAACTTGAGTGAGATAGAGGGAGTGAAGCATGAAAAAAAACGGCTGTTATAATAATCCCCCTGTATGGAAGCAACAACAATAGATAGATTATAGACTGAAACTTGAATGTACAATAATGAACTTATATTTGTATATATATATATTTATCCTCAGATCAAGTAGACAACAAATCGGTCTACCTTATGCTGCGTGGAAAGGCCTTGAATGTGATGCCTCAGTTTGACCAAGCCTCCCTGGATGCTCTGTCCAAAGCAGTCAAGCTGGATCCCAAGTTGGTAGAGGCTTGGAACCATCTAGGGGAGGAATACTGGAAAAATAAGGACGTGGAGGCAGCAAAGAACTGTTTTTTAGGAGCACTAAATCATGTAAATGCAATAACAGCTTTTGCTGAGTCAAAATGGTGTTTTTTGTGTGTTCTAAAAATTATTGAGAATTTTTGTACAATTTCAAAGTAATCTCATTCTGTTTCATGAAAATATTTAGTCATTCACTCAGGGCAATATTTTCTGGTTGGCTTCAGTCCAAGAACAAAGTTTCCTTGCGTAATTTGTCCATGGTACTTCGGCAGTTAGGAAAGGATCCTGCAGAAAGAATAAAACTTGTAGAAGAAAGTGTAGAGAAGGCCAAGGAAGCTGTCCAGTTAGACATCAAAGATGGAACGTCATGGTGTAAGCATGTGTGTGTGTGTGTGTGTGTGTGTGTGTGTGTGTGTGTGTGTGTACACTTCAGCACATTTTTATTTATCCAGGTATATTTTTCTTTTCCAAGTTGGTGACAAAATGAGGAAATTTGATTAAAGGTTCTGGCATAAGTAAAACCAAGCTGTTATTTAACTTTTCCAAATTAAAGCTTCATTTGGGAATTTTAAAAATTTCATGTTATCGTGAAGTGCTTTGTTCTTGCTCATTTCTCTGATATCTAGTTACTTGTGTTTATATGGAATTGCACAAACAAATGAAACCTTTTTAGGACAGAGTAGAAAAGATTATTAGTAAAATTCCCAAGTTTTTCATATTACCACACAATATAATTAAAAAAGAAAAAAAAACTTGTGTTGGTTCATCAGTATATAATTTGACCAAGTTGCTGAAATAATAATACATTTGTTTAATATATTTGTCATTTTTATTGGTTTCACCTGAGTTTTTTTCCTCTATATTTTCAGTTATACTTGGCAATGCCTACCTCTCCATGTTCTTTGCTGAAAACCAAAATCCAAAAGTGCTCAAACAGTGCATGAGTGCCTATGCCCAGGCTGTAAGTGTCCAATGAAAGTTTTTTTCTTATTTAATGTGTATAGTCAGGCAGACAAAAAATAACAGAAACTGTTCCAAAAGTCAGTTTTATTTGTAAACATATTTTTGAGAAAGATGTAGTGACTTGTGTGTGCCAGTGTGCACATGTAAATATACCAGTAAAGCATAAACTTAAAGTCATTTCTTTGTTATACTGTAGCTTTTAAGTCAAATTTAGACATCAGTACTGCACAAGATATATACATGTGCAAAGTAAAAATTAAATAGGTTTTGGAGCATTTTATGTTTTCCGTTAAACTGATTTTTTTGTGTAAATGTACAGAGCAAATATACCATTCATGAACTATATGACCAACTTGTCATCTTGAAGGTAAAAAGAGACATAAGTATGGGAAGTGATGGTTTTAATGTTTCATATCAATATACTAGACTAAGTACAGTATATTTCATGGCATTTTAACATTGACCCCATTGTATCCATTATCTTCTCTTTCATGTAGGAGAAAGACAGTGTTGCCAATTGTAATTCAGATCTTCACTATAACAGAGCAATAGTAAGTACTGGTAAAGGGTTTGTGCACATTTCGAATAATTTTTAGTTTTTTATTGTTATTATAATATAAGTAAGTTATGGAGTCTTTATTATCTAACAAACTGGCAGACAGTGGTCTTTGGTGGAGTCTTGATAACATGGACGCAAGTAATTTTGGTGATATTTTTAGCCTCTTCTTAAATTAATTATTTTTTTAACAACATGAACATCCTTCCTGTGTTTTAGGAAGCATTCAGATAGAAACATGGTACTTGTAAGGTCAGTCCAACTCTTTGGAGGCTCGTGTAAGTGCAGTCAGTTTAACTGAACGACACGCCTCCTGGAGCAGCTAGGGGGTAATTAACTTTCATGTGTGCTTAGCTTAATTACCCCCTGACTGCCAAAGGAGCTGTGTCAATTAAGCCGATTCCACTGATTAAACTAAGCAAGAATCTTCCATAAAGTTAGACCGACCCAACTAGTACCATGTGTCTATCTGAATGGGGTCTTAGTGTGGGTGTCTTATTTCCAGGCATACAAGTATCAAGAGGAGTACCAGCTGGCATTGGTTGGGTTTGCCAGGGCTGCTGCTCTGGATCCTCTGTGGCCTGACCCACAGGAAAAGGAACAGCAACTGGTCAGCTATCTGACCAAGGTCCAGGATATGGTGGACACCAAGGTATGAGTGTGTGCTTGCGTGCATGAGGGATTTTGTGTGTGTTTGTATGACGGATTGTGTGTGTGTGTGTAATTGCATGTATGAGGGTATATTAGGGAGTGTGTTTAAGCGTGCGTGTGAAATGCTTTTGCAGTCACTGTTATGTCTCGAGCTCACTCCATGCTGTTTCCAGGGTAAAACCAAGGGGAAGAAGCTCCAAACAATGATCTCCGAAATCTCAGAAAATCACTTGGGTGTATACAAGGGTGGCTCATACACAAGTCAATCTGGAAAGACAATAGATCTGGCGTATGTGATGCTGCAGGACCTCAGTCAAGAGATCAACCCTGGGAAAGTGGTGCTGGGCAAAGTGGTGTGCACAGTCACCACTGAGGAACCGGTGCCATTGTGAGTGCATTGTTATATAGATTTATACAGATGCCTATTTTTGTTTGTTAATGAGTGTAGTAGAGAGTAAAGTTTTGAGAGTAGATATTTAATTTGGCTTTGTAAATTGTATTCATATGTTGTAATGCCAAATGGTTTAAAATGATATTTTACATGGACACATACTGATAAAAAGAATTGGATAAGCATTTTATTCTTTACACTCCCCAGACTAAGTAACAACTATAAGAGTTACTGTTTGTTGGCAGACAACATACAAGTCTTGTTCGTATTAAGCTACTGTTAAGACTGTGAATCAATTTTAATTAAAAAAAATTGAAATAGATGGTGACCTTAATGAGAGGTTACATTGTTTACTGAAGGCTTACATTAATCTTCATCTGGACTCTTCTACTTGTTATGTCAAGAGAGAGAGAGAGAGAGAGAGAGAGAGAGGGGGGGAGAGAGAAGAGGTCAAGGATAGAAAGAGAAAATTATGATTTTCACAGTCAACTTGTTTCTTTGCAGCACATTCTGCATGGTTGATTCTGCAGACACCTGCTGTGCCGTGACTCTGTACAATGTAGCGCCTGGTTACGGAGTGAAAATAGGAGACTCAGTCTCTATACCTGAGCCCTATGTGCAGCCTTTAGATGTGCAGTATGGAGATATGGTAAGTGTACAGCCTCCAAATGTACAGTACAGATATGTTTAATAAGTGTAGTCTTTAGATGAGGAATAGTGCAAAGAAACGGTGAGTGTATGACTTCCATGTGTACAGTGCAGAAAAATATACTGTATGTGAAGAAAATAATGTAAAGCCGGAGGAGTTCATGTGAAAAAGTAGGCTTTAGAAAGTAACTGAAAATCGCAAGTTTTGAAATAGAAAACATTCATTTGTGAGAGATTAATTGAAGAGATATGTTATTATTTTACTTTACATTTGGACTTCAGACATTCCACTTTCTCAGTATACGTGTAGACAGCCCAGTAGTTTTGGTGGTCAATGGAAGGAAACTTGGCCTGGACAAACAAGCCCCATCAGTTCTGGGTGTCAGCGCTAAGAGTGAATGACCCCACAACAGACTGTACTATCTCATCTGTTTAATATATAGAAATGGAGAGGAGAGAGAGGGAGAATTGCATAGAAAAATACAATCTCAAGATGCAGCAAGCTGGGTTACATTCATGGTAGAAAATTTAGAATGGAGTGGTTTCAGTTCTGTGTGGAAGTGTTTTAATACTTAAAGAGAGTGACACAACACAGTTCAATAGTTGTTAACAGAAGCAGCACTGGAGTTTGCAAATGCTGACGGAGGGAGAACAGGGTGGACAGAAGCAGTCTTCTGGGGCATTTTTCATGGCATTTTATTACATGTACCAATTTGGAAGAAGCACTTCTGTGTTTGTATGTAAAACTAGACCATCAAGTGACTTAGAAATCACAGTGACTTAGAAATGCCTCCCTCCACTCTCCACATTTCTTAGAGTCTGAGTGCAAAGTTCAAATCTAATGGGAATTCGGTTTTGAAGAACGCTCACCTTCAGCTTTGGGCATCAACAAGTGTCATTGGCTACCTAGATGGTCTCAGTCTGTAATCAGACACATTGAACACACACCAACTGGTCCGTGTAATTCTACTGTCTCATTTGTCCCAATGTCTACAATTGGGGATATGATTTGGGAGATTAGATAGTCTTATTGGTGAGCTAATCAAGTCCAGAGAAGGATCGCCAGTAGTTTTTCCCCCCAACTATCTCCACTGGTGTGTAAATAAAAATGTACATTCTGTACAAATAAACTTTTATTCCATTTTTAAATGTGTTCAGGTTGTCTTTTTATTATATAGTAAACTGCATTTGCCTTTCATTGGTGCAGCACCAGATATGTTGGTAACTATTTAAAAAAAAACTTTCTACTGACATAAGGATTGTAGGGTAAACAAGGCAGCAAAGCTGTCAAATGTACAGACAAAAAACAGAAAATAAAGATGCAAAAGAAGGTCATTTTGTCAATTTTGATGCAATAATAANCAACAGGACAATCGCAGGGTGATGTGGCCTGCCCAGAGTCCGGATGCAAACATAATAGAAAATGTGTGGAATGATATGTCAAAACTTTTGACAAATGCCCGTCTAACCAGCAGAGAAACTCTATTATACTCAGTGTTTCATGCTTGGGCCAGCATAAGCCCTGAACGCATCAGACAATTATATGAAACCTTGCTTCGTAGACTGGCACCTATTATTAGGTCACGTGGTTATGCCACTAAGTACTAATTTTGGACTTGAAGCTGCATATTTTGGTAGAATGTATATTTTGTTCTCATTTTGTGATTTTTTGTGAAATTTGATGTTAATAAAATGATACCAGGAGCATATCATTCCGAAGTCATTTATCTCCTCCATAGTATTGGCTCAGTAGGGGTGACACTTCTTTTGTCCAGTGTGTGTAGAATTACGTCCGTAATGAAAATTTTCACTTTTTTATTTTTAATGCTCTATAAAATCATTAAATCGCAAATTACAGCTAAATCTTTAATAAATTTCTTACCCCTGAAATCTTTTTTATTAAAAAAATTTGACTTTTGGTTGATTTTTGTAAATTTGAAAAATTTATGTCCAAATACCACTGAATGCCCCTGTTGCATCATAGTCTACACGGGGCCGTAGCAATACATGTAGTCCGAAGGTTCAATAGTCCGAAGGTTCATTGGTCCGAATGTTCACTACAGAACCTTCGGACCAATGAACCCTTGATTAAAAAACCGATGAAAATGTTACCGTTTTTCGGACCAATGAACCTTCGGACCAATGAACCTTCGGACTATCGAGACGCCCCCGTCTACACTCCCTCTAGGCAATTTCATTTTTTAAACAAGGCAACAGAATATGGTCGCTCTTTTGCAGAATCATCATCCTCATATTCTTTTTTGGTCACTAATTCATGTGATGGTTCAGTTCTATTCTGGCAGACTGGAGTTTTACTACGGTCAACTGTTGTATGATTGTATCACACTGTCTATTGTGCTTTCGGAACAGCTGCAGCACCTTTTCGCATTTGTACGAATAATACGAGAGGAGTTATGAACTTATTTCGAATTTAGCTTTAAATAATTATGAAAGGCAATTGATAGGAAATGTGGCAATGATTTGTATTCAAATGTTAATTTTTCTGTTGTAAACAATAATTTTACTAATTTTCATTCCTATAATGTTTGAATATATCCGCCGTATGTTCCATAGCTGCAAGTAAACTAAATATACATTTTCGCTTGGCTCTGATATAAACAAACAGTATGGCGGCTGCTGGCGAGAGCTTGACGCCTGCGGGAGATATGTCGCCGCTCCAACAGGCTGAGGTAATCATTAGATATACGGTGAATGTGAAAATCAGTTATACGTAACATCTACATTTCTTGCTGATATGAAACGCACTTTCCAGTAGGAATATTTCAATTGATCTGTCAACTTACAATGGCCGCCTTCCCTCTTGGCCCAGGGGGTGGAAACGCGCTACTTATATGATTATGACGAGCCTAACCGTCAGCACCGGATATTAGTTTGTGACCTTGAGGGGCAATTAGGCTTGGTCTTTGCGGCACGCGCGAACAGTAGTCGATCTACCACACCTGGGTCTTTTGTTTTTGACAACTATTCACTCGTCAACGAGGTGCTTGTTCTAGACTTCAGACTGATATCTACTGGTACTACCAGTGGCTTCATTAGTAACGTTCCCACAATACATGGTTTTCTGTCTGTGCGTACATACCCTGAATTCGGTTAGCCTCACTGACGAGAACAATGGACGTTTCTTACCCCTCTCTAGGATTACCCCTGCTTGGCCATATCATATGCCTTCTCCTGCTAAGTGCTTGTGGCACAGTGTAAGACACCCTATAACTCTTTCATTCCAAATATTTAATTTTCTAAATTAATTTGTATAGTGAGTTCGAGCAATGTCTCCACTAATTAAAGCACAGCAAAATCATAAGTTAACAACTCACTTTTGCCTTTTTTGATATCTTGTAAACTAGTACTGACTACTATGCATACTCGATGATATCAGTATAATACCTTCGTTCCTATGTTCAAAGTTCTTCTGTCTCTTTTAAAAATTAGAATCCCATAATGTGGAATCATATGCAGGTGCTGCCCAGATACTCTCTCTGCACACTAAAATTTTCATTGTTTTTCCAGTGGGTTTTGGAAAAGCTCGAAGTTAAAAAAAAAAAAAAAAAAGACAGAAAATTCAAGACTTAATTATACAGTAGGGGCTGGGAATACTGTAAAATTGGCACATTTTTTATTATTTTACAAAATAAATTGGCAAAACAAAACAGTTGTCAAGTCCCACTTACCATTCAGCACATTATTATTGTAACAATAACAAGGGTGTATTGAATGTCTGCCATTGTCACATATGAAACTTTGTTTCTTCTTCAGGAGGCTGTTGCTGCCCTCTATGATTTTCGAGACCACTACTTTGAGAGACATAGTTTAGAAGAAGCAGCACTGAAAGTTGAAGAGCTAAAGAAACAACTTGATAATGTCATGCAGCTTCTGGATTCAATAAATGGTGCAATTATAATTATTCTGTCTCAACTGTATAATTATAAGTACAGTTAAAGTATCACCAGTATTTTTATATGCAAACTTCAATGTACTAGTACATATACCTCAATATGAAGATGATTGCTGGTAACGTAATTTGTATTTTAAAATGGAAACATATACATGTGATGTGTGTGTGTGTGTGCGCATGTGTGTGTGTGTGTGTGTGTGTGTGTGTGTGTGTGTGTGTGTGTGTGTGTGTGTGTGTGTTTATTCAGTTGGCATACACATTTAAAGTGTGATGAATATGACATGATTTTTGTTGAATTTATGTGGCAAATTGCTTTACTCAAATACTGGGAGTTGAGGGTTTTCTGGCCAAGCTAAAGACCATAATGATTACAGAATTGTCTGCTCACGTATAGAACCTAGCATATGGAGGTTGAAAACATGAGTGAGATAGAGGGAGTGAAGCATGAAAAAAAAACGGCTGTTATAATAATCCCCCTGTATGGAAGCAACAACAATAGATAGATTACAGACTGAAACTTGAATGTACAATAATGAACCTATATATGTATACATATTTGTCCTCAGATCAAGTAGACAACAAATCGGTCTACCTTATGCTGCGTGGAAAGGCCTTGAATGTGATGCCTCAGTTTGACCAAGCCTCCCTGGATGCTCTGTCCAAAGCAGTCAAGCTGGATCCCAAGTTGGTAGAGGCTTGGAACCATCTCGGGGAGGAATACTGGAAAAATAAGGACGTGGAGGCAGCAAAGAACTGTTTTTTAGGAGCACTAAATCATGTAAATACGATAACAGCTTTTGCTGAGTCAGAATGGTGTTTTTTGTGTGTTCTAAAAATTATTGAGAATTTTTGTACAATTTCAAAGTAATCTCATTCTGTTTAATGAAAATATTTAGTCATTCACTCAGGGCAATATTTTCTGGTTGGCTTCAGTCCAAGAACAAAGTTTCCTTGCGTAATTTGTCCATGGTACTTCGGCAGTTAGGAAAGGATCCTGCAGAAAGAATAAAACTTGTAGAAGAAAGTGTAGAGAAGGCCAAGGAAGCTGTCCAGTTAGACATCAAAGATGGAACGTCATGGTGTAAGCATGTGTGTGTGTGTGTGTGTGTGTGTGTGTGTGTGTGTGTGTGTGAGTGTACACTTCAGCACATTTTTATTTATCCAGGTATATTTTTCTTTTCCAAGTCGGTGACAAAATGAGGAAATTTGATTAAAGGTTCTGGCATAAGTAAAACCAAGCTGTTATTTAACTTTTCCAAATTAAAGCTTCATTTGGGAATTTTAAAAATTTCTTGTTATCGTGAAGTGCTTTGTTCTTGCTCATTTCTCTGATATCTAGTTACTTGTGTTTATATGGGATTGCACAAACAAATGAAACCTTTTTAGGACAGAGTAGAAAAGATTATTAGTAGAATTCCCAAGTTTTTCATATCACCACACAATATAATTAAAAAAGAAAAAAAAATTTGTGTTGGTTCATCAGTATATAATTTGACTAAGTTGCTGAAATAATAATACATTTGTTTCATATATTTGTCATTTTTATTGGTTTCACCTGAGTTTTTTCCTCTATATTTTCAGTTATACTTGGCAATGCCTACCTCTCCATGTTCTTTGCTGAAAACCAAAATCCAAAAGTGCTCAAACAGTGCATGAGTGCCTATGCCCAGGCTGTAAGTGTCCAGTGAAAGTTTTTTTCTCATATAATGAGTATAGTCAGGCAGACAAAAAATAACAGAAACTGTTCCAAAAGTCAGTTTTAATTGTAAACATATTTTTGAGAAAGATGTAGTGACTTGTGTGTGCCAGTGTGCACATGTAAATATACCAGTAAAGCATAAACTTAAAGTCATTTCTTTGTTATACTTTAGCTTTTAAGTCAAATTTAGAGATCAGTACTGCACAAGATATATACATGTGCAAAGTAAAAATTAAATAGTTTAAATTATTGTTTTTCTTTTTATCAAGAGCTTATAAAATATGTAGGTTTTACCTCCAATATTTCTGTGACTGTCAGTCAATAATTTAAATTGATACAAACAGAGCTAGTGAAACTCTTCTCTCAAAAATTAAATAGGTTTTGGAGCATTTTATGTTTTCTGTTAAACTGATTTAATATACCATTCATGAACTGTATGACCAACTTGTCATCTTGAAGGTAAAAAGAGACATAAGTATGGGAAGTGATGGTTTTAATGTTTCATATCAATGTACTAGACTAAGTACAGTATATTTCACTGCATTTTAACATTGACCCCATTGTATCCATTACCTTCTCTTTCATGTAGGAGAAAGACAGTGTTGCCAATTGTAATTCAGATCTCCACTATAACAGAGCAATAGTAAGTACTGGTAAAGGGTTTGTGCACATTTCGAATAATTTTTAGTCGTTTTTTTATTGTTATTATAGTATAAGTAAGTTATGGAGTCTCTATTATCTAACAAACTGGCAGACAGTGGCGTTTGGTGGAGTCTTGATTACATGGGCCTGAGTCATTTTTAGTCTCTTTTAATTTCTTTTTTTACCAAAATGATCATCCTTCCTGTGTTTTAGGGAGCATTCAGATAGAAGCATGGTACTAGTAAGGTCAGTCCAACTCTTTGGAGGCTCGTACTAAGTGCAGTCAGTTTAACTGAACGAAACACCTCCTTGAGCAGCTAGGGGGTAATTAACTTTCATGTGTGCTTGGCTTAATTACCCCCTGACTGCCAAAGGAGCTGTGTCAATTAAGCCAATTCCACTGATTGAACTAAGCAAGAATCTTCCATAAAGTTAGACCTACCCAACTAGTACCATGTGTCTATCTGAATGGGGTCTTAGTGTGGGTGTCTTATTTCCAGGCATACAAGTATCAAGAGGAGTACCAGCTGGCATTGGTTGGGTTTGCCAGGGCTGCTGCTCTGGATCCTCTGTGGCCTGACCCACAGGAAAAGGAACAGCAACTGGTCAGCTATCTGACCAAGGTCCAGGATATGGTGGACACCAAGGTATGAGTGTGTGCTTGCGTGCATGAGGGATTTTGTGTGTGTTTGTATGACGGATTGTGTGTGTGTGTGTAATTGCATGTATGAGGGTATATTAGGGAGTGTGTTTAAGCGTGCGTGTGAAATGCTTTTGCAGTCACTGTTATGTCTCGAGCTCACTCCATGCTGTTTCCAGGGTAAAACCAAGGGGAAGAAGCTCCAAACAATGATCTCCGAAATCTCAGAAAATCACTTGGGTGTTTACAAGGGTGGCTCATACACAAGTCAATCTGGAAAGACAATAGATCTGGCGTATGTGATGCTGCAGGACCTCAGTCAAGAGATCAACCCTGGGAAAGTGGTGCTGGGCAAAGTGGTGTGCACAGTCACCACTGAGGAACCGGTGCCATTGTGAGTGCATTGTTATATAGATTTATACAGATGCCTATTTTTGTTTGTTAATGAGTGTAGTAGAGAGTAAAGTTTTGAGAGTAGATATTTAATTTGGCTTTGTAAATTGTATTCGTATGTTGTAATGCCAAATGGTTTAAAATTATATTTTACATGGACACATATTGATAAAAAGGATTGGATAAGCATTTTATTCTTAACACTCCCCAGACTAAGTAACAACTATAAGAGTTACTGTTTGTTGGCAGACAACATACAAGTCTTGTTCGTATTAAGCTACTGTTAAGACTGTGAATCATATTTCAATTTAAAATAAATTGAAATAGATGGTGACCTTAATGAGAGGTTACATTGTTTACTGAAGGCTTACATTAATCTTCATCTGGACTCTTCTACTTGTTATATCAAGAGAGAGAGAGAGAGAGAGAGAGGGAGAGAGAAGAGGTCAAGGATAGAAAGAGAAAATTATGATTTTTACAGTCAACTTGTTTCTTTGCAGCACATTCTGCATGGTTGATTCTGCAGACACCTGCTGTGCCGTGACTCTGTACAATGTAGCGCCTGGTTACGGAGTGAAAATAGGAGACTCAGTGGCTATACCTGAGCCCTATGTGCAGTCTTTAGATGTGCAGTATGGAGATATGGTAAGTGTACAGCCTCCAAATGTACAGTACAGATATGTTTAATAAGTGTAGTCTTTAGATGAATAGTGCAAAGAAACAGTGAGTGTATGACTTCCATGTGTACAGTGCAGAAAAATATACGTAACTGTATGTGAAGAAAATAATGTAAAGCCGGAGGAGTTCATGTGAAAAAGTAGGCTTTAGAAAGTAAATGAAAATCGCAAGATTTGAAATAGAAAACATTCATTTGTGAGAGATTAATTGAAGATATATGTAGTATTTTACTTTACATTTGGACTTCAGACATTCCACTATCTCAGTATACGTGTAGACAGCCCAGTAGTTTTGGTGGTCAATGGAAGGAAACTTGGCCTGGACAAACAAGCCCCTTCAGTTCTGGGTGTCAGTGCTAAGAGTGAATGACCCCACAACAGACTGTACTATCTCATCTGTTTAATATAGAAATGGAGAGGAGAGAGGGAGAATTGCAGAGAAAAATACAATCTCAAGATGCAGCAAGCTGGGTTACATTCATGGTAGAAAATTTAGAATGGAGTGGTTTCAGTTCTGTGTGGAAGTGTTTTAATACTTAAAGAGAGTGACACAACACAGTTCAATAGTTGTTAACAGAAGCAGCACTGGAGTTTGCAAATGCTGACGGAGGGAGAACAGGGTGGACAGAAGCAGTCTTCAGGGGCATTTTTCATGGCATTTTATTACATGTACCAATTTGGTAGAAGCACTTCTGTGTTTGTATGTAAAACTAGACCATCAAGTGACTTAGATATGCCTCCCTCCACTCTCCACATTTCTTAGAGTCTGAGTGCAAAGTTCAAATCTAATGGGAATTCGGTTTTGAAGAACGCTCACCTTCAGCTTTGGGCATCAACAAGTGTCATTGGCTACCTAGATGGTCTCAGTCTGTAATCAGACACATTGAACACACACCAACTGGTCCGTGTAATTCTACTGTCTCATTTGTCCCAATGTCTACAATTGGGGATATGATTTGGGAGATTAGATAGTCTTATTGGTGAGCTAATCAAGTCCAGAGAAGGATCGCCAGTAGTTTTTCCCCCCAACTATCTCCACTGGTGTGTAAATAAAAATGTACATTCTGTACAAATAAACTTTTATTCCATTTTTAAATGTGTTCAGGTTGTCTTTTTATTATGTAGTAAACTGCACTTGCCTTTCATTGGTGCAGCACCAGATATGTTGGTAACTATTTAAAAAAACCCTTTCTATTGACATAAGGATTGTTGGGTAAAAAAGCATAGTGCAAGAGGCATGTGTAACTTTCATGGAATAAAGTAGTTTATTTCAACAGCAAGTGGACCTCAGTCTTATCTTCCATGTATTATGGTCACGGTGAACAGTTTCAGCCACCTCTCACCTAAACTCAGCTGTATGTGCTGTTTGTTGTGTTTTGATATGACGTCATCACTTTGTGTGAACGCAGCTGAGTCGGTCAGCCATATTGAATCTAAATAAAGCTAAGCAGCACTTCCAAAGCACGTTATTCCTTTGTTTATATGTTTGTATAAAGATACGGAACATAACAATAAGTTGCTCATCCTAATGCAAGCTGTCTTCCAGAATACTCTTCCATTATCTACAACTGTGCCAAATTTCATGCTTGTTGGTAAAAAATGCACAATTCACCCTTTTTTCTGCACCAAATTCTTGGACTACTTGCCAGTTGGGCAGTTGGGTTTACAAGTGGGCACATTTCAGTGTTAACCAATTAAAATATTTTCAAACTTTTCAATGTTTACAGTAACCAGCTTCATGATCAGAGTATAACAGTCTTCCAAAACATGACTGCTCAAATACATGCAAAGTTTGCAGGTCAATTAAAAATTGTGTTTCCTGTACATGATGTTTAGGAGTCCTTCAATAAACATGCAGTAATCTTTTAATAAAAAAAAAAAAAAAAAAATCTTTCACCGTCTCTCTAACAATTATTGTCTACGTTTCTGAAGACGCGACTTTCTTTCCCTCTCTTCTGCAGCTTCCTTGGCACCTGGCTTTGTAGGATCGTAAGAAAATGTCCTTTTTAGGGGTCCTAATTTTGCTTCTTCATATGTTATTGAGTCTATGTTTCTTGACTTGTATACTTCCCTTGCTATCTTCTGTTGTTCCCATGCTGGAAAAGTAAAATGGAGAATGGATTGGAAAAACGCTAAAAGATTACAATAATGAAAAGGTTTATATTAGCCTGACACTATTTTTACAATAAATAATACAAAAGTTATGGAAGTAAATATCTCTCTTTCTCTCTTATACGTAACCGTCTTCATGCAGCTAAATCCAAAATGGGCACCACCACCTTGCTCCAGGACCCTGTACTAGTCATGAGGCTGGGAAGGTCTCAAATTTCCCCATGAATTCCCTTGTCATAGTATACATATGTCATTTGAGTCCAGTCATTTGAGCATTACTGACTGTGATCAGTCCAAGTCCAGAAATGGCTAAATCCCTGACCTAACAAGCATCTAGTCCCCCTTTAAAAACATCTTTATGCTCACCCCAAAACATCTGCATTCATTTTATTTATGATAACATTAAAAATGTATTATGTTGTCGTAAATGAAGGATTCTGAATAAGCTCTTCTTGGTCTATTTATTGACATTCCAGAGAAAAGCAGGAGAAAGAAGAAGGGGGAGGGGGGGGGGTGGAGAAATCTCCTTTCCCGCTCCATGTGAAAAGACTCACATTCTTTGAGAGACTTTAAAATCCCTTTATTTTCTTCAGGTGGCATATCTCCTTTAAACACTTCCTGTGGATCTGGGGGAATGGACATTCCTAACATCTTTTTAACTTTAACATTTTTTAATAGCAAAGTTTGCCCAAATGAGATGATGTTCTGTGTCATCCAGTACACTGACAATGCCTGGAAATATATTGCACATGCTCATTCACTCAAATAAAAAAAAGCATTTTTTTAGCAGTTTGAAATTTAAAAAATGCCAACACTCCAAGGTTTTAAGAAAATCTCTGAAAGGCATTTAACTTGAATTTGTGGCAGGCCACTATGATATATCTCCTCCACTTTTGTCTTGCTAAATTCATTTGATATCAATTATGTAACATTTATCATTGACAAATTAAAAATTTTCACTACTTGAGCAAATGTATAAAGATGCAAACAGGCAAATATGAAATAGACATTATTAAGGAAACAGTGACTGATCGAGTCATTGTAATTAATAAACAAATAAATGTGAGGCAAGTGGACCCGTATAAACATACTGCTGGGAAATTCATGGTGAATAAGAAGACCAGCACAGGGAAACAACGCATTCCTATTTTCATGGCAGCAGCTCTTGGCATCGCACTTGTGGCACTCAATATATTAACCTAGGAAGAAATAACAAACTGATTTAAGACCCCATTCTCATAACTAGTTCGATCTAGCAGGGTCGACCCATCTCCAAGGGGATTATTGTTTAATTAAATAGGAATGGTGAACTGAAGCTGCTAATATTCCCCACAGGGAATATATTCAGTGTCTATAAGGGGATCAGATGGCAAGCTTTTTAGTGGGTCCCATATTTGACCTGCGGCCTAGTTAGTCCACTGTTCTGAATGCAGTCTAAATCTACAAGCTTCAAACTAAAACAAAATCTTTCAATTCATGTTGAACAGTCTCATCATCTTTTCACAGACATGTTTTTGGGCTGTGAGAAAACAGTAGGAGGAAATTACTTGAAAAACTGCCAAAAAATAATGGAATTTCTTATTCGAATCAGAAATTAAATAATCATAATAATAATTAACTTTATTTAAAGAGTGTAAAACATGTAAAGTGCAACACTTATCTTACACATGGCCCTCTAGGGGGTTAAAATGAAATATTGTGTAATGAATAACAGATGAATAAATTATGTTATTAAAATGACAATGAGCTAAAATGAAATGAGTTAGAATAAAAAAGTAATAAGAATAAAACAGAAGGTATTATGTAGAACTTACATAATGGCTATGTGATAACATCTCAAACAATTATGGTAAAGTGTTGCATTGCAGTGGTTATGCAGTGGTAAACTAGCCAATCATATTTATTGGACTTGTAGCATTGGGTCATTTGCATAACTGGTACTATAATAAAGAGCTGCACAGGTAGTGCAGTGGTTAGTTATTGTTCACTTGTGTTAGAGTTACTTACTTTAGGTGTCCCGGTAGACTTCAACAGATATTATTAGTTTGTAAAAATACCAAAATATTCAGTGTGCTACAATGTCAATCAATTCTGTAGTCATTAGGCAATCATGCATAATTTTTCTGACACAGAGAATAATGTCAAATTATCTGATAGATGCTGTACTAGGTAACTAGGATTGCAATTTTAACAAAAAAATATATCACTAATTTAGTCTTAAGTATGATTGCATAAAAATAAGAAAGTCCTACCACCATTTGTATTATCAGGAATTATAATCCAAAATTCAGGTACTGTAACCTTAATCAAATTAACAAATGAACTTTAGCCTTACAAGATGTACAATATAAGTCCAAATATAATGTAAGATATATAATATGAGTTCAAATTTATACATACCTCTAAAATGAGAAGCAGTGTCAAAGCTGTCATGGCAGGCAGGGCGTAGTATGGGTCCAGCATTGTGAGGTCTGTGAACCACCATAAACCCCCCTCCTTCATACTCTCCACGGGGAGACTGGTCATTTCCCTCATGCCTTTGAACCATGAGACAAACACAACTCCCTAACAGGGAAATAGACAGTTATTCTCACTAAAGTTCCATAAAACTTAACAGTCCATTCCCATAGGCACCACTGTTCTACTTAAATCGATCCAACTCTGTGGGGACTCTCACTGAGTGCAATCAGCTGAACTGAATGACAAGCTTTCTCTTGTTTCCAACATACTCATAAAATCAGCAGCTTTTATGTATTCTACTTAAAGCCGGGAGGAGAAGTGTTAATTTGTTAAATTGATCACATTCAGCAAGAGTCCCCACTGAGTTGGATTGAAAACCAAGAGTGTCTTTGGGAATGGGACCTAATTAGTACATAATTCATCTTGTAACTTTGGCATCAGTATGTGCTGATGAAAACATGCATACAGTAAAAATAGAGATACACTCAAAAACTTTTTAAGTAATTGAAAAAGTTGTGTGCAAACATTTTTCTAATATATGAAAAGAATGCCTTACACATTTTTTTAAATTTTCATCTGAAGTAGTAAAAAATTATAGATATATTGGATTAAAAAAAAACTAACTGAAACATTTCAGTACATAAAACAATCATACAGAACATGAATGTCATTATACCATTACACATGAATGAAATCAACATTATGACAAGTATTATCTTAAATGCACTGAATGATATTTTTAAATACATGTGCTATTATAAATTACAGAGGCCATCACGCGTTCACTTGCAATAAATAAATATAAATAAATAACAAACAAGGCAGCAAAGCTGTGAAATGTACAGGCATAAAAGCAAGACATGATGCACAAAACTGGTTATTTTGTCAATTCTGATATACTGTTTAACGGCAAAATCAACATCAAATTTTAAATTACATGCACAAAAGACAACATGGATATCAAAGGAATAACAACTGTTCATTACGGGAAAAAAATTGGATTTTCCTGGGGTAAAGGACATTTTCCCATACTTACCAATGGTAAATGAATCTATTCCCATTTTCAAAGTTAGTTCCCGTTTTTTTTCTAAAAAGTTTTGTTTTTATGTAATATTCCTTCTGAGATTATTTCAGAGTTTAGACATCTATGGAGGTCATGTGGTGTGATGGCAAGCACAAATTTCAGAATAATTGTGTTTACCGCCGTTTTGGTGGTAAGGTAGAATTAATTATATTTCTTTGAGTTATTTACAATGTATTTATTGTGAAATATGGATATCTTACGAACGGCTGTTATCCCTTTAAGAATACATAACTAGCAGAAGGCTTCGAATTCAGGCCCAAGAGAGTTTGAAGTCACAAAAGTCAATGAAAATGCCAGAATGAGAAGAAAAAGCATAAATTTGTATTATCTCCAAAAGTGCATGGCAACAGCGTCAACAGATGCTTGTGATGGCTGTAAAAAAAAGGAAACTTAAATATATTTTTCTACATATTTCACTTCATACAAACAATTTTTTACCTGAAAAATTGGGATGAGCATAACTTTACTTGGATTGGCTTTACTATTTCTGTTTAATTCTTGTTGCTTGCGCTCAATCTCCATCCCTAGTAAAGCAAATGAGAGAAGAGAGGAAAACAATTATAGATATTTATTTATTTATTTCACCATATAAATGTGATTAACAATTCAGTGAACCCCATCAACTTCATATTTATCAATATCAATAACATATTCAACTTCCAAATGAAGATGAGGAATGTTGTCAAAGACACTAGACAGGGCATGGACACCAAGAACATTCACTTTTCCCATTATTCATGTCCAGCAATGTAATTGGCTGTAAAATCGAGAAAAGAATGAATCTCTCTGCCAGGCCACCACCAGCATGGATTCTAGACACATAACTACTCACATATTTGAACATATGTTTTATTTTTTATAAACACATTTAGCTGACTTGTATGCTTGCTTAAACACTACTTGAAAATCATCTTAATACTTGTCATCAGGACATTCATGTCCAAGTCAGACTCACTTGTAATGATATCTCCTTGTAACTTAGCCCTGCTGGCTTGCTGTTGCAGTTTCATAGTTTCTGGGGCCAGCTTTGTAACTTCTACCATGTTATTCTGGGATATTATCATTAAGGGGAACATAAAAAGCCTGACAATAGTTGTCACTGAAAAACAGTAAGAAAAAAATATTAAAATGCACTAATGACACATTTTGTAGCAATGCACAGACAAAACTGACATTGCTCTACATTGCCCCTGCCCCTGTGAAGATGGTGGAAGGGGGGGGGAGAGAGTAGAGAAATGAAAGTGTGGGTGTCACTTTCAGAATAAAGATGGTGGGCTTGTGAATTGTCATTCTTTCCAACAAATTGAATGTGGGCTTTCATATTGAATAATGAGCAGTCTCCTCACCCTAAGTATTACAGTTTACTGTGTAAAGTCATTCCCTCTAAACCAGCACCTCATTCTCCACCAGTTATGGATAGATAAACGAAAGTCACACTCACTGCTCGGCTGGCTGCTTTGTAACTCAGGGTGTACAACAAACAGCACAGGAATTTACTTGCTTTAAAAAATCCTAAATACACATAGCAGAGGTTTGTCTTCTCATATTATCTCAGTGATCCATCCTATTAATTACTGTGCTGCCTGCTTAAGTTATAGTACATGGGCATATGTATGTGTGTTGGTTGGGGTTTTGCAATCAAACATCTCCCTAAAGCTAGTACTAAAACTTTACTTTTAAATTAAAAACAAAAGAGAGGAAAGCAATGGACCCATCACAAACTTACTCAACACAATTGATCCCCACCATGGTAAGTCCAGGTGGACATGAAAGAACTCCAGTAAGGTCTGTAGCCTCCCAGAAGGGTACCAGTTTCCTAGGCCCAAACTTTGCAGTGTGGGCTCCCCAAGCTTGTTCAGGAACATGGAGTCGTAGACATCTGGTGGAACAACATCAGGGGGAGGTGGGATGTACTGCCCCCCTGCTTCTGCTCCTTTGGCTGCAGCTTCAGACTGGAAGTATAAAATTATAAGTTATATATATATATATATATATATATATATATATATATATATATATATATATATATATATATATATATATATATATATTATAACAAGATGAACCAAGATAGCTCTGATATTATTTGCAATCCTCCATATTGATAATTTTCATCTCAAGGTATAATTATATGTTATCCAATTTTCTTATCTTTCTTTTTATGAATTTTAGACAACTACAATGTAAATACCTTCTTTCAAATATATTATTTTGCTCATATCTTACCACAGCTTGCCCTGTACTGTTAAATCTTGTTGGCATGACACTGCAGCCAATGGCATAAGACTGGGGCAACTGTCTGGGGCTACGTGTAATGTGAGATATGCACATCTTTCCGAAGCACCCTGTGCTCTTACTCATACACAACATTCTGTTCAGTGTGTGGAGCTGTCTTCTACATGCAGCTGCAGGCCTCTGGTATCATGAAAATATGACGGATAGTACTGTGAGATCTAGACTATACCTAACTTCAATTGTAGCATGAATATTTATGCATTAGCATTTCTATTATGTAATTTAAGTAATCCAAGGACTTTCCCTTTAAATTTCAAACGATTTATTCATACCCAGTTATTTGGTTATCTGTGTACCTAATTTCAAGTCCCATTTATAACTATTAGAAAAGCGTGTAAACCATAGTAGTAAAACAACAAAACCTTATAAAAATAAAGGGGGAAAGTATACGGTCCGGATGTCAGGCGCAAGAGACTTGTCAAATCATCAATAGCTTGTAAACGTTTCACCTGATATGGATTCTGATTCTCCTTTCAGTTTTAATCTTACAGATGCACATATATGGCTGCCTATGTGAATAGCTACAAGAGCAGGCTTCGTCAAAATTATTATGATCCTTCTTAAACACAAAAAAATCTAGACGTCAATATGTAGAAAATAAAAATATCAGTTTCATATCCTATTTATGCTTCCATTCCATCACTATCAACTAACCTGTGCCAGAATTTGTCCATATAAATGTTTATGATCGGAAAATATTCGAGTGCATCTGGAGGCAGCCATATTGAAATAAAATGCATTGTGGGATAGCAACATATGTAACCCCACTCGGAACTACTCGGATGTCTCCGCACTCGACAATAATTAGTATGGAGCTTGCGGAATGAGCCGAGGATTGCCGATTGATGTAACCCAACAAGTTGAGTGATGCTGGCCAGACCCACTTGTTAGTTTTGCCGATCTGAAGCAAGGTTGCTATTATATTTAAATATTTGTCACTGATTTGTACCCGAGGTACCGCAGTGCTAGTACTGGTAGTGCGTTATTTAGAACGAAGAATTAATCATTCATTCTAGATATAAAGAGGGTCTCAGTTGGAGCTCTAGGGGGGTGGAGGTGGGGGGGGGGGGGGGGGGCGTAGCAATAGACCAATCAACCCTTGATTAAACTAGAAAAGCACTCCGAGAGCGCAGCCCTCCGCCAAGGCAGCAAAGTCTCCACCGTTTCACCCCTAAATTTTCATTCTAAAATGATTTAGTTTTTTGATTTTTTGATAATTGATATATTGATTGATTAATGATCCGGATCACCAACAAAAACTAATCATCTGTTCCTTGGCCCACTTCTGACAGTTCCAGAAAATTTCATCAAAATCGGTACCTCCTTGGCGGAGGTAAAAACTGATGACAAAAATGTTACCGTTTTTTGGACCAATGAACCTTCCGACTATCGAAACTCTGTTTCACAAAACGCAAAGAATAAAAGACTGCATTCATATGATGCATTTTATGAAATTTTTTTCACTTTTTTCAGCATATTCTATCCATCTTTAAACAAATAAAATGACAACCATTTTACCTTTTGTCTTCAAACTTAAAGAACAGAAAAATACAGGTAAAATTTGAAAATCAGCCTGATCATACGTTAATGGCTATCTGTTATTGTGTATTACATGTGTAATAAAGTGTCCAAAATGGAAATAAAAAACTTGTTCTATTTTGGGGATATCAGGGCCAGTGATCTGCCATTGCCATTTCATTATAATATGGCTAATTTTGAACCAAACTCGTATTAAATTTCAGTGTTGGCAGGCAATAAAATACTTTAGACTATGTATGTAGGGAACCACAGGTTCAAGTCCCATTATTCAAATGAAACAAATGCAAAAAAAAATATTTTTCAGTAAAAATTTTATTGCTAATGGTATATAAAAAAGCTTGCATCCAAATCTTATTTTATGAAGTGTACAAGACCTACATGTACTGAACAAATTATTATTTGTGGGAAGATGCAGCATATGGTAACTATATGCTGACATTCGGCTTATACTAGTGCATATACCACAATTAATCTTTCTTTACTTCTGCAAAATATACATGTACTGACATGACCCCAAGTGAAGAAATTTCCAAACAATTTTGGTATGTATATTTAATTAAATTTCTTTGAATTATGTGAGTAATAACCATATTATGATTACCTTATGCAGAAAAGTATATTATATAAATATAAACATATAACTTGCTACAAGTATATAGGCTAACTTTCCAACTGTAGATTCTTTAAATGACTCAAAAATAATGCTGGATCTGTATGAAAGAAATTAAATCCTAAAACAATGATGTCAGAAAGCTTTATAGATGTATGAAATAAAATTTTCTCTGGTTACAAAAATTATCTGTGATTACTGACAAACTTCATAAAAAAAAAACGTAATTTACATTTGATACCCCAATATTTCATCTTTTTTTAAAATGTCTCTCTCTATATATATTACATATAAGACATAACTGCTTCATCAGTCTTTGGTAATTGTTCCTGAATTATGCCCCTGTCTTCGCTGTATTATTTCCACTGCCAAGTATCCCATCATGCCTAGCCCCAGCACACCAATCAGGATGTAAATCTTGATGTTGACGCAGAGCTGGAAGCTGAAGACATAAGCCAAGACAAATGCTAAGGATTCCCAGAGACGGTAGTTGGAAAATGCTGGCTCAGTGTTGTCTTGGAACACCACACCATATAAAGCTGGAAAATAACAGAACATCCTCATTATACCAGTGCTTTGATATGTGCATACAGGTAACGGATTATGTCAGAGGACAACGCACCACTAACGCGTTGGGTGATTAAAAAATTCGTCTAATACCTAACTATGCCCCCTTTTTATGAATGGTCGCTGTGGGAAGAAGACAATGCGACCATAAGTAATTAACGCATCGACACTAAGGTACCAAGTAGGCTCCGCATTGTATTTCATACATGTCACAGTATCTCTTTTTCTCTCTCTTTTCGAATATACATAGCTACATGTAGTGTATCACAATGCTGAAAGTGACCTACTCCATATGTACATGTACTGTATGTGAGGAGCCAAACAAGAAGGCAGAATGGCAAGAACATTCTACATGCCCTTGATGTTCTTTATTTCTCTTCACAGTTGTTTCAGTGAAAGTTTCAATGGAATTTTGTCTTTCCAAATTTTAACTTGAATCATTTGTACAAGGACACAAAATTGCATGATTTACATATTTGTACTAGACCTGTGTGGATATATTTACCATTGATCTGTGTCTGCCATATGGCGTCCCCCATCCCCCACAAGCCTGCCAGCACAAAGTACACCACAAAATGGTCTGGAGTGGGCTTCCACAGCAAGAAGGTCAGTTGTAAGCCAAAGTGTAATAGGGCACCTGGAAGAAAATTGGATGATTGTTGATTTAAGGTCTCATTTCATAATATTTCATATGTTATAGGCATTCTGCCAATTATTACCCCAATTACTATTATACCAGTAACACCCAATGACCTGTGGGTATTCAGCCCAATGATGCTCTTGAGAAAAAAAAGAAACGTAGCTGTTTTACTTCAATTTTTGTTCCAAGGTAAGTGATTTATTATCAGTAGAACAATAAGTAAATTATATTTTTTTGTTTTTTTATCAATTCATTCGCCATGAAGTGCTTCAAGTTTCTCATACCCTCATTGCAATTTGGAAGGCAGTAGCTTTGCAGAAAATCTAGTGCTAACTTTTCCTGGCATTGAGTGGAATACAGAAAAGCTGTACATTGGAAACAAAAAGGTGTATTAATCTGTTAAACTGATTGCATTCGATCAATCTTTGTAGAACCATGGCTTGATTGCAAAACACCGCTTAGGTATTGGAAATAGAAAATCAAGATATTTGTCAATAAAGATACAATATGCATAATATTTGACTTTTCTTCTACAAAATGCCTTTCAACTATTGAAGACACCTTTCCAATTACACCTCCCCAAAAGAACTCGTAAATTAAAATATTTGAACCCTCTTACCAAAGACAAAGAAGGGTATTCTGCCCAAGTATTTGACCAGTCGTCCAAAGGTAAAAGAACAGATAGCATCCACCACTCCATAACAAATCATAACATAGCCCACATTCCAGATACCCACAGTGCAGCTGACATAGGACTGAAAGAAACAGCAAACATGTACCTCATTTAAAACTGGTGTGAATGCTACATGGAATAAAAATCTGAGAGTGAAAGGCCCCATTCAGAATATGGGACTAACTAGTCCGAGGGTCAAATATGGCCACTCACTACAAAGCTTGCTGTCTAATCCGCTAATAGACATTTCGTGGGGAAGTATTCAATTGGGTTGGCCATATTTGACCCTCGGACTAGCTAGTCCACTGTTCTGAATGTGGCCAAAGAAAGAGCAAACACCTCCTTTAAAACTGGTATGAATGCTACTTGGAATAGAAATATAAGAGTGTAAAATGAATAGAGACCTCATTAAAAACTGATGTGAATTTCCCTTAAGTTGAAACAAATGACACAATATTTATCATGTAACAGATAATGGCCAATTCACTCCAATTTAAATTTCTTAGATTGTAATTTATCACTTGGGGTCAAGCCCAATAGCATGTCTATCCAGATCATCTCTCAACATTTTTAAAATCTATAGCTTGTTTGAGATCAACATTATGATTTGTGAATCTCTTCAAAATGACATTTTCAAATATTTGGTTTGTATCCAATCATGGTTCCATAATTATACTTCAAACTGAGGATAACAATATTTATTCTAGAAAATTAAGTAATGATTTTTTTTACCTTTGTAAAATCCCCACTTAGAAAGCCTTGTTCAAAGCCACTGTACATGGTAAGAGGAATAAGCAAAATCTGCTCTGGCCTTCTCATGTGTTTAAAGGTGGCGATGAAAAGGTCAAAAGAAAACTTCCTGGATCCCTCAGAAGTTTTGGACTCCAGCGCAAGTTTATCCAGTAAAAAGATGACAATAGCAATGGCAATAACACCACAAGCGGCATAGATTCCAACCAGCATCAAAATCTGAAAATAAAAACACTTATGATGAAATTCTGTAGTCATGCAATGGAATTTTTGGAAAATTGAAAATGTTTGAAAATTAAAACACAAACAGATATGAAGAGCAGCCAAAAGAGCTAACTAACATGTATGTTAAAAACATATAAAGACAAAATTACAAGTATCATTGTATCTTATATTAAGTAATATCATAAGAAAGATTAATTTTGTATACTTATATTAGTCAAGTACATCCATATAAAACCTTGATGGCTGTTTGCAGATCTGCATAAAACGATCAATTATAACTGGGCTAAACAACAGGCACCAACAAGTACTCTCAGTTGCATTCCAATCATTTCCACCCAAGTGTCAGGGCACATTCCTAATGAAACAATTGTTCTGTGTAGATCGATCCAACCCCGCAGGGACCCTTGCTGAATGCAGTCAGATTAAGACTGGGTTCCCATGACTAGATTGATCCATCTGGATTGGTCTAACTCCCTGGGGAGTCTCACCAAATTGCTATCAACTAACTGGCTTAAATGTCTGTCACACCTACCAAATCAGCTAGGGGTATAAAGATAATTACCCCCCTAACAGCTTTACTAGGCATGTCAGACATTTAAGCCGGTAAAGTTGATGGCAATGTAGTGAGACTCCCCCAGGGAGATAGATCGACCCAAATATTTGTGGGAATGGTCCCTAAGAGATTAATCCGCCTCCTCCTGGTGTTGAGTAGAGTAGATATTATCCACTCGGCAGGGTAACATCAACCAAAGGTCCTCTATGGATCTAATATCACTCAATGAAAATTTTACTCCAAATAAAAACAATTATTTTATTCAGTATGAATTATTATAACTTATCATTTATAATTTTAGTATTTAATGATAAAGCTGCCTCACTCTTTCATATGGTGGTTTCTCCAGTCCTACGTTGGTCAAGTTGCCAATTGTTTCATCCCCTGTGCAATATGCAGCACCACATTTAGCAAGAAGCTCCTCAGGGATTTCAGTTTCATTATCACGCTTTTGGCTAAAGACCAAAGATGATATCAGATTGCCCCACACTGAACCTGAAAAAATATGTACTATGGTTTTTAAAAAATCTGACAATTGTACAAGTATATACTAATGTATTATGCAATTAACTCATATTGATTAAATTTCTATCAAAGGCTTTACATAAAATAGGTGTGAACTTTTAATGATGTTTTGCTTGATATTTTTTTTCATAATGCTTATGCAGCTAAACTTGTTGGTTTATTTCATGACATTAATGTTTTTCTTATAGCCTGTGGCTCAGATATTTCCATTGCTAGAGACATACTTCAATTTGTTATGCAACAAAACTAATGAAATGGTGCTCACTGGTTTGAAAAAATGCAAAGAATATGCCAAAAAACTTATTCACAGCAGCATCTTTTGATTCTCCTGTTAGCTTTCCATAATGAATGGCTGTCTCGGTGAGGTAGGTACACTTTGCTGACCACAAAGGTGCCGCCCCAAATCCCAAAATCACTGAGGAAGGTGCAATGGTTCCCCAGATAGCATAGAAGTTGGCAACAATGTATAAGACATAGCAGCACATAGATACAACGATAGTCCACTTGCAGCCCAGTAGTGCAATGAGGGGAGTGGGTAAGAACAAACAAGAGACTATCAGGGCACCATAAATGATGGCCAGCCCATACACCCCAAGGCCTTCCTCCTTATTCAAGCTGCTCTGGAGGGCACCCAAGGCCTGGAAAGCTGTGAACAAGAACATGAAGGCAAAGCTGACAATGATCAGGTTCTTGATGATGCGTTTCTTGGAGAAGGTGTGAGCGTATGCTTTCCCTTTGGATTCAGAAATGCCCAGGTCCTGTTTGGAGTCGGACGTTAAGGCAGGTCCCTTGTGTTCTTCAGACATTTTGATTAGTTACATGCGACTCAAACCTGGAAAATAAAAAGAAACATACCATTCTAGTAACTTTGAGAATAATGATATGCATAACTATAATAGTTAGTACTAAAATTATAAACATAAAATAAGAGAACTCATTTTTTGTGTCTAATCAACACAAAAACTACATGACCGGGGAAATTGCTAGTATGAGGTTACTGCAGAATGGGTTTAACTTAAACAAGAAGTATACTACCAAGTAACAAACTCATATATGCTCATGACTTAAATAGGCATTTAGATGGGGTTTTTTTTAACAAAACAAAGCAAATGTGACAATTACATGTAGTGAAATATGCCATGTTCATGACCTTTTCAAATGTTTTAAAACTTCACCACTTCTAAAAGATATGAAAATTCAAGATCCTGACTAGGCATAAAATGGTTAGAAAGATTCAGTAGTTACAAATTCTGACAGACACAAGCAAATGAACTAAAAAGCCGTAGCAAAAAGAAATTATTATTATAATAATTCAAAATATAATTAGAGTAAAACTGAAAATAAATGAAAAGTAACAAGATGAATAAAACCATTAATTTTTTTTTAATTGATAGCCATTCCCAGAAGGCCTGTGTATGGGAATCTGCATGAGAACTTTTTCGCCACATGATATCAAATAAACTCTGTATAGTATTCGGTTTAAGTTAACAACAGGTAAGATCAGGCACTAAAAGCTAGGTACATGACTTCATCACATCCAAGGATATCATCTTCTACAAAAGGATGTTGACTTGACCTTAACAGGGTTATGTACACCAGATACCAAGCTACAGTAGTTAGCTTGAAACCAGGCTAATGATAGAATACAATAAATATCTTTGGAAATGCCTTAAATGGGTGACTCAAATTAGCTTAAAGAAAAATGAATTGAAAATAAATATGTTTCACTGTTTCAGCCAATTCGTCATAGATTTGGTGAAGATTTAAAGTTTTGGCTGGAAAAGACCACATGAACAATGTTTACAATCAAGTTATCCACAGACAAAATAAAAAACAATCACCTAGGTGGAAGTTGTAAAAACTGAAAACCTTAAAAAAGTAACTAGCAAAAATGAATTGAAAATAAATATGTTTCACTGTTTCAGCCAATTCGTCATAGATTTGGTGAAGATTTAAAGTTTTGGCTGGAAAAGACCACATGAACAATGTTTACAATCAAGTTATCCACAGACAAAATAAAAAACAATCACCTAGGTGGAAGTTGTAAAAACTGAAAACCTTAAAAAAGTAACTAGCAATTTCTCATCACTTTTAGACCATATGAGAAAAAATAATCAAAAAGAAGATTGAAAATCCTGAAATCAGGCATAATCCTGAAAACTCCCATCCAATTAATCACCAGGTTAGCAGTGACACTGTACTAGTAACATATACTGGTGCCTGTAGATGACTAACTTTTTCACTGAAATACAATGAGGTAACGGCAAAGTTTTTTTTCTTTGAAAAAAAAACAAGTTTCAGATTAGTCCGATGCAATAACCACACCTACCTGTTCTTACTGGATATGTTGCCCACCAAAATGAATCAATTATTTTCTGATAAACCTTAATGTACGTGATACGAGGAGTATACATATGTTATCAGTTGTGACCTAGACCTACATCTTTATTTCTTTATTACCTTTTATCAAATTGTATACTGAGCTTTTATGGCATCTGTTTCACGCCCTTTCATGGCTGTTTACATACCTGCAGTGTGGACATTGTATGGTTTATTTTGGAGGGCAGGGTGAGCATGGTACATTCCAAAGGTACCACTAAGCAAAAATACTCTACAAGATAATGTAAGATTTGTTCTCTTAAATTGTTGATCAATTTATTTACAAATCTTAAGTGATAGACAATAAAAAGGAGGTGCAGTATTTGTCATTGGGAGGGGGCGTGCAGGAGGAATGAGACCTTAGGGCACATTCAGATGCACATTCAACTCTGCGGAGGATTCTCACTAAAGTGCAATCAGTAGAATCAGCTTAAATACCACACGATAAGTAATTACCCCCCAGCTGTTTGAGGAGCTGTATCATTCAGTTAATTACATTGCACTAAGTGAGAACCCCCACAGAGTTGGGCCAGCCCAACTTAGTACCATGTGTCTATCTGAATGCTCCCTCACACACACACTTTGTAAATCACCTCGTAAGGACAGGTAGCAAGAAGTTGCCCGGGTTAATGTCTCAAAATTAATTTAGGTTGAGTCAACAAAAAGACATGTAAACAGGTATTATGGTATTATCTGTTATCTACTGGAGGTGTGTGATTAACATAATAAATCTTAGCTAAACTAATTTATTTAAGGGCATGGAAAGATAGGTTATCCTGTTTCCATTTTTTGCTTGTCTTGAACTGATAGTGAAAAAATGTTTGCAAACATCCAGGTTATGGAAACAGGTCAATCCCACAATTTCAGCAGTCTTTCACACTGTCTTCTGCACACTAATTCCACGGGGACTCTTGCTGAATGCAATAAGATTAAATGCCTCCTCTTTTTAAACAACATACTTGCATAATAGCTTTTCTGTATTTTACTGAATGCCAGGAGAAGGCATGTTAATCTGATTGAATTCAGCAAGAGCATATGTGGAGTTAGTGTGCAGTAGCTAGTACAATAAAGATTCATTGTGAGTACACACTACGGCAAAACTGTGATCTTTAAAAAATTCATACGAGGACAGTTTAGAACTTGGAGGTTAGGGTGATATATGGCTAGAAGTGGAAACCATTTGCCAACAAAGTTTTTTATCTTGAAGTTTAATCAAGGTCAATGCCACTTGAAAATGTCAGAAATAAATAGGTAACAGCTTTACCTAGATAAAATATTTTTACAACATGAGGAAAATTATTCATAAACACCAAATCCTTAGGTTTTTATAGTAATGATATCATGACCCACAATAAATGTCAACATATTTATGCTAATTTGTGAAAGAGCTAGGTACGTCTTAATTCTCTTTGAGCAGTTTTACTGCCACTTGCAGTTTTAAAAATACAGCTCAGCAAAACAAGTATCATTATATACATGGGACAATGACTAAAGGCATAAAACTCTGTGTTGATTGCAATTATGCTTTACTCTATTGTTTGCATTTCATTTATTTTACAAACTCTGCATTATATATTGTACTGAAAACTTAAGTACAAGTTTGGATGAGGCTAAAATACAGGAGTCTATATTACATTATTGTATCATTAATGGCATTTAATTACCATGTTACAAACTTGTAAGTAAATTTGTCCATCCACGTCATAATTACCTAGTGAAAGGTCTCAGGCTGATACTGCCATCCTGCACAATTCCATTCCATATAAAGTATATTCTCCAGTTAGTGACTATATGACTAAGCTTCATATATAACCAAAAAAAGCCCTTCAATCTTATCTCATACAATATAGGCTGTAACAAGTTTGCCAGTACAGTACTTTGATATGTTAATCTACACATGTGCATGCACGAAGGTTCACATGTCAATACACTATGAACCAGATTTTTTTTTAAATTTCAACCTAGATAAACTCAATTCATTCTTTGTGTACCTGCACATTGTAGCTTCCCAACAGGAACTAAAGTGTTCACACCGTGCATGTATTCATGGATGTATTTGTATGCGACAAATGCCTCTCCTTCCTGGGCTTGAGGGTAAATAATCATGGAAGTAAGACCATTTATTTTTTTTTTTGCAGACATTACAAAAAATATCTAATTTATTGGGTGATAAAAACAATAAATTTGAACATTTGCTTCAGGTTATAATTTATTAGAAACTATTTTCCTCAAAATTATCTAATTTATCAGGTGATAATAGCAATAAATTAGAACATTTGATACGATTTATAAAGTATATATATATACATGCATGTATTTTCCTCAAAATTATCAAATTTATTGGGTGATAAAAGCAATAAATTACACCATTAGCTAAGAGTTATAAAGTATATATTTTCCTCAATGATATGGGACTACACATATCAGGAGGTAGTAATGAGAAAAACCTGCCGCAATAAACATGTGACCACTACAAATTTTGTCTGAAAGGCATTCAGCTGATTTAAGTTATTAGCCTGTAGCGTTATGCATGTAAATTATACAATTTATATGATTTTTTTCTCAGGCCATCCTGGCAAAATGTTCTCAGGAGACACAAGATGGTTTTATCACAAACCAAGACATCAAATTTCAGGCTTTAATAATCACTTTTAATCTTTAAAGTGTTATTTTTAAGATCTGTAGTCAGGGGAGTTCAGCAGTTTCTAAGGAACTGCCACTTTGGCTGTAAAATGTCCAGTCTGAATAAACATTTGATCTATGAACACACTGAGGGGCCATTCAGAATAGAAGATCTGAGTATCAACTGGTCCAAAGATCAAATATGGCGCACCCTACATGAAAGGAAGACTGCTTCCCGTAATGGTCACTCTGCCTCTCACACGACTCTCAATGCATCTGGTCCAATGGAGACGAGATTTAATTACTGTGCCCCTGCAGGGACGATGCATGGGGAGCCGTGTGAGAGGCGGAGAGACCATTACTGGATTAAGTGGTCTTCCTTTCATGTAGGGTCCGCCATATTTGATCCTTGGACCAGCTGATACTTGGATCTTCTATTCAGAATGGCCCCTAAGCTTCACCAGAACCTCATGGCAGTGCACCTTTGACAATGCTGGCTACAGGTCTGTTGTCACATATATTACAGGTATAAACATGCATGGTTTCTTTATACAGAATTTTTTATGTATACACCTTCTATGTACTGATACTGATGATAAAGGAACAAACAAACACAAGTTCACACTGCATATAGGTTACCAAGTTTCAGAGGTTCTATAAATCTCTTGACAATTCCAGAGTATGATGCACTTGGTCAAAATGTCACTAGCTCTTCAGTAGGATTCCAATTTTTAAAGTTGTACAAAATCACAGTTGGTAGTGGTGCATGTAGTAAACATAACCATCATCAACATACAAATATCCAACCCAAGGTAACAGTCAGCCTTTAATTATTTTTTAGGTTGTGTGAGCCAAATAAACAATTTTTAACAAATGTATTAACAAAAATACTGTCAAAAAATGAACAATCAAAGGAATAGAGAGAGAGAGATTCAGACTTGCCTTTTTTCTTTTTTTCCCCTGTCACTATTAGACTGTAGACCCAAATGTGTTGCAATCAAAATAAATTTTGTTGAAGCAGACTGTCACTTCACCAGTGCTTCCTGTGTAGCAACCCAACCTGCAAGGAAATAAAGCTGAACCTATAATATTAAAGAAGTTTTGCATGTCAATGTATAAACATCTTCAGTCCTCATTCATCAAGGTTGTAACTACATGTATCTCCTCACAGGCACTGTTACATGTAAAAATACTTTCAGTCTCTTAAAAAACGATCTACATTAAATCACCTTTTCACAAGATACAATGAAAACAATACTTGAAAACAAGTCCAGTGAGTGCACAATAATAACAGTTGCCTAAACCAAGGAGACAGTTAACTTTTGTCACCACAAAACTGATACAAATGTACTCTGTGAATATATGTACATGTATGCAGGAACGTCACACAAGAAAGTGCAGCATAATTACTTACCTGACTATGAGCCCAATACCAAATATACATTGGCTATTTTCATTGACTGTGCAAGTTAAAAATGTCACCAATGTGTACAGATACACTGCAATAGCCTACAAAACAATATGTAAATGGGATTAGGGTTACTACATATTTGTACATGCGAAAGTACACTGTTGTGACAAACTTTCATCTTCTGTGCTCTTAGAGCAGAGGTCATGATCTTGACTTGATTAAACACAACCAAACTCAGTATACTGCACATTTATGCTGCATTTCCAGTCAAAAGGGACCGGCCCATCTTGGTGAGATCTGTCTCAGCAGGAAATTGTCTCAGTAAGCCATCAGGTCGACATAATCAAATCTACCTGTCGCTTTATTTGTAATTGAAGTGCATGTAAAACTAAGGGTGACGGTAGAATGGCTTTGTATGGCTTAACTGCTGATTGTAATAAAATGATATCCTTACAATATGGGTCATCACAACATTGATCACCACATCTAAACTGGAAACACGCGTTAGCAATATGTGATCACACAGAGCGACATTAAAGGTATGTTATGACAAAGTTTAACTTATAATGCATTTACGAAACTTAAACAAAGAGGTCATTATAATTCTGCCCATCTCACAACACATCTCAGGTACATGGATGTATCTCAAGGCTAATTCCATTGCACCAGGTCATGCAAAGTCCTCAGCATAATAAGGTTACTAGTATATCAGTCAGCTAATTAACAGCTTGTGATATTAACAGACAAGGTTTTCTTAGCACTTTTTAATAAAGTTTAATAGGCAAATAAAATGCCAGTACTAATAATTTTTTTAAACATTAACACTCTGCCATATGTTTTGATTTTAAACACCACAATTCTGAAAAATACAAGTCTATAAATCAAAACAGATCATTTTTTTCTTTAAAAAGGGACAATTCATAGCTCCTAAGTGACATCTGATATGGCAATAAATCATAACTGGCAACCCCCTTCCCCATTCCACCCCCCCCCCCCCTCTTCAGCATCTCTTTAGCTATAGCATATAGTGTATGTCATACAGATTAACAATAATAACAATAATGTTTATTTGAAACTGAAATAGTTGGATTGTACAATAATAAAGATTGCTAAATTCACTACAAATGAGAATTATATTACAAAGTTGTTAATTAAAAGTGTTATGATAAAATAAAACATTTACTAAGCAGGGGCGTAACCAGACCTTTAAAAATTGTACGCACAGATTTTTAAAATTCCCAGCAAAATGTAGACTAACGCAAGAGATGAAGGACAGCGTAATTACAGCATATGTACCACACATCGCAGCTTAATTTTCATTAATAATAAAATGATCATTTAGTCAGAAATATTTAAATTAAAAAAGTTTCAATATTCTTATTACCCAGAATGGTATATTTATTTAAAAGGAGGCTAGCTTCGCATATGTGGAACTCCCTTTGAATAATCCTGGATCCTCTGAGTTGAACTAACATACGGTTTCATTCACCTTACATGTGGATGCATGGTTCCCAAAAACAACCAATTTTATGACACGACAGAGCTTTGATATATCTAAGTTTAATTATTTGTTTGTAAAAATTGCCCCTGTCACCCTGTTAGTTTGGAGGGGTAAGCTGGGTCAAGTCCGTGTCAAAATTCTTTGAAGCTTTGCAGGAAAAATTCTTCCTTTGTTTCTCTAGCTCCTTCTTAAACCTGGTGTCCAGATTTTATCTAGTGCAGGAGCTGCTCTTTGAAAATAACACTCAGGCAGATTTTTACCTGAGATAAATATCGCCAGATATTCTCAAGAAAGAAGGTACAGAAGAGTTGAGGGCCACTGAACCCTCCAATTAAGAGGTAAAGGAAGTTTTAGTTAGATGTACGATTAAGATAGGACTTGTTAAGGTTACAGGCATTGTTTACCTCAGTTTGCAAGACGGGGGGAGGAGGGGTCAGAACAATTGTGCCTATACAATTGATACAGAGGATTTGTTTTTACAGGTGACTTTAATAAGCAGAGGATTTCTTTATATTCCGTGAAAAATACACTAAATTTATATGAAATAATACCATGGTTGGCCAAAAAATTGTACGCACAGTGCATCCGTGCGTATGCCTAGTTACGCCCATGCTAAGATATTTAAAAATATTTCAGACTTGTCTGATCCTTTAATTTCAATTTTTAATAGTTGGTAACTTTTCCTAAATTTTCATAATTACACAGCTTCAGTGAGTGAACATGTAACTGTGGTTCATGACAAATCTCTTACCAGAATCTTACATCCAGTGAGTTCACAAGTTTTCTTGTGCCGACACCTGTGGAGATATCCCTGTTCCAGTGACGCAGTGCTCACAAACAGCTCCTGAGACCAGTCCACTTGTTTTAAATTCAAACTGCTGGCATGGTGTGACAGGCTGGACTGATAATACAACAGTCCTCAGCTCTTCTGTGGCTGATGACATAATGTACACACATCCTGAAATGACATAGAATTATGATACAACCGGAACAGGACAGATTGTTTAAGGTTCTGTTCATATACCAGTTGTTGATTTACATGTAATACACAAGTACCTGTTCAGTTTGTTCATATAACATAATGCACTATTATGACTGACTCAGATTTAGACAATGTCTGTGTTTATTTTTAGCAGAATTGGAAGGGAATTTTGCATGTTAAAATTGGAAATTTGCTGTGAATTGACAAATTGGAAAAAGGTCAATGCCCCTGTGAAACGTCTTGAGTAAAGTATGCAGAAAACCTGGATCAAATATTCCATTTTAATCTGATTCACTTAGAATTAAGCACACTGTCCCAGCCTGCTTGGAATGCTAATTTAATTCATTCAGCAAATGGGAACAAACTGAAACAGTTGTCAACTGGCTCAAAACTGAACAAAAATGTCTGATGAGAACACAGCCATGGAAAGTATTCCATAGTTTAAAACTGCACGTGATACGTACATACTAGAAGTTGTGAACTGAGTCATATTATTAAACAAGGAAGCTTTGTTTCATGCATAATGCCCTCCAGCATGCGTCCTTGAGGTTATGTAATGACTGACTGGTGTCTGGATGTTGGTGACACAGCTAATTCACACATTCTGGAAAATCTACTGGTTCAAACAAAATTTTACTGGCCCAGGACGTAAGACCAGTGGCTATAATGACACAGACGGTTGTTGTAATTAAGTTTTGCTTATCATTGACTTGAGAGGCTAAATGAGATTAATTTGCAAATAATTTAATTAAAAAAATTTTAACATTTTGATTTTTTTTCTTTCTCATTACAGAGGAGTTATAAAAACAGGTTAAAAACAAGTGTTTGTCTAAAGGTTACTGCCATCTATTTATTCATACACAAAGCATGTGCATAGCACAAAGCACCTGTATTGCCTTCTTTAAATAATCAATTTTTAAAGAAAATAACTTTTTCAGTTTAAAAAAATGTAAAAATAAATAAAAGGTTTACATTTTACTTCACCTATCAGTCTTTATCACTATCATCATTATCATTATATATACGTATCTATAGAGATCTGTCTACTCATTTATTGTTATACACAGGCAGTTTGGACAATCTGAAACCTACCAGTAAAAATCTATCACAAACAAAAATGAAAAAAGTAAAGCCTCTTACCCATTGTTTTTGAATATCCAGTATGTATATGTCCATTCCCTGGACCCAGCCTTCATGCTAGGGCCCTTGTGATGGATAACAATCCAAATGATTTTGATTTTGGTGGATGCTGGCAAAATGTATTGGTATAACACCATATACTAGTATACTAGTAAATAGTAGTACATCATCATGTTCCCATATCTTGTTCTCATAGCCATTTTACATCCTTCTTGGGTTGTGCTGAAAGATATAAGAATGGATTATAATGCAGCTTTTTTCTCCAATGTTACACGTACATCAGTGTGATACGTACCATGTATAAGTAAATGTACTGATACATACAACAAATGCAGTTATCTCCTATTTTAGGGAGGAAATCAGGGTGTGTGTACCTAGGCATGCATGTGTGGAGTGGGGGAAATGACTGCCCTAAATACACCATGGGCTACATATGGTTTAAACAAACAGTCTACACAGAACATATGTAAACTATACGTAAACACATCCAACCTAACCACAAACTAAAAAGTTAATTATACTCTACATACATTACTTAGCATATGTCTAAAAATATTTGGCTTCTGTCAGGTTGTATCATGCCAAACACATCTACATGTGCTGGTCAGACTGAAGTACAAAACATGCATTTCTGCAGTTTCATGTCTACCAGCTAGCTTGTAGCCAGCAACAGATTTGGATTGAACCAACTACAGGTATATACATATAGCAGCATTCCCTTCCTGTATTTAAACTTTAAGCTGCATCACCACAACATAAGGATAATTTTGCCCCCCCCCCCAGTGTTCTTTTGTTTATCTATTCTTATTATTTATTTATTTATTTATTTATTTATTTCATTTTATTTTTTATTGATTTTTTTTTTTTGGGGGGGGGGGATAAATCTACTGCCATTAAAAGGACGTGTGTGATAGAAAGCAATGAAATTCATGCATATGTACTGCTTTTTGGCAAAAAGGGAGGTACTTTTGTAGAAACGCGGCAAGTTATTGACTGCGGGTACATTGTAAATTTTCACATTGTATTTCAATGGGGTGGATTAAACGTGATTAAAACTAATAAAAAGACCACAGGTAATTACAAAAACATTTTATTTCAACAGTTTTGACATAGGTGAAAAAGACAATGTAAAAAACTGTTTGAAAAATGAAAGTTTCAGGAAGTTACAGGGTGGGGGGTATACTACAAAAGTACCAAAAGGGATATTAGCTACGATGATGAATTTTTGTGCTACGTGTTGGTCTCCCTTGTGATCGATGCACCGTTCATGTTCACATGTAACGCTAAACACATGAAGAATTTGTGACGTACAACCACGCGCGTACAACCTCTCAATATCGCCCGGTCTAAAGGCCCAGTTAAGTCTCAGATAATGTATAAATATCTGAATAAATATGTGAAGCACTAGTTGAACAATTTTATGTTTTTTAGCACTGGCTTATACCTCTGTGGTATGCTTAAAATGATATATATCATATTGTCTTGTCAAATAACCTCCGACTTTCTCTCGCTTCCTCTCAGATGAGCTCTTCATGAAGAAAAGGACCGAAAAATTTGTGACCAACTCGGTACCTGAAGACGCACATTTATGTTAACCGAAACATTAGTCTACGGATCATAATAACAGGTCAGATGTAAGTGACCATGGGTTTGGCTTACTACGATTCTGCTTGAACGTTAAGTAGCCATTATAACTTCAAACTTTGACAATACTGTGAAACAGAATTTGGCAGAAACCCAACAGCTCTCAAGCGGCACGTAAAAAAAAAAACGGTTACAAAATTCACACAGAAACTTTGTGTTTTATTTGCTCATAATTGGATATTTTTTATATTTCAGGATGAATATATTGTTGAGGTCATATTTACTATATGGAGGTTGTGGAAGTGTAGCAACTGGTCGCTCCATCGTGACCATTACCAAAAGTTCTAAAGGACTCTGGACGGCACACTTGGAACGCCACCATGTCCCATTTAGAGGGTTTTTAAGAGTTGCTGCAACGCCGTCATCCTATCACGCCGACTTCAGCTCTCCGCAGATATTTAAAAAGTCCATGAAACCAAAGAGAGCGTGGATACAAACTATTAATATGTTCAACAGTTTGGATCACAGGTCTCTGAACAATCATAAAGACGATTTGAGTATCATTCAGCGAGATGGCATGGATTTTGTACACCATTATCTGATGTATCAATCCAAAGTCACTCACAACTCATTTTACCTCATTTTCTTTATGAGTTTGTTATGTGTGATGGGCATAAGGGAATTTGTCCATGGGATTAATTCAATGGAAGAACTGGAAGACAGATTCAAGGAGAAAAACACTTTCTCTTTTTGGGCATGTGTATTCTTTGCTGTTGCACTTATTTTCATATATCCTAGATATACTAAAAATGTCATGAGGATTTATTATGATAAAAAGGCTCAGATATTTATTCTGATTGTACCAAAGGGAGTTACAATGAAGCAAACTCGTAAAATAATTTGCAAACCTGAAGATTTCAATGCCAAGGAAACATTTACGTCTCTAACTGTGCTTGTTAAAGGACAGTCTTATTTTTTGACCCGACAAAAGAAAGCTGATGAACACATGATGAAAATTCTTTTCAGAACAATTTCCTGAATGTTTTGTCTATGTATAACGTACTCTGTTTGGACTTGTTAAGAAAATAAATTGGTTTCAAATGAAACATGGACTTCAAATTGAAATTTGTTTAAAAATTGTTTTACGGTAGATGTAGGTATTAATTGTGAAATGCAAACTCTGTCTTATTTAAATAATATATAGAGCTAAAAGAAAAAAAAACAATTTTTTCCTAGCCCAAAAACATTAGCAATGATTCAGCAAAGTTTGCCCATGCAGAGACAAAAGAAATTCTTTTTAGTACCTGAAGGTTTTGAAAAGAAAGGGAAAGTAAGTGAGACAGATTTTATTTTGAGATATTAGATACACNTAAAAAAAAAATATATGAGCGTAGGCCTACTCGTACCTACAGTAGTCTACATGTACATAACATGTCAGATTTGACACACACACCTCGACTAATCTTTGATTTTTTCAAGGAAAATAGTTAGCATTCGTGTTTTTCAAGCACTAAATGAAAAGAAAACACATACCTTTCAGTCAATTCACATTTTCATCCAGATGTTATGGCACCACATTCAAGTAAATTGCGTTTGAGTTGGTTCACTGTCAGCGACGCGTGCACACGCTCCATGTTAAACTTTGGTGTAAAGCCGTGAGCGAGATTCTGCGAGATTTTAGAAGGACTGCTTTCACCCCCACGCCATCTAGCGGCAGACCCTCAAAGCTGGTATTCCCCATTCACACATTCTGGAAAATCTACTGGTTCAAACAAAATTTTACTGGCCCAGGACGTAAGACCAGTGGCTATAATGACACAGACGGTTGTTGTAATTAAGTTTTGCTTATCATTGACTTGAGAGGCTAAATGAGATTAATTTGCAAATAATTTAATTAAAAAAATTTTAACATTTTGATTTTTTTTCTTTCTCATTACAGAGGAGTTATAAAAACAGGTTAAAAACAAGTGTTTGTCTAAAGGTTACTGCCATCTATTTATTCATACACAAAGCATGTGCATAGCACAAAGCACCTGTATTGCCTTCTTTAAATAATCAATTTTTAAAGAAAATAACTTTTTCAGTTTAAAAAAATGTAAAAATAAATAAAAGGTTTACATTTTACTTCACCTGTCAGTCTTTATCACTATCATCATTATAATTATATATACGTATCTATAGAGATCTGTCTACTCATTTATTGTTATACACAGGCAGTTTGGACAATCTGAAACCTACCAGTAAAAATCTATCACAAACAAAAATGAAAAAAGTAATGCCTCTTACCCATTGTTTTTGAATATCCAGTATGTATATGTCCATTTCCTGGGCCCAGCCTTCATGCTAGGGCCCTTGTGATGGATATCATAACAATCCAAATGATTTTGATTTTGCTGGATGCTGGCAAAATGTATTGGCATAACACCATATATACTAGTAAATACCAGTACATCATCATGTTCCCATATCTTGTTCTCATAGCCATTTTACATCCTTCTTGGGTTGTGCTGAAAGATATAAGAATGGATAATAATGCAGCTTTTTTCTCCAATGTTACACGTACATCAGTGTGATACCATGTATAAGTAAATGTACTGATACATACATCAAATGCAGTTATCTCCTATTTTAGGGAGGAAATCAGGGTGTGTGTACCTGTGCATGCATGTGTGGAGTGGGGGAAATAACTGCCCTAAATACACCATGGGCTACACCAAACAGTCTACATAGAACATATATAAAATATAAACACATCCAACCTAACCTCAAACTAAAAAGTTAATTATACTCTACATACATTACTTAGCATATGTCTAAAAATATTTGGCTTCTGTCAGGTTATCATGCCAAACACATCTATGTGCTGGTCAGACTGAAGTACAGTACAATACATGCATTTCTGCAGTTTCATGTCTACCAGCTAGCATGTATAGCCAGCAACAGATTTGGATTGAACCAACTATGTACAGTAGCAGCATTCCCTTCCTCTATTTAAACTTTATGCTGCATCACCACAACATAAGGATAATTTTGGCACCTCCCCCCCCCCCCAGTGTTCTTTTATTTATTTATTCTTATTTTTTATTTATTTATTTATTTCATTTTATTTATTTATTGATTTTTTTTTTTTTGGGGGGGGGGGGGGATAAATTTTACTGCCATTAAAAGGAGGTGTGTGATAGAAAGCAATGAAATTCTTGCATATGTACTGCTTTTTGGCAAAAAGGGAGGTACTTTTGTAGAAACGCGGCAAGTTATTGACTGCGGGTACATTGTAAATTTTCACATTGTATTTCAATGGGGTGGATTAAACGTGATTAAAACTAATAAAAAGACCACAGGTAATTACAAAAACATNCCCCCCCCCCCCCCCCAGTTTTTTTTTTTTTTTTTTTTTTTTTTTTTTTTTTTTTTTTTTTTTTTTTTTTTTTTTTTTTTTTTTTTTTTTTTTTTTGGGGGGGGGGGGGGATAAATCTACTGCCATTAAAAGGACGTGTGTGATAGAAAGCAATGAAATTCATGCATATGTACTGCTTTTTGGCAAAAAGGGATATTAGCTACGATGATGAATTTTTGTGCTACGTGTTGGTCTCCCTTGTGATCGATGCACCGTTCATGTTCACGCTAAACACATGAAGAACTGTGACATACAACCTCTCAATATCGCCCGGTCTAAAGGCCCAGTTAAGTCTCAGATAATGTATAAATATCTGAATAAATATGTGAAGCACTAGTTGAACAATTTTATGTTTTTTAGCACTGGCTTATACCTCTGTGGTATGCTTAAAATGATATATATCATATTGTCTTGTCAAATAACCTCAGACTTTCTCTCGCTTCCTCTCAGATGAGCTCTTCATGAAGAAAAGGACCGAAAAATTTGTGACCAACTCGGTACCTGAAGACGCACATTTATGTTAACCGAAACATTAATCTAGGGATCGTAATAACAGGTTAGATGTAAGTTACCATGGGTTTGGCTTACTATGATTCTGCTTGTACGTAAAGTAGCCATTATAACTTCAAACTTTGACAATACTGTGAAACAGAATTTGGCAGAAACTCAACAGCTCTCGAGCAGCACGTAAAAAAAAGTTGCAAAATGCACACAGAAACTTTGTGTTTTATTTGCTCATAATTGGATATTTTTTATATTTCAGGATGAATATATTGTTGAGGTCATATTTACTATATGGAGGTTGTGGAAGTGTAGCAACTGGACGCTCCATCATGACCATTACCAAAAGTTCTAAAGGACTCTGGACGGCACACTTGGATCGCCACCATGTCCCATTTAGAGGGTTTTTAAGAGTTGCTGCAACGCCGTCATCCTATCACGCCGACTTCAGCTCTCCGCAGATATTTAAAAAGTCCATGAAACCAAGGAGAGTGTGGATACAAACTATTAATATGTTCAACAGTTTGGATCACAGGTCTCTGAACAATCATAAAGATGATTTGAGTTTCATTCAGCGAGATGGCATGGATTTTGTACAACATTATCTGATGTATCAATCTAAAGTCACTCACAACTCATTTTACCTCATTTTCTTTATGAGTTTGTTATGTGTGATGGGCATGAGGGAATTTGTCCATGGGATTAATTCAATGGAAGAACTGGAAGACAGGTTCAAGGAGAAAAACACTTTCTCTTTTTGGGCATCTGTATTCTTTGCTGTCGCACTTATTTTCATATATCCTAGATATACTAAAAATATCATGAGGATTTATTATGATAAAAAGGCTCAGATATTTATTCTGATTGTACCAAAGGGAGCTACAATGAAGCAAACTCGTAAAATAATTTGCAAACCTGAAGATTTCATTGCCAAGGAAACATTTACGTCTCTAACTGTGCTTGTTAAAGGACAGTCTTATTTTTTGACCCGACAAAAGAAAGCTGATGAACACATGATGAAAATTCTTTTCAGAACAATTTCCTGAATGTTTTGTCTATGTATAATTTCTCTGTTTGGACTTGTTAAGAAAAGAAATTGGTTTCAAATGAAACATGGACTTCAAATTGAAATTTGTTTAAAAATTGTTTTACGGAAGATGTAGGTATTAATTGTGAAATGCAAACTCTGTCTTACTTAAATAATATATAGAGCTAAAAGAAAAAAAACATTAGCAATGATTCAGCAAAGTTTGCCCATGCAGAGACAAAAGAAATTCTTTTTAGTACCTGAAGGTTTTGAAAAGAAAGGGAAAGTAAGTGAGACAGATTTTATTTTGAGATATTAGATACATAAAACATAATAAATAAACCATTTGTTACAATTTTACAATTATTATTAATGTTGGCTAAGGCCTATTAAGATGTAACCCCCTATTTCCAAAGTTTTCTGGGAGGGGGAGGGGGTTGTATTAAAAATGAAGGATGAGGACACCTATCTCCACTATTGTTACAAGGCAAATTGGAGTACATTTGTACAGAAATTTGGCTTGGAAGCCATTCCACACAAACTACTAGTACACATTATTTAGACTGCATTCCCATAGATTTAGGTTGATCCATCTAGATTGACCTAACTCTCTAGGGGTTCACAGTAAATTGCTGTCAGCCGATCGTGCACGGTAGTTAATTACCCCCTTACAGCTTTTAGTAGGCGGGACATATTTAAGCTGGCTAAGCTGACAGTAATGTAGTGAGACTTCCCACAGGGATAGATCTATCTAAAATCTGTGGGAATGGGGTCTTAATCTTTTTGGATAAAAAAATTAATTTATAAGATGTATTTTACTTTAAATTGTTGTTTCATTGTGGTTCATTATAAAGATATGCATTTATAAGTATATCTTTTTATATATAAAATGGTCATTCCAGAGGGAAGAACTGGCAATAAAATCCCAAGGGACAGAATGTGATTTAAAAATCAACCCAACCAAAGCATTTAAAACCACATTAAAAATGAATCGGAAATGGATAGTTCACTTAGGAAACCGAGAGAAAGATGCAGAAAACAATTATTCAATGGAAAAGTATTCGTCAGGAATTAAATCCCGCTTCCTTAAGGGAGAACACGCATAATTTAAAAGTAACATGATATTGCCGAGAAAAATTCATATAGATGTATTGAGCAAAGAAACATAAGTCCATAATTTCACTTTAAAAATCATAAATAATACACGTGAATGATTATTTTAAAAACTCGCTGCAGAGATGATGGATTGTGTTAGCTGTAACCCGCAATGCACAATTTACACAATTTTATTTCTACACTCGTCCAAAGAGTTCGTAAACGTTGTTATTTCGCCGAGTGCATTGCAGAATTGGAAACATTTCTTCTTCATTTTATATATAATCTTGATTTCCACAAAAATAAAAGAGGTTAAATACTAATTCTAATTGTTTTTAACTCCGGGTGAAATACTTGTGTCGGACGTCCGAGGTGCTGTTCCATTTGGAATTCAAATGGAGCTGATTTTGCCCAGATATCTGGTAGCACACTGGGCAGTCCTGGAGCATTCAGTGTCTAAATACGAGGAAAAGGTCGGCCGCTTCTTACAAGTCTCAGGTAAAGCAGACCGAGACCTTAGTTTTGATATTGTATTTTAGTTTGTGATAGTTTTAACAGAATACCTCGAGGACACACATGCAGGTGCGTGACAATTGGAAATATATCAAGTAATTGTAGAATCTCTCCTTGTCACCAAAACCATAAATTTTCCCGAAACTTAGCGTTAATCTGGCATTTGCCGTAAGAACAATTTTGTTTTGTTTCTTTGAAAGAGCAAGAGATTATAAATCAAAACCTTTACTCTTCACAAAAGATATTTTGACAATACATTGAAAATCCACATAATTCGTGTTCACATCTAGGTCTAAGAGTTGTGTACGATATCTCCAAGCCGGTCGGAAGCCGCATGGTCAGCGTTGACGTCAGATGTGCAGACTGCATTGTCCCCAAGTTCCAGCTCCTCATAAAGACCAAAATATACGAAGTAATCACTAATTCATTCATCTTAGGAGGGGGTGACGAATATTCGGTATTGAGAGACAACATCGTGTATCGATACGAGATAGGTACGTATTAACGAATTAAAAAGGTAGGATTATCCAGGTTTATATCATTGTGATTATTGTGACAACTCTTTGCTAATTTTAAAGAGGAATAATTTGTTCTTAATGTTAACGTTTATGTTGCGTAAACGAGAAAATTGTTGAAAGCACAAAACTACATCCGGATAAACGTATCACGTGGAGATATTTTTTGCTGTAAGGTGACAGATGAATTATCTCGTTCGCCGCCGTACAATAACAATGCATGCGTTCAAAAGGCGTTGCGTATAATACAGAAAAGCTGGCAATTATACGAGTACGTTGCAAACAAGCGAGGGCGTGTACGTTAGTCTGTTTATCTGATTGCATTCAGTGAGAATCCCGCGGAGTCGGATCGATCTACGTAGACCAATAGTTTCATTGAAAATAAGCCCTTGGTCATCAAATATTTAATTACAGATCGTCGCTCTTAGAATGTTGACGTTGACTGTCGGGTTTGAAGTCATAGGAAACGATTTAAACATAGTTAATGTCGCAAAAAGAGGCGATTTTGATAGCGAATTCAGATTAAAAAGAAAAAAAAAAACATGCAGATCAACCAACTCCTTGAGATTTATTTTAGGGCTAAGCGGCTTGACAGAGATTTGTCCTTTGACGTGGCCAGTGACGCAACACTTGCTGATTACAGGTCTTAATTCCTCAGTGTATCTCGTAGAATTAGAAACAAAACCTAAATGTAGGGAAAATCATATTTGGGTATACATGTAGGTTCATAGGCCTAATTTAAATAGGCCTACTGTGCCTCTGCAGACGGTACTGACATTTTTAGTAAAATCATTATTTTCACCTTTGACACAGGGGGAAAGATTGTGGGTCATTTCAGAGGCTTGTTTTTAATTAGTTCTTTTCAACCTTATTTACTTGAAACGGGCCGTTTTTTTTATTCACTGGTATGGTAGTTTTAAAGAAAATCGAAAGACATGAAATTGAGAACCAGGTTTTATCGTGGCGAGAAGTGATAGTATTAGCGTACATCCAAATGCACTCTTAAAATGTCGCGGGAGCCTCACGATTTCCTGTCATTTTCATAACAATGTCTGTTGACAACAAATATTTAAGTGGCTACTGCCAAGGGGAAAACTCCTCTTCGTCTGTGAAAAAGACTTTCCGCTTGTAGATGGTTTAAAAGATATTCACTGTCATACATACCAGTATGGAGTGGTAGGAGGTAAGGTGCGTGTGGCTCTGCCCATCTGTAATCTTCTTGTTATTGCTCAGTTTAAATCTCCGCGCACGCTTTCGTCGTTTCTCTTTCGCTAAGACAGGTACTTGGTTTCTTTTTAGAGTCAGAGTAACAGGTTCCTCTTACACGCGTGTCTTTAAGGGGGATCGAACGACTGCCTTGCGCAAGGTTCGGTTTACACAGTGTCTTTTTAAAATTCCTTTCAGGGCCAATCGGTCACAAATTCCACTAAACCCACACCAACAGCGGTAATTTAATACCTTTAAAGATAGTTCAAAAGTCCACATGAAAAGTTGCCATTTTCTGGTAATAGCCCTAGGCACGATCTTTACATGACAAGGAAATTTTAGTGTCTAACGTTCGTTGAAGGGCGTCTTAAAATCAACCAAGATTTGTTCACCGATTAATTCGAACATGTTATTAAAAACTTCTCACTTAACAAAACTTCACGGTAGGGGTCACGGTAAAGATCACAATTATACTGCTGTTAAAGGTTTTACATAAAGGACATTAGCTGTTTTCATTTTCCAGGATGTCTCACGCGACGATGATGCGGTTGTTACTTGTGACTTTAGCTGGACTGAGCGTTCTCATTGCCGGCGCAAGTATCAAGAAAAACAAGGTTACAGGTAATATATTTTCCATCATAATTTTCAGTATAATTATATATATATATATATATATATATATATATATATATATATATATATATATATATATATATATATATATATATATATTCATACGATATTTATTATTTACATGTGCATGCATATTTGACTGTTTGTATAGCTATAGCAAACGAAAGATGTTATATTTGGTTGTTAAATTGAATAAAAATAAATGTTCAGAAGACCTGATTTACCCTAAACGCAATTATATTTAAACTCTGTTGATCTTTAGGGTTGCAGCCTCTGTATATTCTTAAGTATGTATATATTAAGTGAAATGCGAAAAAGGGCCAAATTCAGCAGACCTCCGCCGCTCAATTATCATAATTATCAATTTTTTATTAATTAGTTTATAAATCGATATCTTATTAACTCAATTATAATTATTATTTATCATTTATCAACTAACCAGTAAGTTAATAAGCTTCCCATTACCAATGATAATTAATTAATTGATCATCACCCAAATCTAGACCATTTTTGACCTATCCTTAAAATTTCATCCAAATCCCTCCATTACAGAAAAACAGACTTTATTTATTAAAGTAATTATCAATTGACGAATTATTTCCAAAATCTTATTGGTTGTTACTTCATCCCTTACGGTCAGTTTCCCAAAAAATTAATCAAACTTTGTCCTCAAATCTTTGCATAATGTTGCTAACGAACAGACAGACAAATAATTAACTAATATTCAAATATTGATCAATTGATGAATCACCACAGTGTTCTAATCGTTTATATTATTTCTTGGTCCACTCCAGACAGTTTCTTATTTTATTTCATAAAAAAAAAACTTATTCCATAATGTTGAAAACAGACAGATTTACGGATCCAAAAACATAACCTTCTTGGCGGAGGTTAGTATTTTTCCCGTTACTCAAAGCCGAAGACCGAGTAAAAGAAAAGACTTGTCGAGTCGCATTTTGCGTGCATGGAAACAAAGGGTGTATAAAAGGGAATTCGGATGAATGTCTTTCCATATGTCGCTGATTAAAGGAGATATAAATTTAGGTTTGACTGAGCAAAAATATGGGAAAAATTTTGTTTGTGGAATAAGTCCTAGTACTAGTAGACGTATCAAGTTCCTAACTATGATGGTCTAGGAGGTAACAATGTGCATACATGAATGCGCTCTACAACAAACTGCATTTTCTCTCCAGGCGTTTGTACGTACAAAGGCACGGAGTACAGGGTTGGAGAGACTTGGGACGTAGAATGCGAACTGAACTGCAAATGCCTCGAGGATGACATCTTCGTGTGCCGAGAAGGGTACGTAGGCTGTTCGTTCATCACATCTTGTACAACCATTGTAAAGAATTTATCCAACACATTTTTTGTGTGAAAAATTGTTTATTTATTAACGATATTATCTTTCTTTAATGGAAGCCCTTAACTTCAGGACTACATGTAAAATTGTGTACAGCTTAATTCGTAGGTTTATAACGTACTTATATTCTTACAAAATCGTATCTGAAAAGAAACAAACGTAAAATGAATATTTGCAATATATCCCACACCGACCCTTAACATTTAACTATGTTTTTTATCATTTAAAATTTACTAATTAAACATTTTTTTTTTATTTTCATCTTCCAACAACCCTCACCTAGACAGATCGAAAATAAAACACTTTAAACAAAAGTGCAAAAACATCACGTCTACGTAACATGCTTAGATTCTTCAAAAGTTGTAGTTGTAAATGTTTTACGGCACAGTTCGATTTCGTCCAATACATAACTTAGGTAGCTTCAGATATTAAACGTTTTAAAATACCTCTGTTGCCCCATATGACAATAAACCTATAACGAATACCCGTTTTTCGCAAAAGGGTAGGTGAGTTAAGATACGATATTGATCTTTTGCCGTATTACGTGGTCTGCACATAGATTAAGATTTCTTGACAAGTTAGTTATGCAACCACAACCGAAAACAAGCGGTTTAAAAGAGGCTTTCGTGTATTTACCAGTATCAAGTTTCTCTGCATGTATTCATAGTAATTATCTTGCAAAGATTGTTCCATTGAACCCTGTTCACGTTAATTTGTTTCGTCTGTTTTTAATCAGTTACTTTTCATTCATTCTTTCGTTTACTCTTAAGGCGGGTCAACTTCCTTATAAAACAAAGTAATAAATTTAACCAAATTTAACGATATTAAACGTTCTGTTTTGGTGCATGAAGAGTCTTTGTATATAAGGAACTAGGCCTATAATGTCTACAAAACCCCAAATGCCCAGAAAGTGGACAATGGTCAGAATGGTGTGCCGCAAGACGTAGCAAGTCCAGTGTGCCGTGTGCCATATATAAAAACATGACACTATTTTTACTCTAATCACTATGCTTTTCTTTTCATCAGATGTCCACCGTGGCCCGTGCCCCCGGACTGTCACGTGGAGAAGATCCCAGGCCAGTGTTGTGATAAAGTGCGCTGTAATTAATCCAGTCAACGAATCAAATGTGTTAGGTGCGATTGTGCAGAGCATCCAGATGTGTGGATTGCAACACACCTATTTGTATACACATTATATGAAACATGAGAAACCTATGATGGGTATTTGTATGCAATGCTGATGTGAAAAAGTTGATGTAGAATGGCAAAAGCTTTATTTCAATGGGCACTACGGAATTTTGTAACAAACTTGTTTCGTTCAATAGTAAATTGCAACCAATAAAATAGCAATGACTCAATTTCGTTGTTTTCACTAATAAAAACTCAATCTTGCTTGTGAGCACATTGTACCATTATTCTTATTAAGTGGTTGACTCAGTGAGCGGATCAATCTTTAAACAAGCAATACAGTTTACTTAAATCATGGGAATAGTTATCATCATTGGATACATAACAAATCTTGTGCAATCCTTTTGGATTTGTTTTCGAAAAAAAAATTAGAGCTGTAATAACCAGTTGAGATGTGGACAAAAATGAACTCGGAAGAATTAAGTTCCACAGTTAACATCACAACTCAGTAACTAGTGGCTGAAAAATGATGAGTCGACTCATCCCCCTCTGGTCAGCCTAGCCAGCAGAATAAAACATGAATAGATAACAGCTGTGCGGATGTTTATGTATGTTTACCCAACAAAACATTTTACACTCAGTGTACACTGGAATGAACCTCAAAAATGTTATGATAAGTTAGTACTAGAAAATTGTGAAAAAAAAAAATGCACAGACAGGAATCCCCCCCCCCCACACACACACAAACACACACCCTACCCCACCCCAACGCTCCTGTCACCCTGAACATTAACATCAGTCCATAGGATCACCAACATTTACTTCTGACCACTATTAAACACTCTCAATGTATGCGATTTTCACCTGTAACAAAGTCCATGCCTTTTCTTTTTATGCATTTACCATTACTTTATTACATTATTCATTATTTACCTGTTCACATATACTGAAAGGGGGAACAACCAATCAAAAGGTTCAATTGCTTGATGGATATAATAACAATAAGTTAACAATAAAATGACCTTAACATTAACATATCAAGTTGCATGGCTTATCATTTAAAAACAATTCCTTAAAATAATCATTGTGTGCAAATCCAGTTATTAACAGTAAGGATCCTCACACACTTTACACATGTTATATCCACATGGATCCTAAACAACAAAACTAGGATTATATTTATCACAAATTTGAGCCAAATTCATGTTTCACCAAAACAAAAGAAAAAAGACAATAAATACATGAATTGCTTGTAAATTATTGGATGAAATGAAACCATAAGCTTTTCAGATCTCATTACGAAAATAATATCTTGCTCTTGAAATCAAGAGAAACATAGGAAAAGATGAAGACAAAAATTGAGGCAACACTTCTTATCAATACTGATTTTGCATACAGTAATAATCCATTGAGACCTCTGCAAAATGCTAATAATGCCCACACATTCAACGCCAGTCTTTTCTGATAACACATAAATCATCCATTGGGACTATATAAAAAGAATGAAAAAATTGCATGTTACAGAAAATAATGAAACTTGAAGTACTATACTTCAATTATTTCTCTGATCCAAATGACTGCTGAGTTTTAAGTCACTATTAGAAGGAAAAAAAAAAAATCTTTAAGTCAATCTCCTGGTCAAGATTTGTACTTGATGAACCGCATCAGATTTGTCCTTGCTGTCATGATGATAGGGAGATGGTCTCCTAGGCTTCTCTTCTGTTGATGAATCTGGAGAAAAGATATCAAAATATACCTCCAGAGGGTATCCATCTCTTTAACTGATCTATATATATGTTAAAAGAAACGAACCATTAAAACTTACAAGGATATTAAATAAAACCTGAAGAATAATTTTATTGTGCAAAATATGCACAGGGCTGTAGAAAAAAAGGGGTTCTTTTTTTTCGGAAGATGTGGGGTAGGGAGAGGAGATATAATAAATAAATACGTAAAATTTTCCAAAACATAGGAAGCAGTCTTACCTTAGCCTTCAGCTGTGGTGCCACAGCCTTGAGTTTGTCTGTTAACCCTATCTCCCTGACAACTGAGTCCAGATGATCCTCCGCAAATACATCGAAGATGGCGTCCAGCGCCTCGGCAACCACCCACAACTCCTGGTCCTTGCTCACTATTTCCACAAGAAATGTGCCAATATTCTGAAGTGAAAATCAATAAAAATGCTAACTGCCTTTTAATGAATAATTAGTATATATGAAATAAAATAAACTTTAGCCTTAATTTAAATGATTTGGTGGAACCTCTTGCAATAGCAAATGAATAAAAGAATGACTCAAAACAGAGTTATACCAAAGTAACTAGGCATACGCCACAATGTTTTGAATGGCTCACTGAGGTTTTGTTGTGAAACACTGAATACGACTGTCAACAGACATCGATTGAACCTGACAGATTTCAACACAATGCCATCTCTAAATGAGTATGGTAAGTTAGCATACAAATCATCTTTTTTGACTAACTATTTTAAGACACATCCACATCAAATGAATATACTTATTGACTTGACCAAATTATCTTGGTATTGGCAACTAAAAAAAAGTCTAAAGTCAGACCAGGTTGACCACAGTGCAGTGACTCTGATAATAAGATCTTACGAAAAGCATTCAAACAAATCTCACACATCTACATTGGTTTACAAGCAGCTATTCCATAAGAGGACACTAAAGCTTTCACCTAATAAAATTTTAACAAAGACAAACCTTAAGCAGGCTATGTGGCTCCATCTGTTTGGCAAGCAGACAACCAATAGTGGACAATATCCTCACAGCATTGGCCTTGACTGGGGGATGACTGCTCTGCTGTCCCAGCTCAAACACAAACTGGAGGTCGCTGGGGACAACACTGGAGAACTGAAAGCATATTTCAGGATTGTGGCACAATGAAAATGTGTAAGGTAGTCAAGACAAATTTGTTCTGTGATATCTTAAATACAAACTGAATTACAAGGGGTAGGACTGGAGAACTGTTGGTAATGGTGATATTTTAGGAACCGTAAACCATTTAAGAAATAGAAACTGTAAGGAAAGTAGAGAATGAAGTGGTTACATGACACAAACTGTTTCACAACATGCTTAATTGTGAATTCTATATAACTAAAATACCTTTCATGACCTTGAAAGATCATTAAACATCAATAAATTATGCTATACCTTAGGAGACTTGTGTTCAGCCAGTTTCTGTATAGTTGCTCTCATGGCACTGGTGACAGCTTCCAACAGATCTGCACTCTCTACAGCTGGGAATACATAACTGAATATATTAAATGAATCTAAACTGTCTAATTGGTTGCTGGTCTTTTAAATTGCCACTGATATAACAGACTGAGATTTCATGCCCCTAAATCTTTTTGTCTCTCTTTTTTTTTTTTAATTAAAAGTTGTCACCTTCACAACATTTCTGTCCAATATTCATGTCATTAATAAGCAATATGTTTATTTAAGAAACTGCAAATAAGTAGTTAACTCTGCATAACACCTAAATCTGTTTCATCCATGTTTCTTAAGCCCCCTTTACACTGGACGGCGTCCTTTCTGCGTCCAGCAGTACGGCCCCATTTGAGAGTTTAAAATTTATAATATTTTACGTGCCGACAACTGGCCGATCATTGAGCATTCATTCTGATACAAAATTAATGCTCGTGCCCCCTTATTAAGACCACAGCGATGCCAAATTTCATGGTCGCAGAGAGGACGCAGAAAGGACGCCGTCCAGTGTAAAGGGGGTATTAACAAATACAAATCTTAAGCAGACTATGTATATTTAAGAATTAAACAATCATGTTTATAACAGAAAGACTTCGTACGGTAAAAAAGTAAATTCTGACCAATATCTAAATCTATTTCACATAATGCCTATCTATCTATCTATCTATCTATCTATCTATCTATCTGTAAAGGACACAGACGCCGTTGATATGTACTGTAACAGTCACCTTGTTTATTAAGAGCAAGTTGGGAGAGGTTTTCCCAAATTAAGTGCAGCTTGTCCATCCCTCCAAGTGCCTCAATGTCCATACCACTGACCATGTTACTGACACACAACAGGGAGCGGGACTGCAGGACTTCAATACTGGAAGAAACAATGGATAAGGTTATTAATTTAAAAATCTCAAATATATCTCTCTTGTATAACTCACTTTTCACAATTTAATAATTCCAGTAACCAAATAAAATTATGTAATGAATCAAAATTCTTTTAATATATTTAAAATCATAGTTTTCAAGTAAAAACTAAGAATTTCAAATTACTGTTTTTGGTTTCTAAGTATAAAATCAAATTTGTTTGTATTTTGTTCTCCTTTCCCCTCCTATAGAGCCAAATCTGTGATTTTGCTAGAAAAAAAAATAAAAGTACAAGATACTTGTTAATCTTTACTTCAAATCTTTATTTTCCTATTTTTACTTATATGTTTTCTATTATTCCTCAAGAATAAAGCCCAAGCCATCTGTTGAATTTGTACAAATTGATATACAGAACTTCTAACCTTTTCAACAATTTCTTCCCCCTCCCATATCCGCTTAATATTGTGTGAACTTCAGCACTGGGGAAATTAGTTTTGCACATCACCTGAAAAACATACTTAAAATCAACAACTTCTACCTCTGATGAATTTGAAATCCTGAAATATGTAAGTATTGAAGGCTTGAAGCAAATCCAGAAACACTATAGTTATATTCCTTGTCAAGGAACTTAGTTTAACAATAATCTAAAATTATTAACGTTTATATGCTCTATCATTAGTAAATAAAATGGTAGTATGACCCCTTTTGGAGCAAAAAAGGCATCCCACATTACAAAGAATAATCAAGATTTTCACACTTACCCTAGGAACAAGATTATTACCAACAAAAGCACCGTGAACTTCAGACTGGACACAGAGATGACTCTGGAATTTACAGAAGTTGTCAAGTAACAAATACACTTTTAAAAAGGAACATGATAAATATAAATAAATATCCAAAAATTTGAATAGTGCTATTTCAATGTCAAATTGAATTTTAGTTCTAAACATTTTGCCAAATTTCATTATGCTTATCACTACCAAATAAACATCTCTACCATTTACACTTAAACTCTTCAGATGTTTTCAATTAAAAGTTATTTTAACAACCAGGAATGTTGTTAACATCAATACAATTTTTTAAAAATTTGATTAAAAATAAAAATAATCTGAAACTAGCATATTTTGTGTTTCATATATTGGTATCTAAATCTCTTCAAAATTTGTTTAGAAAAGTATCACCTGGTTATGTCACAAAATAAAAAACTGTCAGCAAGCAATTTTTATCAGATGTGTTATGTACTAAGAATGAAGCAGCCTAAATAGATGGGACAACCCTCCCTGATTTGTACCTGACTTTTCTAAGGCATTAGGTGAGTGCACACGCGAGTGTGTGTGTGTGTGTGTGTGTGTGTGTGTGTGGTGGAGGGGGGGGGGGAGGTGAGCACACCCCCTAGATAGAGGCTATTCACCTAACACTAGCTAGATGACCAGCTAGACAATTTGTGCTGGTAAATGTGTACAATTAGCTTGATGAAAAATCACTGCTTGTTAAAACTGTTAGAAAAGTGTGCACTTACTAATACTGTTTCATCAGATCCCTCCATATCAACATCTGCTGTTAACATTTCATCAGAGCTGGCATCACTGCTGTCAAGGTCCTCCCACACTTCTTCCTCATCTGAAAATATGTGGAAAACAATGGTAATAGTGAAAACTTATGCCAGACCCCTCATAAAACAACCTTCACCTTCCCACACCCAATCTAAAACGAAATTGAAAGATTCAGCTATAAGGAATTCATAAAATTTATAGCCTTTCTATACATTTAGTTGCTGGTCCATGAGAGGAACTATAGTATTGCTATAATGGACAACTAAATGCGTAGAAATACAATGTATGTCGAGTGACATAAAGATTTGTTCAACTGTGACTGTTGAAGCTAGGCACACACAGTTGTGTTGTTCTCTCTCATGCCTCCTCCTGCCTCGGTCATTGCTAAAATCATCACAACATTATTGTGGACCTTATCTGTACAAGGATATTGTGAGGAAGCAACAATTTAATGTGGTCAGATCAAAAAATTTAACCAGTTTTAATGTGTTTCAGAAGAAAAAAATGAAAAATTTGTGACATCACAAGACAAACTGTGTGCACATACAGAAATTTCATAGAAATTCATGAAAAAAAAAATACTACATAGAAGTTTTGGTAGACCAATCCCAAATAAATGCATTGGCAGGATTAACGACAATTGCACAATCTTAAAGCATTGAGAGGCAAAGATATTTATATCTAAAAGTTCCTCAAAAAGACTATGTCTGGTCAGGAGTTGAAAACCCAGAAGTCTCGGTGATCTCATCTGACCTTTATGGAAATACTTATGATTTATAGGACAAGAAGATAACTTTTGATAATCCAAATTAAGCCCAGGATATGCATAAAATCCAAAATATTAAAAAACCACACAGCTCAAGACAGTCTGGTTACACAGAAGACAGAGTTACTCACCATCTGTACAACAGAGATTAGTGATAATCTCCAAAGCTGTCCTCTGGGCAGTCAAAAGGCATTCTAATTCATTTAATTCTTTCTCCAATCCATTCTGAAAAATGTTAACACGGAGACAATTTACATTCATCATTGTATGCTTTAAAATGATTTCTTTTAATTATTTTAAGGTATTTCAATACATGTTATGTTGTCGTATGCACCCCCTCCAGTGCACAGATAATTACGACTTCAAAAACTGCTTTTCAGTGAAAAAGTTAAATACTAACTGGTAAAGATACTTAAACACATGTTGTGTGATAAAATACCCATTTCAGTGCAGTAATAATGTTTGCAATAAAATTATCAGTTAAGAAATACCTTTGTGTGCTTCTTTTCATCTTTTCCTCCATCCCCTGCTCCATTTTCCATGGCCCCACCTTCTGCTGTGCCATTCATAGACTTGAAAAATAGCACATATATAACCTGAAGTATCATCTTTTACAAAGATATTCTACAATACAATACAAAATACAATACAATACAAAATACAATGGAAGTGGAAGCAAAGATAATTTCAACAGAAAAAACATACATCCTCCTTGCAGAAACGCAAACAGTTAGTGGTAAAGATTACCTATTCAAATAAAAAAGAAACCCAACACATCTCTGCAATACATCTCTGAAATATAGAGTTGAATAACAACCTAATCATACTGAACACATGTAGGTTCTTGTCTTAACAAAACCTTTGTCAGCTACCAGCATCTCATTACAAGGCTTTCTTCCAATATTTGTTTGATATCTACTGATTTTGCTCAATAAACTAGAGGATCAGAGAGGCGATACCGCCTCCGAATATTGTACCACCAGCTGGAGCAAGCGCATTCGTATAGACCCCCACATACACAAAATAAGGGACACAGCCACTAGTCTTGTGCTTGACAAGCTGTAAACATGCAATCAACAAGAATTTTCAATATTTGCAATAAATATATGACACTAAAAATGGTACCATCCAATT